GAGTGCGTCGTGTGTTGCATCAGCCATGTCTGCTGGCCGAGACGGGGATGATGCAACCACCACGGTTCAAAAGGAGTATGTTTACAAACATATCCACGGCACATTTCACCAACACAAAACTGCGATAAACGAAACTAAGGGTTACGTCACGTCGCTTCACAAAAGCACACAGAAAAACGACTAGTCGCAATTATCATACGAGTTCGGCAGGTTGGAAGGTATGTACGGCTGGCTAAGGTGTGTATGTGGTATATGTGCAAGTTTAACGGGCTCCCCGTATCCATGGCGTGGTTACCGAAAATGGACACAATACAGCCGGCGTTCTGGCTGCAGCAAGCTGAAAGAAACCGAACAACACATTTCAAATCCTCCCCCATCATTGCATCCACCCCCCCCAGTTCGGTGAAGGACTTGGGTACCCCCGACGTATCCCGGGTGGGACTATGAAGTGGGCAGCTCCGTCGCCGAGAAAGCAGCACAATTTCCCGTCGGTCCCGGCAGCAACGGACGTGTTTGCAATGCGCTATTGTTGGTAATCGGGTTCCGTTGGCGGAGTTTGGCGGAGTTGGTTGTGTTGGTTCATGTTGGGGTAGTTGGCGATAATTTAACTATTTTTTTCAGTCCGGTTGGCGCGGTTCCTGTCCTGCCAACCTGTAACTAATGAGAGACTGAATACCGCACTGGGCGTGGAAGGATCCGCGGACATCGAATCCCGACCCATTTGTCTCCTGCAGAGGATGCGGAACTCGACAAACAGCCCAGTGTGCATGCAACCCCACAGGCTCTAGAGTTCTCGCATTCCATGTTCGGAAAACGACGAAAGACTGCGTTTGTTGCCATGGGCGAAAAGGTGGTGCAAGGCTCCATGGAGACTCCTGATCCCCGGTGCGCGATGAAGTCTCCAAACGGCTCCTTGGGCGAAGCCTAGCCGTATGTTTGGTCGCCGACCAACTGTGAAATGTCACGCGGGGGCTGAAAGCCCCTCGTAGCACAGCATAACGCGTGGTTGCCCGGCGTTGCGGAGATGCTGACGAGAATGGAAGAGCGCCGAACATAAACTGCCTCTTTGGGAAGTAGGGAAGTAGGCTGCACTGAGACCTGCACTGTCGGGCAGTCAGGAGCGAGCCATCCAGCCCAGATGTTTCAAATACCGGAAAGAATACGATCAGACGAGGTGTATAATTCCGGGGTATCATGGTATCGACACTGGCCATAAGAGCCACGCGCAAAGGAGATCATTCGCGTCCGAGGCCAGTATATCTGAAGTCAAGAAAGAAACGGAGCAGGCGATGCAGGTCGTCGGCCCCTTCAGCCCTACCGACACCTTAGCTCCAGCCTGAGTGAGAATAGGGTTCTGACTAGAAACGCCGCATTCCAGAGTGCTGGGTCGAAGCTGGAGCTTTCAACCCCAAGACCACAAACACCCTCGAGCTGAACGTAGAACTCTCGATGCAATGCATTCCAAAGCAGGCCGTATCCTAGTACGATTTCTATAACCATTTTAACCCCTTCGGGTTTCCTTGAAATAGTGATAAAGACTCGAAGGGGAGCTCGCAAATGCCTTGCAGTTGCCTTCATTGTGACACAACCAGGGATAGAGACGTTGTGCTTAGATGCCATTTCCGAATGGTATTTTCCGCTTAGCCTCCTGGTACGAGACTCGCTTGAGCGTGCTTTCCAGGCGACCGATGGCGTGACTGTTCCCCGCGCCCAGCGCCCATTCTAGGAGGGGTATGTATCGCCGGACACTGATCCAACATCATACACGTATCTCCTCCCCAAGATCTCGGCTCTCGCCGAGGAGAATGTTGGGGTTTCCAGCTCCAAATCGGGCAGCCACCTAGCGGAGCTAATCAATTCCAGGAATCAATTGCGCGCCCAAATAAGAAAAAAGGCGCGGCCAGGTGGTCCTAAGCCAGGATCTGAGTGGCCAGCGAGACCCCATTGCTATCCAGAGGGCTCAGCCGCGTTGCTGGCGGTCCGATGCGAGCTGTTCACGGCTGGGAAACACCCCCCACCACCGTCGTCGACTCCGCTTCCGCCTTTACCCAAGTCTTGCCCCGGATTTGAAAGGCAAACGTCGGCGCAATGCAACAACAACCCCGCGGTAGAGCGACTGTGGCTGGCTGGCTGGCCTGAAGATACTCAGAGGCGGGTTCGTGTTCTTCGAACTGGGCCAGCCTTGACTGTCGCCAAATGTAGTAAACAATGGAAGAGGCACATTTCAATGATTGGCGCAACGTAAACAGCGGGAAGGGATCAACTGGCCGGTTTTCGTTCCATTGCTTGGGTTGAAGGAGCGGTTTTTCTTGAAGCGAGAAAGGAACTTGATTCCTGGTCGCACCGCTTGTTGGCATTGGCTGCCGAGAAGAGCGCAGAGGATTTTCTTGAGGAACGAATGCAACGAAAGCGATAATCCATCTCGCGATTTACACAACCTTGCAAAGCAAGCGGTCGGGAAGCAAGTCCGAGGTGCCAAGCCGATTCGGCTAGAATAGGACCTTTCTCGCATATGAGACGAGACGGGCCAGCCAGAGGGATCGTCGAGTCTCGACAGCTTGTTCCGTCCGCCCTCGTGAGTCGAGTCGAGGTGGAGAGGAGAGAGGCCGCTCAACACGGTCTTCGCCTTCCTGTTGTGATCGGCTAAGTGAACGGTGACATTGATAACGATCTGTCTGTCTGTATGTCCGTCTTGTTGACAATGTGTGGATCCAGAGGTACGAATAGAGTCGCTCGGGGTTCGCCGTCGGTGGATTGCTTCTCCTTCTCTCTGGCTCTTGCACGATTTTTAGGCATCAACATTGCCATCCGACAGTGGAAGATCGCAGCGCAGCTACAAAGTACCGCATTTGGTGTTGAAATTGTAGCCGGCGCCACGCTCCGAGCCAGGGCAACCTGAGTGCTTCATCCGATGAACGCTTGAGGACGAGATACTGATACTGATGCTAGGTACGAACGAATAATTACCTCCTTTTTCTTTTTTCACCCTTGGCGCCATTGTGCTGCAGTCGCGGTTTCTAAATGCATCACTTCTTTGTCAGGACTCGCCTGATTTCGTAATCACCTTGCTAGAGTACGATCACACCTAGATGTATGGTGCGATACCTCCCTAGCCGAAATTGCTTCATTATTGTATCGGCCTTGAGTGTCGAGGCTGGGGTGCTCAGGTCCGCCTTTTCGTGGTGGTGAGCGCCCCTCGCACACCAAGAACTGGCGGGATTCGATTTCCAGATTGCTCTTGCAGTGCTGCGCCTCTCTGGGGGGAAAAGGCGGGTGCGGGTGGGGTCCAAAATGGAATTCATCCACTGTCCTGCGCTTCTGCGTTCTGCACTGCAGCCCAGTGCAGCTGATCCACATCTGTGCTACCTCGCACTCGCTGTTGCGCGTATCACAGGTCACACCTTCCAGCACCTCTGTTGTGCGCAGCCCCAGCCCCATGAGGCTTGCTTGGGAAAGCTTGGCGGCTTCCATCCCACTCCACACTATGCCCGATTCTCACGCGTAGCTTCCTCGAACCTCTACTCGAAATGGGTCGACGGGAGCACTGCGATCTACCGCCTCACAACGTACTAAATAAACCTACCGAGGTCTTTAGGTTACTTACACAACCAAGAGGCACAAGCAATACAAGCCAGTATCGCCGTTAATTGGATGGGAGCGGGACGCCAAATGTACTATCTCTCGCCTGGAGGCCCACGGCTCGCAACTCGCAACTCGTTAGAATACGCGAATGAGATGAGAGTGCATGTGCAGATGTGTAAGGTAGACTGTACATGGTACATGCTCCAACCTGTGGTATGGACGGGGTATACCTTCTTGGTATCACAAGGCGTTTACCATATTGCGTCCCGCCTTCTGTATTGAGTCTCTCCGCGGGGCCCGCGCTTGTGCTCAAAGATTGTGGGACCAAATAGGCGGTTGGTGTTGCTGGATGTGGTAACACGAGCCAACATGCTCGTGACTTCCCCGTCGCCCTTTCCAATCCGCCCAAAGTAAGGTGCTACTGACGATTCATGGGCGAGCCCCGGGCAGCTTAATGTCGCAAGTTTTGAGAGCAGTAATGGCAAGCAACAAGTTCAATACATTACAACCTAACCAACCGAGCGAATCAAGCACAACTTGAACAGAAGCTCAGAACTGCCGATAAACCCAAAGCAGCCCTCGTCTCACGTTGTACAGGTGGCTTGCAGCCGTGTCCCGCGTGTGAGTGTTTGTGACAGGGCCACGAGCTGTGCGGCAGCCTCTGGGCTTCATGAATATGTGTGGTTTGAGTCTTGGAAACCAATATTCTTCTGTGTTCGTAACTTCTTTACATGCCTTTGGTTCCTACCTCGCCTTAGTCACAGACGGTCACGTTGTAACACAAAAAATCCCCATCCGACACGGACACCCGCCATGGGCCCATGATGGCCCTCGAGGGCCTCACGGACGGGTAAAAACTATTCCAGCAATGTCTGATTTGTATTACAAACATGAAACTACCTAGCCTTTCGACACTCAGCGCCTGATTAGTCGCTGGCACCGCCGCCAGTCGCGAGCGAGGGGCTCTGGTGTTGTGGACAGCGGGCACTGGTCGTGACCTTGTGTCGCCGACCCATCCGTCGGCCAAATGTTTGGGCAACCTCTGTGCTAGTCTTGATTGGCTGGCTGGTTGGGCGGGCTAGTTATCGCCGATCGGTATCTTGGCTCTCTCGCATACAATATCTGCCGCCCACGTATATTCGGCCGACGCCATCCGCACCATCCGCACCATCCGCAATCAGATGACGACGGTACGGTGCCGTTGTTCGTCTTGACCGCCTTTGAGGAGCGGATGGCAAGTAATAATGGCATCCGTACTCTCGAGCAACCGGCATCAACCTCACAACCCCAAACACCTACCGAGTATCCGTACATCGCAGGCACCCGTTTACAAAGCTGGTAGGGTGGCTGCACGGAAGCCGCCACTAAACAGTGGCATCGTAAACTGACTGACATCGGGCTGCATGGCCATGGCCGCAACGCTAGGTGATGGTTCACTGCATCGGAACTACCTTGATGTAGTAGGTGTTGTATCGTACAGTGCAATACATACCTAGCGATGATGGCATATTGGCGGTCGGACTAGTGCATTGCCTAATGTCCAGGGGCAGAGAGGCTTGGAATGTTTTGCCATACGGCATCTATACCGGCCGAGAGGAGCTGGCTCGGTTTGCGAATCCTCTTGTTTGTTGTAGCTCCATCTGGTGAGGGGCATTTTCCCCTCAGCCCTATGGGGGAGGCCCAAGGACAACTTTCGGCGGCAGCACCGAGCGACGCAAAACAGCAGGCCGACGGGAGAGGTTTCTTGGCATGCATTCAAGACCTACACTACTCCGTACCAGGAAGGGTATGTACATACACCTGTCTCACGTCGCGTGTCGTCCCATGTTAACTCAACAAAGCCAAACTAGCTCCCTTCCGAGCCGTATTGGATACTTGACCTTGTTGCTTTTCTGCAAGACCTGTACATGCGAGTGCGAGACTGGACTTGGACTACGAGAAAGTGTGACCTTGGAACCCATCACCATCGATTGGCAAGTCCAAGAGACAGCCAAGATGGTCCAAGGAGGAGGAAGAGGCCACCACCACCACCACCACCACGAGTGCACATCACATCACAGTACACTATGCCACACCGCCAAAGCAAAAGCCGGCATCCATCCCTCAGCCCTCTCAGCATGCGGGTAGGCGACCCATCGTAGCCCAAACAAGATCTGTATCCCGACATTCAGTCATTGGAGAGAGACGGGGCGGGCAGTAGCACCCGCTCACATCTCTCCAGTCTCCACCAATTCGAAATCGCGGTCTTCACCCAACTTGGATTCAGGGAATAGGACGGACGGTAATTCTATCGTCCCAAAGATAGAACTAGAGTTTCGCCGTCCGAAACAAAAAGAAAAGAAACCCAAAAGTCCCAATCTCCAATTGCCCGTGCAATCACCGCACGTGTAAGCACAGCTCGCGGTTCGGTCCAGCTATGGGGAAATGGAATGGCGCTGTTGTTGTTGCTAGGTTGGGTTGGTGCAGTGCTGCGGACGGATTCCAAATGCGCGCACCCGCGAGGTCATGTTCGTGGGGAAAGAAGCAAGAGCCCAGAGAGAGCTCCTCTTTTTTTCCTTGCTCTGCTGCTGCTGCTGCTGCGAAGACGTTGCACCAGGTCAAGCACCAAGCTAGCTCCCCCAAGCTGTGGAGAAGGTACAAAAAAGCCACCAGCCCTACGGGAAATGCGCTGGGAGAAAATAGAGATATTACAGAGCACGGGGACAAGGGTGGATGGGTGCGCAGATTCAAGGTTAGAGAGGTACATGTACTTGGCTGATGTGTCCACGCCCCAGGGTCTACAGAATGCCGTGAGTGAAGAGGGGAGTGGTGGCTTTTGCTTGGCATCCTAATCGGGTCTAGTTTGAGTTACCGCTCCTTTCTCGCCGTCTTCTCCCGTTGCGGTTTTTACAGCCCTTCGCCGACCCCAAACTGTAGTGCGAATCCCTCTTCCGTCTCGTCTCGTATCGTAGACGAGGTAGACAGACAGACGAGATTGTGCAAAACAAGACCAAGACCAAACCTTCTGGTTTTTAAGACAAAAAAGATATCACGAAGTTGATCAAAATGCCTCCTCGGGGGGTATGAACACATTTTCAGGGGCAGACAGCCAAACTAGGTAGTGCAGTCCCATCGGTCGGAAGGCGTCCTCACAAAACACCCCTTTGTCATTTCTCGCCGGCAGGCCGGTCGGTGCATATTTACGCAAACGCAGCTCGTTGTAAAACTAAATTGAATGTAATGCATTTCTGTATCGAGTCCTCCGTATTCTGTATGAGCTGTCAAAACGGAACTGGGGGAAGCAGCAGCCTGAGGGTGGGTGGGCCGCTTTGAATGTTTGGTTTGGTGCGGCGTGGAGCAAACACGAGCGGCTTGTCCCAAACAGGTCAATTTGCCCTCTTTTGCAAAAAGCATGCCCCGTTTGGATGACGGCCAAGCGCTGATTGGGCGCAATCATGGCCGGGGGGGCGCAATGTCTCCGACGACGTCCCGGCTCCGGGCCTGGAACTTTCACCACTTTCCCCCCCCTCCATGACTATGACAGATATTGACGCGCCCCGGATCGGGCGTTGCGTGGCAGCGTGGCTCGCTTACGGCGCCAGGTTAGGCATGATTAGCCGCGGCCAGTGGCACTTTCCTGCGACTGTCGTCTGTCAACTGTCCCGAATTATCTCAGGAGGCCCGCCGCCGTCGAGGGCGTTTGCGGCCGCGGCTTAGAGGCGTTTGCCCCCCCTTCTCCTCATCTCCCCCCTTTCCCGATCCGCTATCGCCGCATTTGGACTGACGAATATCGATGCCTAGAGAACGAGTTTCTTTGCCTATGGTGGCCAAGAAGTCAGGCCTTTGGGAGTCGGGGGCGTCCTCGAGAGACAGAGAGAAGACAGCACCGCAGTGTGTCATCGTGTCTGTGTCTAATATCTCGTGTCGCCCGAGAATTACTGCCTCGCACAATGCGCAGGACATGAGCGCCAAGATAACAGAACATGGAAGGTGGCATCAACAATGCTCATCGCTCAACGTTCACCACGCTCATCAGCCTCCAGTCTCCACTCGAGTTCCAATCTCACACGCATCTCACCGCGGCCGACACAAGCCGCGACCCCCTCCATGGGGGAGTCCCTGTCAGAACTCACTTGCGGGAGATTCTTGTGGCCTCCGGACCCAGGGCTAAGGCTCTGGAACGGTAGCTCTCACGCACCATGACGGCCCCCCAAGCTGCCGGCATACGAATCAGAATCAGGTCTGGTCTCGACCTTTTAGCGTTGGTGTCTCATCAAACCCCAGGTTTCAACCTTCCCCCGGCATCGTGGGCTGTGCGATCCCAGCCACAGAGAGCCACGCGCGCCCAGAGCCATATGCCAAGCGATATCTCGGCGGCCCCCCTTGGTGAGCAATAGACGTTCGCTGCCGAGACAGCTTCATGGCCGTGTCCCATCTTCGCACCTTGGCCTGCTGCAAGGTGCTTCTCGGCCAGGTCATCATTAGGTTTTTAGTTTGCTGGCCAGCCCTGCATAACAATGGGCTTGGCAGGATAATCTGGCGCACCACATTCTTCCTTGTCTGGGCTGACAGAGACCGTTACCAAGCAAAGCAAGCGCAGGCTATAATGTGGGTCGTATATCGTTCGAGAGATTACAGATTGGTACGGAGTACAAGCCCATACTGCTTCGCGGGCGTCTGTCCAACCACACCCAAATCAACCCCTACCCCCTTCACCCCCTTGAAGACAGACAACATCACGGCGGCGGTAAAGATCTTTTCCTCTTCAGGGCTGGCAGTCCCAGATGCCGGGAAATACCCGACATCGAGCTTAGCAAGATGGGGAATCTAGCTGGACCAGAATGGCTGGCTGGCGGCCTAGCCCTCTCCCAAACCAGCAGGTCGGAAACAACCTTGTGGTTCTCTTGTTTCCTCCGGGGCGGTCTAGAGCATGACATGTCCCTCTCATTGCCCGCCCGCGTGCCGCCCGCGCCTGCCCTCCCTGTCTGTCCATATCTCGAGGTTGAGAGAAGCGGTCCTGTCTCCAAGGTGAAAGACGAGGGGGGTCGGCCACAGGGGATTCGAGACAAGGCGGCTTGCTGTCATGGTCTTGAAACAAACAGACACCACAACGCCAGTGCTAGATGGCCCATCCGCCGCCCAGGCCGCCCTTACAAATATGTTACGTTAAAAGGTAACAAGGTGAGGCAGCCACTTTCCAGGTCTGGTAAGGAGGCCATGTGTGGTCTTGGTTCCGTTTACAAAAGGTCTGAAGGGGGCGTTCTTTTGCTTCTGTGCATGACGGACGCGCAGGCTCGGATCGTTGGGGTTGTGTGATTTGGGGGTGTGTGTGGTATGTGCGGCGGCGTTGAGCGGCGGGAAACCACTTTTACCATTCTTGGCATTTTTAGGCGGGCGGCGGCCTGTTCTCTCGGGCTGCCGCTCGAAACATTTCTCACTAAAAAGTTTTACGAACATAACAAATCTCACCCAAAAAAGAACCACACACACACACATACACACGCACCGACACCGGCACACGCCGACACACGCCGACACACCCAGAGTGGATGGATGAATTAAAAGATGACTGAGTTGTTCGGTATCACAATATGAAATAATAATGTAATCACTAATAATTAAGAGTATCACAAGCAAAAAGAGTGAAAAAAGATTGCCGCGCAGTAAAATAAAAACGGAGCCGGGAATGGGGCCAAACCAAATTGCCGGGATGCTCTTAGGGCTGCATGATCATTCCTACTTACCTCGGGTTGCGTGCACGACTGGCTCCCCTACAGCGGCAGCGGGCGGGAGCCGGCATGGTCTGTGTCTCTCGTGAAGAAACCAATCGCCGCCGCGTGCTTGTCTGTCTGTCCCCCCGTTCTACTGCAAGCTCGGTTCAACAACAGCAGCGCCTTCATTTACACAGGGCTTAGAGCCAGCCAGCCAGCCAGCCCTTAGGCGGTTAGGATAGTACATACCCTAGGTAGGCGGGTTCCGGGGAGGATTGGAGCTTCCACCTACCTAAGGAAGGCTCCATTGACTGGTGGGGATTCGTGAGGACGGAAGACGGAAAGACGGACGGGAGAATATGCAGTGTCCTTTTTTTATTTCTTCCCTTAGCTCATACAATCTATCTCTACATTATATTTCATTCTCCACTCATCAAGCCTGCGAGCGAGCGAGCGTGGCTACGTTACTTACCTAGCTGGTAGGTGCGTGGCTTGGCTGCTGGGTGCCGTACATACATACATACGGAATAGCTCGGGTGGCTTTGACTCTCGACAGAGGGTACTAGCCGTATCTTGAAGAAAGAAACATGGCATCGCCGGTTATACCGGTCTATCATTCGTCATATCGCGAAGAAACATGGAAGAGAGATGGACAAGGACAGGGACCGTCAACGTGGAACGGGGATGAGGTCTCTCGGTGCGGGGCCCTTGTTCATTTCTTCCACTTCAAGGTTCCCGTCAAGCCTCGATGGAATGGGCTGATATGGCGCGCGGGGGGGAGACAAATCGCTCCGGTGCGTTCGCCTGTTTCCATTTTTCGGTTCGCTATTTTTATTTCAACACAGAATCACGTTGCCCCAGCCAATTGTACGGAGCATGCATGATGCATTTCGATAACAAGGGGTTTTCGGCCGAAGAAACCGGAGAGAAGAAGAAAAAAACGGGCCGCGATCCTTCGCAGCTACGTACTCCCCGTGCATGCATGATTAATACACTTCGGAAGGAGAGAAAAGCAACCGGCCCGTCCGTTCGGGCCACCTTTTTTGTAAATAAACTCACTCCTGAGGGATGCAAAACCCCCGAGATCCGTGTGGGGAACAAAAACGTCGTTGAGGAGATTGAGATGGGGGCGGCGGGCGCGGCGTGATTACTGATCTGGATCTGGATTAGTTAGGTAGCTACGCGTTGGGGGGCTCTTCGTCCGTCGCCGACTCGCCGTCCACTACCAAGCCAAAAAAAAAACCCCCCCAAGCGGCGGACAGAACCCGGGCTACGGTATCCGAAAGGACCGGCGTGGAAAAGTTTAGCGCGTGCCAAACAGGGGATGGGCAAGGTTAGAAGACTCAGGGGCGGCAACGGGAAAACTATTGCGAATCGAGACAATGCTAGTGACTACACAGTAATCTCGGGCATCGGTGCAGCGTGCTTTCTGAGCTAAAATCCACTTTTGGTTAAATTCGGGTCCCGTCCAAGGTTAGGGTTATGAGTGTGAGTTGTCTCTCGGAGGGAGGGAGCTGCGGGACTGGAAATGATGAAAGGGGAAATAAAATGGAAAACAAAATAAACCCGCCGATGGCTGCCACAGCTACCTGCCTACGAATTGCTGCTACTGTACCCTTTCCCAGAAATAGAACTGTGGTTGGTAAAAAAGCCAAGCATGCACAGGAGCCTCAGCTCAACGAAAGTCTAACAAGCTAGAACAAACTAAACACGCCCATGCATGCATGCCCCTTTTTGCCAAGTGCATGGCAAACAAGACTCTTTTTGACGCCAGTCTGTTTCGCACAGCGCCAGCCGACAGAGTTGTTTATACTTGTCATGTTACAGCAGTCGATTCTGTTTTGTTCCCCCCTTTGCAGCTTCTTGAGACTGCTTCTTGTTTGAGGGCATCCCCTTTGCATGAACTTGTTGCTCATGCAGGGTCATTTCCGTGCAGCGCCGTTTTCGTGCATTCTTTGATCCAGCTGTCACTCCCCTTTATCTGGGGAATCTGCAAAAACACTATGCATGTCGACAGTCGGCGCGGCAGCCCCTTGACAGAAAAAGACGACGACGACATCGGATGGCTTACAAAGATCCCGTCTTCGTTCTCGTTCTCGCCAAAATTGTCCGCCGTGGGCGAGGAATGGTACGATAATGAAACAAAGCATATGGGATAGAGGTGGCACGCACAGCTCCTCTTCACGACTTCATACCCTTGCCTCAGCTCCTGATTGGTTAATCTCATCAACCCAGAAAGGGAGGTCGTTTGTAACACAAATCTCCTTCTCTTTGGTGGCTTGAGAAGCGGGGCGGCGTGTTGTGTAAGCACCTTAAGCACTTGGCTGGGGAATGGTGGACATGCCTGAGGTACAAAGTACATACAGCGCAGAGGCCCATCGACAACGCCGCGACCTTACAGGAGGTACATGATCGTGCTGGCATGTAGCCCTACGAACTTCCGTTCCAAGCTAGCGGGTTCTCCCTTGAAGCCTGGGCAGTGATAGGTCCGCTACTAAGCACACGCCGGGGTGCACAGCTGCTGATATCAACACCCGTTTGATGTAGGACGCGGGAGATGGGGGGAGAGGAGAGGGGAACCTCGGGTGAGCTCTAGAAAACGGCCTGCTTGTTCACCGTCGGTGTAGCAGGTCAGCCACGTGTTTCCGGTCTTACGACCTGGGTGCTCGGGAGGCGTCTGCCGAAGCACAGATGAAAGGAAGAGGCCTTCTCCGGAAGGCTTGGAGAGGCGGTGCCCCCTGACCATTGGTCGGCGGCCCCTAATAGCAGGAGACAGCAACGGACGGAAATGGACTTGACAGAAGAGGGAAGAGTTTCCTTTCTCGATCGGGAAATTTCCCCTGCGACGAGAGCTGCCCACGTCGGGGAAATGAAGGTGTTTGGTAAAGCATGCAGCCCTTATTTCATCTGCACCCGCGTCGGCGACCTGGAGAGGATGTTTTCGTTTTGGATTACCAGTTGCATGATGCCACGATCCTCGCCAGGATCGTCCGAGCAACATGCCCGCGGCATCAATGAGACGAGAAAGCCAACGGCAACCAGAGGCAACCACGAAGCACGTGCGGCATGCTGTTGCTTGATGCTTCAAGTTCTGACCGGGAGCCTGGAAGGAATACAGACAGTGGTTCCCGCCTTCGTTGGACATCGAGAAACCGACTTTCAAGGTCAAATCCCGCAGGGCGAGGGCGGACCAGATCTGGGCAGGCAGGACTGTCTGAACGAGTCTGGGCCCCTCAAATTGTTTCAGAGGTGCCAGCGAACTGCCTCTCGGCAGGATAGCAATGGGTTGGCAGTCAGCCATGCCCAAGAACCCCTGGGCGGTTGGGGGTTCCTGGGGTGACGGTGCGATCCCCGAAAGGGGCAGAGAATGGGTTGCAGAGGTCGCCAACTTGCCCATACTATGATGCTATATTGGGAGTCCAAGGTGCTGTTTGTTGGAGAAAACCTGGTGCCTAGGGGCTAATCCCCGGTGGAAAATAACGTAACGGGGGAGTGTCCTGGGGCATTTTCAGAGCCTACGGGGTGCCCAAGGCTACTGCATGGCGTGCGTGCGTCAGGCGACGGCGAGCACCGTTCAGAGGAGTGTTTGTGCTGGTCCCGAGGCCGAAATAGGGTTCGCGTCAGGGGTACGGGGCGGTAAGGCTGAGGCTCAGGTATGGGCGTGCCCACCCACTGCTGGCCTCTGCAGCGTTGGGGATGATTAATCCCAGTCGAAGTGCTGTCGGCCCAAGGCCCTCCAGGAGAGGAGGCGAGATTGCGCCGCTTGGAGGTCTGTCCGAGGTTACGAGCAGTCGCAGCTGATTGGCCGATCAAGCTCTGGGGATTTTGGGATGGAGTGGAGACGGGCTCGAGGACTGGACGAACGTCGGAACCACACAGCGATCCACATTGCACAACCGTCCGACTTTTACTCGAGAGTCCACACTTATCATTGCCCGTTTGCGGATCTGCAGATAGCAGCGGCATGGCTCGGGGTACAAAAACCAAGCAGCGGTGTGTCGGGCGAGCGGACAGAGCGAACTAGTGGTGGCCAGCGAGACGAGACAAAATATGAGAGCGTCGTAAACAACCGTTCGCTGGCCGTCTCATAGGGCCCGAAGGATCACAAGAGTTATTACTCCTCCCGCGCGCGGGTGACAGCCTAGGTCGCGTTGCCGCAGGCGAGCACGGATGCTTAAGGTAGGCAGTTGGCTCGCGCCGTGCAGTGCATTGCTTGGAGGCCTTGGGAAGGGGGACTTGGAACCGGGTCTACGGCGATGTCTCGTTAGGGACGGACGGGGCGGGGCAGCTAAACCGTCTGATACGAGACGAACGGAGAGAAATGGGGAAGGATGTGGTGCGTGAAAGGCGGGTCGACAGCGCGGCCGGGGCCTCTGAGTACCATACCAGATGCCAGATACCAGATACCAGATACCTCTAGCGAGGGAGAGCAGTGTGGTGACTGGTAGTGGTAGGTGGTTGGCTCACAGGACTCAGTAGGAGCAGACCGCCATGCTTTCCAGCAGCAAGTTTCCGTGCTCAATTCTCTGTAGGTAGTCTGTACCGAACAGTAAGTCTCACTCAAGGTGAATAAGAAGCTGGAAGCAGGGTTCGGCCGACGTGGACCACCCAGCCGGGAGGTCGCATGCACAGCATGCACGGGTCTCGGTTCCAAATCCACTACTCGGCAAGGGATGGAGTTGGCTGTGTTGCACTGAGCAGTTGACTATTCCCCGAATTGCTGTCGGTGACGGAAGAACGAGCTAAAGGGTATCAGGCTCGAATTGCTGCTGGTGCTGGTGCTGGTGCTGAGAGTAACTGCCCTGAGGTCCGCCAGACGAAAGCGCCTCGCTCGGGTGCTAGCGTTGGTGCTGGTGCTGGACTGTGTAGAGTGGATCTTACTTCCCAGGCAGCAGGATTTTCCCCTCATAGACTGGTGGGACTGGCCCCGCCCCGGTTGTCTGCTCGAACGTGTCGGCCTGATGCGGAGGGGCCCCCAAGATGAAAAAGCTTATTTGATGCCGTGACTGCCCAATGATCGCATGGCCCGCTTATTTGTCATCTTCTATTTATGGGCAACACCCATTAGCAAGCAGCCGCACGTGGCATTCGCCTGAGGCAGCCAGCCTTCATCGTGAGGCTTCAGTGAGCCCAGGGCACGGACAGGCACAGGCCCAGGCAAAGGAAAGAGTGGCCAGGTACGCCAAGACTGACTGCCTGATTCTTTAAAGTCAAATCTGATCGACTTCTTTCAACGACTCCAGATCCCTTTCCAGGTTGCCAGAATAGGAAAATGTTAGCCTATTATGGTTCACTACTACACTGACCGCACTACAGCTAGTCCAGCTTGGTATCCATAACCCATAACTACCTTACCTTTATCTACCTCTACCTCTTACTGTATCTTCCATACTACTACTGCGTACGGCTACGTATGCTAACTACCTAGAGCATTGTCTGCTTGCTCGAGGTGTGTGCATCTTGGGTGCGCCACAGTATGCCAGTCCGCTGCAAGAAGTGTCATTACTAACAGCAACACACATTCGCTGCTGCACATGCACCCGCTAAACCCAAGTTAGCTTTATCGGGAGGTAAAGCTCGCCCAGCTGTCAAACCTGAACTCTGTGCCGTAGGGTCGGGGCACGGACGGCCCCCAGGCCCGGGAGCTGAACAGGAGAATCTTTCTCGAAGCCGGGGCCAAGGGTTTGCGCCGCAGACAGACGTCCGACTGCGAGCCATCGCTCGCCGGGAAACCTTGACTTTGTTGAAGCGTCTGGTCTGTCCAACTGCACTATTGCCATGTACCTTGGCTGGGCCTCAGATTGGCTATGGCTGGCCCTTGACAACCTCCAGGCACCAAGTAGGTAGGGTGTATCTGTACCCATCACGGCACGTATAAGTCCACATCTCTTAGCAGCTAGGTGCTGCTGAATAAGGTAGGTAGTATACCGTACTGGCTTTGGCCAGCTTCAGCTGTCCTCGGCTGTCCCTCGACGCCAATGGAACGAACTCCGGAATCCTTCGTGTGGACGACGGTGCCCGGTTACGGATATCAAAGTTCAAAAGTTCCTGTTGTAGTCCACACATCCTGATCGGTCCTGCCTAACGGAATGCCTGGCAGGTCGCCGGCACATCGCCGACCCACGATGCCTACTACCTACCCCAATTTAATTGCGGCGGCGCAAATGAAGCAACGAGCCAGCCAGCCAGCCCACCCTCCGTATTTTTCCCACGTCTAAATTGAAGCTAAGGTACATCGGGAAGCTGCAACAGACAGACACCACAAAACGTCCCGGCCGCAACCCCGCTGCATTCATGGTCGCCGACTCGCCACAGCGCCCGCTTCCAGCGCTCCCCGTACTAAAACGCCTGAAGCGCCTGCTTGCTATCTCCTAACGCCAGCCCCTAATGGTTATCCTGGGGGTGATGGGCTTGCCTTGCCTACTACGTAGCCACCCTACCTCTCGGATGTGAGGTACTAAATCCAGTACTGCACATATCTCCTGATCGTGTTGTAACCAGACCCCGACTTGGTCATCACAAGCGAGGGCACAAAGAACTTTGGGCAGGGCCTCTAATCCCTCCGTGGTCCCTGTGTAAGTGGGCCTCACATATCCACATCGCACCTCTCAGTCGACGTCGACAGTCCGCAGTCCAGTCCACGAGCACACCATAGAGTTACAGAGTAACACCCCACCTCTCCACACCGACTCAAGGTAAGAGGCCTCAGAGGCTCTAAGTGGGATGTGCTTGGGTATGTACTCAGAATCACAGGTGCCGTAGGTAAGGTATTCACAATCTATCAAGATCCTCGTCGTCCAGTGAGCAGCTCGGCCCCTTCTCCCAGCTCAACTCGGGGCAAACTTGGCGTGTTACATATCGTACGAGCTTGACCTGTCGCATAGGAGGAGAGCCAGGTCAGGAGGCATCTCTACTCTCCACAATCCGGGGACTTTGATGCTGCACTGTAGCGAGACAGGAGCAGGCAACACGCGTTGTGATGTGATTTGGAATCTCCTCTGGCGAGGTATCCATACAGCCCTGTACGTGCAGTACTTCCTGTATGTACGTAGATCGTTTCTGAGATATGATGCCGATATGTGGATATTAGGGAGGTGGCAGTAGTAGTAGCCATTTTATACGGGAGGCGCAATTCGGGGCGGACTCGGCATGAAGCAATGACGAATCTTCTCGAGATCTCGTGTAGGAATAGTAATAAACCTCCAAGAAGACGACGGGCCTCTACTCCCGCCGGCGGCAGAAGGCCGGGAGAGCTAAACCCCATGCCATGCCCGCACCCCGCCTCAAGCAAGCTACGTATGTAGTGAGCTTGCGCAATCCGCACCGCAAGCCGAGAGAGAGCATTATCGGCAGACACGAGCACCGGCTGCTCACCTTTCCGGCTTCCCACTGCCCCCCGGATCCATCCCGAAATGGACAACTCGACGACAAAGAGCTCCCTTTCCACGTCACGTCTACGAATAGCCACCGCCGAGACGGTTTATGGCCGGCGTCTCGGAGGCCAGAAACACACAAGGTGGCCCAGAGCTCCCCAGAAAAGAAATAGAGGGGTTTGGCCTAGCTCTTCGTCGCCCACGGCCGGTATATTACTGCCATAGCTGGTTTCAGGCAATATCAGATACATATATACAGGACTGCTCTCGCCTTGACCGGTTGGGGAACAGTGGATGTACCTTAGTGGTGGGATGGGCACGGGACAACGAGTGCAGCGCATCAAATCCAAACCCCACCCCCAGTCCCCTCATTATCCTCCCGATAAACTCTGAACGGACGGGTAGGTAAGGTAGTTACGTAGCTGTAAGGCTACTGTGTACAGGGCGCCTAGCCCAGCACCTAGCGAGCAGACCAGCCCGCTCGTGGTGTGGGATGGATGGATGAGGAGGACATCACCGGGGGTGTAGCTTGGCTCGGCCCTTTTGCGGTTACTAACGAGTCTTGAACGAGATGAGTGGCCCGCCGGGTTTTGCGCCTGGGCAGTTTATCACAAAGGTCCCAGCTGGGCAGTCTTTACCGAATGACGCCTAGCGGGCCCCAGAAAGTGGACAAAGACCCCTGGGCTGGGCGAGACAGGGTGGCAGCACGGACTGCCCAAGTCAAGTCGAATGAATGGACTGGCCTGACTGGATTGAATTGGGTTTGAGTTAGAGTGGGAACTAGCCAGACGGGCGAGCGTTGAGATGTGGCCGGCTGGAGGTTCAACTCAACGGCGGGCCTTGTATGGAAATGGCAAAGATCTTGCTGGCTGGCTGGCTGGCCGCTAAGGCTAAGGTTAGTGGGCTCGCTCGCTCGTTCCTTCTGCAACCTCCTCACAGCCCTACAGGCAAGGAGTGATCCGGGAGCCAGCAATCGTGCAGGGATAAGGTAGATGGGAGTGGGCACTTGCTGGCACTGGCTCGCGACCAGCCGTCCCGTCTCGGCGATGTTTTTTTTATAATTCGGGGATCGCCCTCCCTTGACCAAGCCAGACTTGAACCGGTAATAATATTCGCAGCTTGCCCTGGTGCCCTGGTGCTGGTGCTGCAGGACGGGACAGGGCATGGAGGGCAGGGCAGGCAGTGTGTGACCGTGGCAAGTACGACCGACGGGCGGGAGAGTTTTGACTGATCGGTCGGCCGCATGTCTGCCACTTGATGCGCTGCCATCTGCTCGGCTAATCGAACGTTTACTGCGAGTACTACATGAGGTGGATAGTACATACTCGGCATCGACGGTAAGGCGTTGCACTTTCTCTGATGGCGGCTTGCCAGGGTCCATTGTTCGTTGCATTGTCCATTGCCCGATTGCAAGTCCACACCGCCAGTGGAACGCAAGCCCGGCCGTACCCGCGCAGGCGCCATCGCGCCGGAATTACCTTGTGCCCCAGCAGATTCCATTTGTTGCGGATCTGTCTGTCGGACTGTCGTCGCCGGGTGCGTGACCACTTGAGCGCCGTGGGTAAAATTAGCCCACATAGCTCTCCAGGCTAGAGCCAAATTTGCCCACTTTGCAGCCGAGCCATGGCTGCCTGGCGGCACCTGCACGCAACCTAGCTCGTAACAATACGGATCGTTGGTAAAAAAAAAAAAAAAAAAACGGAATACAGCCAATGTTTCAACGCTCCGTTATGTTTCCATCCACTCCCGTATAGCTTCGCCCCTCCTCTCTCATCGTCCCTTCCCTTTCGCTGAAGCTCCCCATTGCCCCCCGCTCTGCACGCCATCCATCCCAGCAGGCGTCTGTTCCAGAGACAGGCACTGAATTCGTAAAGCACAGCGAACCAGATGCTCGCTTGCCCCTCTCTGCCCTGAGGTGCATGCAAAGCACGCCCGCAATGAGTTGCGCGTCGCTTTCAGCACGCCCCTACCATCCCCAAGGCGAAGGGCATCTTCCACTTTCGGCTCGACTGAGGTGTCTAGGTATTCTACTCAGGACATCCAGCACGCAGACTGCTTCGTTGTTTGCACACGATCCCATACCTACCTTACACGACCCGAGCTGCCAGCCAGTCTGGCGGCCGGCGAAGCTCTGGCTACAAGACTATGGTCAAAGCTCCAGGGCCTGTCTTGGTGGGAAAGGACCCGCAGACCGAGCCGGGCTACTCAGCCTTGCCAACAAATCTACTACTATGGATGCATTTTATCTCAACCTACCTACCTTTAGTGAAGGTGCCGATGGCTAATTATGATCCGCGCGGCTGCCGAGTGAAGGCCGGGCTCGAGGTACCTGTCTGTTGGAGAACTCAAATCATAAGAAACAAAAGCAAAGGAAGCGAAAACGGCATCCGAGGAGTTCGTCCGGACTTTACTCCGTCCTTGCCCTCCTTGGGGAGCTTGGCCCTGTTCTGTTCTCTCTGCACACGGGGGTGTGCAGCGTATCCGAGCCCACCAAGACGAACCCATGGATCGCCGTGCGCCCAGGAAAGCTCTCCCAGGCGACGGTTAAGTACCTTGGGTACGTACCTCTGTTGGCTGCCATCCAGCACTTCCGTGCTGCCTCGTAGGGCACCCCTGTGAAGTCCCACCCCCCTCCCTCCCTCCCAAATCCTCCAGTCTGGACACCGGCACCCCTGCCCATGCATCGTAGCAGGTACCAAAGCCAGGCTGCAGGAAAGTGGCTAGGTACTTGGCGACTTCTGGTCGTCGAGGGATCCAAAAAATACCAGGGACTGTCCCCTCGAGCGACTCGAGGCTCCTCAGATCCCTGCCGTCCTCGGGTGTGGGTTGACCGGCCGCAAAAAGTACCATACTCCCGCCATGTGGATGTGCCGCAAGCCTCCTCCTCGTGGCCCGAGGAATGCCTCTTGGATATTTAACCCGCGAGGCTCCCCTCATCCCACAAGACCGTCCTGCCCTACCTCTTACCATAAGTTGTCGACGCCGCTTAATGATTACAACATCTGAGGCCATTAACAACACATCAGCCTGACACTGCCGAATCTGATCTCATATTCTTGTTCCATCTTATCTCACTCCCACAAGACGAGCTCTGCCGTCATCGTCGAGCTCACTTCACCATGTTCACCATGTCACAACACACATACGCCTACGCGGCTCAAGCTCCGCAGCCGCCACGGCAGTTTCCCGGCCACGGCACCAGCAGTGCCTTCAGCAGCTCCGCCAACCCGGACGAGGACTGGACCAAGATCTCCGACCTCGCCGAGCGCCGGAGGATACAAAACCGCATTGCCCAGCGCAACTACCGTACGTAGCAGCCTACTTGCAGCTTCCCATTCCAATCCTCATGCTTGGTCATGGGGGGCTCTGGCTAAAACAGTGTCTTTCTCTCTCTACAGGCAAGAAGCTCAAGAGACGTCTAGAGGAGCTTGAGAGGCGCGCGGGGACATCAGACGGCGCTTCGTCATCGGGCGGTGAGAAGGCGAGCCCGCCGAGCAAGAGCAACAAGAAGTCGCAGCAATCCCACAAGGCACAGAAGCAAGCATCAGCCCCTCCCACGAAGCCCACCGTTCAGACACAGTTCTCTCCACCCATGCACCACGACGACGAATATCTTTTCCCGTCGTCTTACGACGAGAGGGAAAGGTCGCACACGCCGCCCATGTACGCATACTCTACATACCCGCCTCCCCCAGAAGACATGCTCTTGGCGCCGTACGGGGCCGTGCAGGGATACAGGCCCGTCACCACAGAAGCATACTCGGAATACATGACGCCTCCGCCCGTCCCGGTAACACTACCCTCAATGACACACTTTAACGACGCGCTCAAGCGGGATCCGGGTTTCTCGGGCCCTGACGAGAACCTCCCGTACATGGGGAGCTACAACAGCTACCTTCCAGGCGTCGACATGAGTGCCGGGGCCCCATCGCCGTACGACCAGATGCCTCATGTGAGTTCCTCACGCAGTTCAGCTTCTCTACCTTCTCAAGGCCGCGCGCGAGATCGAGAACCCCCTTGCTGATGGGTGGATGACATAGACTCCCCCTCTGTCACACTCTTTTGACCACTCGGCGAATTGTTCGGAGTCGGGTAGCTACGAGTACCCAACAACGCCGCTGTCAATGCCGGGTTCGCCCGGCTTGGTCCAACAGCAGATGTGAAGAACGAAGAGAAAAAAGAACACGTCCTTGAAGAAAAAAAAAAGGGCCAAGCAATTCCCGCCACTGCTACCACCAACCAGCACCATTCTTCATTCACCAAAACAAAACCTTCTCATGACCACTATTCATCACTACTCTATTATTCGGGAAAGGGCATCTCAGACGGATGCAGGCATTTTTTTTGGGTCGGGATCGAGCATTTATATATATATTACGGAGGCCAGTTTTTACTAGTGGGAGGGAAGGCGTGAATGGCGCAGTTCACTTTGATTGTTCCCATGGACGAAGTGCTCGACCTCTATGGAACTACCTTCGGTTACCTTTGGCACAGCTTTTTAGTGGAGGGGTGGTGGCAGGAAGAGAATGGGTGGTTTGGACTCTGGGCCTTGATTCCAGAGTCACACACGCAAGCACAAAGCTGCGTCCAAAACAAGTGAGCGAGAGAGGGATTTTCTCGAAGCTTTAGATACCATACCTATTTGCAATGAATGAATCAAATGACTTTCACCAACAGACCCCTCTCCCCCCCCCCCAAAAAAAAAAATTAAGCCAGTACAATTCTCCGCCGGCAGGTCGACGTGGTGGTTAGGAAATTTAATCCGCATTGGGCTTTCGTCGCGGTCTTCCCAACGACAAGCGGCTGACGAAACCCCTCCCCCCTTGCCCCTCCAAAGACAAAAATAAAGATCTGACAAACCACCTTCTGTCAAGCCCGCCAGCGCGACCACCCGTCTTGGGTCAGCCCTTTCCCCCCGCCACGTTTTTCGGTTCTGAGATGAGAGGAGAATAAGTAGATGACTGGCAACAGCAAGCCGGGCAGCTGTGAGATTCTGGAACGCCTCCCAGGGAAGCTATGCAGATTATTCTCACCTCCCTGCTTCCTCGGTCTCTGGTGCCACAGTCGGTTCGGCTCGACTGGAACAAAAAAGCGACACAAAGTGACCAAAACACTGGCGTTGCATTTTGTGGCGTCGGCGCCCTTCAACCGAGCAGCCGTCCGCGCACAGAAACCACTCCACGCGCGGCCCTCGTGGGCGGTGCCTTGCGGGTACAGACAGTGCTGTCCAAGTACGAGTACGTGCATACAGTACATACAGCAGGGGACGGGGTTCCCCTCCAACCAAATGGAAGGAACCGAGCCCAGCCTCGGGTCACACACATGGACGCCTCGATGGGGCAAAGCAGCAACAGAAGGAAAGAACACAGGACACGAGGGGACCCAGAGAATCACACCCCCCTCCCTGATCCACCTCCGCGCTAGCTCTGCCAAATTCCCGCGCATTCGAATGCGAGGGCGATGATGGGGCGGCTTGTTGGAGATGGGGGCGAAAGGCCCCCAAATGCGCATTCTTGAAGGGAGGAAAACCCGATATCATAAACTATCTAGGTAGGAACCCAGGTATGGAGAAGGGCCTCAATGCCGAATACGAATGTACATTTACGGTGTATGTTATCGTGTAAAGCAGGTACTCTGCCGATATCATCTGGACTAAAGGACCAAGTGCGAGAGAGAGCCCGGCGTTGCGAGATGCGTATCAATTACTAAAGTCATTGAAACCCGGGAGGGCGCGGACAGCAAGCGCGGACCACACACCCACGTTTCTCCAATTGTTCATGTCATCATTACGATAAATAACTTGTAGAACGTGGTGTCCGGGGCCTCAGTCAACAACAAACGCCCTCCAGGCATGACTGCAAATTCACGATTTACTAATCGGATCGGTCATCAAACGTACAATGGCACCTCTGCCCATCAGCACCGTTCCGGTTTCTCTCTAATCTGTACTACCGCACCTGGTTCTCTCCCCCTTCACCTTCCTCCTCCCATAAGCAAATACGCTCGTTCGCTCGCACTTGACAAATAGCTCCTTGAGATCGTCAATTCCGAAAGTGGCTTGCCTGTCCCCACAGAATAAAACCCGCACATACCCTGGGAGCCCATGTTGCACCGAATGCCCATGTACGTTAAGGCGGGCGGGCGTGCTGCCAGGTTCTTTATAAACCTCCTTGTCTTCCTTACTGCCGTGCGGCGCCTCCAACGAACTGCAACGGTGTAGGCGCGGGATTTGAGTGTTACCGTACCTTACGTACGGAGTACAAGTGTAGCGAAGTCCGCGCTCGGGAATGGGAAGAGATGAGAAGGAAGGAGGGGGCAATGGAAGGCTCGGAAGTGGCTCCGCAGGATGATTCCCGGTGTTCCGTTAGTGCTCTGTACTTATCGAGTCAACACGACGGAAACGGAGAAGAGGCAGTGAAAAGAAGAAAAAGGGCAAGTTGCGTTTCAGAACCACAAAGAAAAAGTTACAAAGTCTATCTCCCGTCTCTGCTGCGCTGCAATTGAAATGCCAAAGATGAAAGGAGTTGAGCCTTCATGTTCGGCGGCCTTCAATTCCCCTATCTTTGAACGGGATATCTCTCTTCTTGTGCCCTGTTGAGGGAAACTTGCCGAAAGTAGAAATTTAGTCGATGTTAAAGAGCTTAGTCCTGCGACATCAAGGGTATCAAATTGGCACCAGAAAATATCTACCTCAAGACATCGGACGACTAAAGAGATGATAGCATAGACAATACCATTTCACTGCATGGATGGCACGGGGAAGCCCCAGCTTTCCCATGCCCTAGAATCCCTCGCGGCAACCCAGAGATATCATTTCCAGCCCGTGTGCTCGGGTTTCTCCATTCTGTCTTTTAACTCGTCCGCTCGCGTGTTTCACCAGACAGATTCGGGTTTTCAGGGTTGCGTTGCCCCTTCAGGGTTCATGGATTCCATAGCTTCTTGCATCTCCACCGCTCAGACCACTCCATCTATCTCTCCAACAAGCCTTCGACCAACAAAACTGCGAATGCCGTTACTTGAGATGCGACCCCCCTGCGTTTTTCTCTTCACCATTCCTCTGCTCGCCATTAATGTCCAGAAGTAGAAGGAGGAGGACACGGCAAGGGCAGGCAGGGAAGGCACAACCGTTGCCAGAACCCCGCCCAACGGTACTTAGCCAAGCCTTTAGCCAAGACAAAAAGCCCCATTGGCAGGTGCCCAACCGTCGATGTTGCTTGGACAGGCTCGCACTCGGTCAACTCTGCCCCAGCAAGCATTGAAGCTCCCCTCCCGGCTCTCTGTTGTCTGTTGTATCCACTGAGCCCGGGTTGGGCAACAATGCTTAGGTTGCAAGCATCCAAGTCACACACGTTTTAACACCTCGCCGGCGTCCCGTTTACACGTACATCACAGTGCATACGGGGGATACGCACTTACCTCGCTCTCTAGTCTCTACCATCGCCAACCCATCAGATCCTGACCATCTCGTCCCGACATCCGACGACAACATAAGATCTCAAAATGCTGGCAGCGGGATCACGCAAGGAACCATGCACCAAAAGTCTCAAGCAGGCATCTTGCCCAGATGCGAATACAAGATTCGACGACAGCGACAATATATATCCCCGTCACGGCTGCTCTATAAGTCGACGTGGCAAATGGGCCTCAATGCCCACAGATCGTGGTATATGTGCACAGTATGGGCCCTTTAGGGACCACTCACAGCGCCTAGACTCTTGACGCCCACGCGTTTAACAAACCAGTTAGGATTGAGATCCCTGTTATACGTTGATCGCGGGTTCCACGGATGTTCTTTCTTTCTCTGTGGGAGTAAGGCCCAGCACGCCGTGCGAAGATTGGCGTTATCCCAACTCCCGAGGTTCATTGCTCAGTATGTGTAAGAACTAGCCCTAAGGTTCTGAGCTGAGCAGTTGCCGGGCCCTTCCTCCACTTCCTCCACCTCTTCTTTCCTTCCCCAGTTCCCTCCGCCTCACGAGCATAGGAAACCCACGCACGCAGAGTGTCCACTGTCGACAACCAACAACCCTAAACGCCGACGGTTGACAAGGTTCGGTCGCCGTGGCTGGGAGACGAGGGAAGCGAAACCGAACCATACGCGGAGAAGGCGGAGCCACGCCGCTTAACATCGCACTCCTGCTGGAACGAATTCAACGAAATTCATTCGTGCAACCCGAGCCTTGTGCCATATGTGCGATTCTTGTCTCTTTCTCTGGCCCGTGGGTTACTTGGCAAAAGCCACCACAGGTGTTGGCGTGACGTCTATTGTGGAGTGGGATTTGCAGCGTTTGTTGGCACAGCCCGCCCACACCTGCGCTTGACGTTTTGGGCTCTATTTTGCTCCCCTTTGACGTGGAAGCAGGTTGCCATCGACGATCGCTGCCTCGCACTCGCAAATTGCGCCATCCCATCAACCAGACACGCATGGCTAGCTAACAAATTATCACTTGCCTGCCGGAAGGATTGCTCCCTCCTAAGGGATGAGGCACGAAACCAAGGCCAAAATGAGTGAACCCCGCGGGTTTTTCGGAGTCCTCACCGGCAAGTGATCTATCTCAAACCCATGTACGTTGGTGGTTGTGGGAAATTTGTCTTTAGTTAGTTGACTTGTTGGTTCAACGTGCGCATTTACTCCGAAAACCCGCCCTGGGCGCCGTTCCAGTTCTAATAGCATGCGCGGTTGCGCGGTTACACGAGTGTGTGTTTGCTGGCGTCGGCCAAACTTTGCACGATAAAGTCGAACCATCTGGAGAGCTCGTCAGTAAATCCCTTCATTTCTCTCCGTATCCTTCGTTCTCGATTTCCACTTGGCCTGTTACACTTGAGTGGGCGCGGATAAGATTGGACCTGAACGAAACTGGAGAAGGAAGGACACTAGAATAATGTCACCGTTTCGAGCTTGGCTCGTTTTGCTCCTTCTCTTGGGAGTTGTTGGGGGGGGCTGAAGCAGCGTAACCTGCCTCACCGCCCCTGTGCTCGGCTGTTTGGTGTCGCTGCCGGGCCTGTTTGTTTCTGGGCCTGTGTGCTGCCCCGTTGCATCCATTGGTATTCGCCTGCACGCCCTTCAGGCAAAGACAACAGGGCTGCAGTTGCAGGCGACCCCCATCCAACTCACTCCATACGTGGAGGGGGCCGAGGGGCCAGATGCAATGGTTAACGTACCCTTTTATGCACCTCGGATCTCGTTGGATCACAACTTCCAACCTCTGCACCCAGAGCCTTGCAGCGGAGATTGTACAGTACATGTACTTTTCCTAGGCCCAAATCAGTGGCCGATTTCACGGGCAAGTGGGAATGTTCGAAAGAAGGACGGGAGCTAGTCAGTGCTGCTCCGTTTCTCCCCCAAAACGCCGTCCTTTCTCTCATCGGTCGGCTTCTCCTGCCCAACCCATAGCGCCAGGGCTTAGGACCTAGGCCTCTCGACATTCGGGCCCGCGTCTGTGCTTCGCCGTTCTGGAGTCTGACGACCACCCACCGCGCCGGGATGGAGAGCCGTGGCGGGGAAACCGTGTCACACATGGCGGACCGTTTCGGACGGCCTTTTGTAGAGGCCGACCTGTTGGCTCCGGACCGGATTATCGGGTTTATTCTGTTCAAGAAGCTCGCCAAACACCGGATTCCCACACCAAGTAACGACACGAAACGACACTACCCACCACTGCCGTCCACATCGAAGATCGGTCACCAACAAATACAGCCACCAACAACAGTAACGCAACGCTACAAGTGCCAGACGCAAACAGTTAGCACGCTGGACTTGGGAGGAGCCTAAGCACAGCACACACCATGGGTGCGTGCGTGCGTGCGTGCGTGCGAGCTTGTTTTGTTAGTGTGCTGTGAATGCCCATGCATTAAGATGTACCTTATCGTACAGTGCCCCGTATGTACGGATAGTTAGTCTCGACCCCCAGCCGGATTCACGCCCGACATTTCCACACTGGCCGAGTTGCAATACAGTGTAGAAACCCTGCCAAGGTGGAAGGGCAGGTAGGGCGTCGAAACGCGCCCCCGCTCGCCGCTTCCTGCCCGCCTTGGGCCCGTCGGGCATCCCATCCCATCCCCCCGCATTCTTTCCCGATACGGTCTGGCCCCCAAACCCCTCCTTCAGCCCTACGGGCCCCCAACCTTTTTTTTTTGCTGTGCGGTGCGTGCGTCTGTTCCCATGATGTTCCTGCCTGCCCGCATCCGTTTCGAATTTTGCCCGCCACCGCCGCCGCCGCCGCCGCCGTCATCCCATCTTTTTCGGCATCAGGAGGTGATCCCTTAGTTAAGCCTTTGGGGTTTCCCGAGTAGGTTTTCTCACACCCGTCATTGGATTAGATTGGATACCCGCCTTGATTTAGATTTTTGATTTTGATTAATTTAATTTCCAGATTTTTTGGATAGCAGACAGTGTTCTTCTGTTTCCCTTTTCCTGTTCTTACTTTTTTTTATTTTTTTGAAAAAGACCTTTAGACGAAGACGAAGACGAAGGGGACAAAAAACCACCGACTCGGCTACAAGCTAGCAATTTCACCTTTCCATCTTCTGTTGTTGCGCAACAAATAGCAAACACCGCAAGCATAAAAAAAAAAAGAGGCGCCAATTAAACTTGGCACACGATGGCCGATGGGGGCCGTAGAAGACGACTGGGCCTTTTTGGATCGCCTGAGAGGTATGTTGCATACACTATGATATAGTGGTTGTGGAGAGTTATTCTTATACTTTGGAACGGGATCCTCCGTCGTCGTCGCAGCTAATAGGATTTTTCCCTCGTCTCTATTTTTTCCCCCTTTCGGCTTGGTCTGGTCTGAGGGCCCGCCTTTTGTCGATGTGTCTGTCGTCGGCGCTACGCGGATAGATGCAGCGTCTTAGTGTGTAGTATCCATCCCCTGCGGCAGCGTGTTTCGAAATCGGTGCATGTGGCCCATGCCGAACCAACACGACGATTAATGCCCCTGCTTTTTTCCCTTTTGGCCTTGTTTCTGTGCTCTTGGTGGTTTATTTTTATATTTCTCCATCTCAGTTAGTCTTTTTGTTTCTGTGGCTCGCAGGAAGGTAACTCAGTAGTGTCCATTATGCACTTTCTAGGCCCTGGGACGAACATGATTGGAGTGCGTCGGACGACAGCGTCCGCGGGGGCAAGAGCTACTCCTCCATGGTCATCATCACCCACCACGAGAAGCAGCAGGAGGAGAAGACGCACTCGGGCGGCGATGGGGCGGCCGACGTGGCCCTCTTCTCGGGTCACCTGGACATCACGGCCCTTGGCGGCGCCGGCTTCGCCAGCCAGCGCTGCGCCGGCCGCTTCAACCTGTCCGGGTTCGATGCCGTCGCCCTCGAGCTCCTCGTCCCCCCGTCCGCTGCCGCCGCCAACTCCCTTACCTACACGCTCGTGCTCAAGGACACGGCCCCGCTGCCCAAGCGCCCCGACGGCCGCGAGCAGAGCTCCGTCAGCTGGGAGCACGACTTTATTGTTGCTCCCGCCGACGGCGCCGTTGCTAGTGGCGACCAACCGCTGGTCGTCGTCCTCCCCTTTGACGGGTTCAGGGCCACCTATCGCGGGAAACCATACGACAGCCCAGAACCTCTCGACCGCGCGTCGATCAGGACCGTTGCATTTATGGTTCGCAGGTAGGTCTCCCCGGCCTTTCGGCCCTTGCCTACCTATCTCTGCACTGCCCGCTGTGGGGGTTGGCTTCTCCAGCGGCGAGTCTTTTGCGCCTCAGCCCTGCCCATGACATGCATGGCTGGTCTAGCCTGGCGTGGGACGAAGAGGCTGACAAAAAAACTACTGCACAGTTTCTTTGGCACACAGCAAGGTCCGTTTGTCGTGAAAATCCGCTCCGTCGTAGCGGAACAGCGGCCGGGTTAAAGGTTCGTTTCCTGCTGCTGCCACTTCGCATCTAGTCGCCGGTTGGCGATTGCTTCGGGTAGGCGGGTCGCGGAAGCGGATGGGTGGGTGGGTTGCGGGTGGCGGCGCCGGAGTGGAAAAAAGGGGGTGGGGGGGGGGGGGGGGGCCGAGAAATAGAAAACCCCGACGGTGGTTAGGCATGTAGGATCTAGATCGCTAGGAGGGATTCTTGGGGCGGCAAGCCACGGCGTCAGGCTTGTATCGATTTAGTAGAAGGAAGGGGCGCACAAAAATAAAAGAAAGGCCGTTTTCACCCTATCGGGTTTTGCTTTCCGAGAGAGTGGTTTACCATGGTAGAAAAACTACCCTCTGTCTCTTTTACGTTGAGCGAAAGGCCCGTGGATGGCCGGGCCGACTCGGGGGCGGCCCGCGCTGACACCCTTTTTGAGTGTAAATAAACGCAAGCCCCCTTCCCCCCCGTCGCCAATAAAGGTTCATTCATGCACAATAGGAGCCCAGGACGGTATCGTATTAAAACACCGCCCGTCGAAAGCTTCCTCTTGTGCTTAGCCGTAGACGAAGGTATTTCTTCCTCTCCCTGCCTACCTTGGTCATGCACATGCCCATGTCCGGTAGCGACCGAAATACGCGCCGTAACTTGCTTGGTAAGACAACTCACTGAGATTTCAGCATTGAAATGTTTCCTGCTGTATGGATGAATTGTGCTAGGAGCCTTTTCTATCTCTTCATCGTTAAAACAGAAAACATTGGTACCTTACATACGAGTCAGGCCTACAAGTATCACCTCGTTACAATCTTAAGATGTACGGTCTAGAGCTTTTCATCCTTGATGTCGAGAGCAGAAGACCGATTTGATCCTTGTTGGTCTCTTACTGCCCGGGACAGAATAAAGGTTCCTGGCTATCACGTAACAGTCCTCCTTCTCCGGACAATGAGACGGGGCTTGAAGATATCGTTGCACGTCAGGGAAACTACCCTGCAACAGAGATCTACATGAGCAACACAGGGAATTCAACAAGTATACGGAATATTGGTATCAAATAGTTGAGGTAGCTATGGCATATTGGGTGTGTGGGGTAGAAAGGAAAACAGAGCAAGGAGGTTTGTTATGGGGGCATCTTTGGGTTGCCTCTTCTCGCCTGATGACCGTGCCATGGAAATAACGGGGACAGCCGGTCCCCTCACTAATTGAGCTGCCTTTTCTACAAAGAAAAAACTGTGCTTTCTCAGCAAGAAGTTCTCGAGGTTGTTTCGCCATGTAATCTGGCGCAGCATGTCAGATCTCAGGTTGTCAAATTGCATCGAGCCGGAAGGCGAGTGACCTGTTAGGCCCAAGCTCAACGAAGAAAGCAAAGAGCAGTCCTCGGTGCTATTTGTATCTAGCAGCACATCGACACCCTAACGTGAAGTTTGCAATTATCACGCATTAAGCCCTTCTACTCCCTTACTCTTCTAGACGATCAACGATCCAGTCTTCTGTCTCCGGGATTTCCGAGACAGCGCCTTGTTCTCTTCGGTGAGAATGCTCGCTCATCATCACACCCGTCCTAGAATCTCTAATATCCCGCTCCCACTCCCGAGATAGATCTCAGAAAACTGCTTCAACAACCACCAAAACCCTCAAGTAATTCAACCGTTTCCCTCTGTCACGCAAAAACCCAACCCCATTGTTCATCTGAAGAACATGCTCCACCTCCACACCCTGACTCCCAACCCACACACGAGGACCCCCTGCTTTGCCTTTGTCGAACGAAGCTATACAAACCCACAACACCGACTCAGTCCTAATATTAAATGCGGAGCCACATCCGCTCCCGTCTACTAAACATCCCTCGTGGCGCAATTGGCTAGCGCGTCAGACTGTTCGTCTGGAGGCTGTTGGTTCGACCCCAACCGAGGGAGAAAGAGACCAGGGAGTCGATGTGATGTGGTTGGGTCATTCCCAGTGGCAGCTACATGTATTTTTTGCCGTATTTACTTTCTACCATTCTCCCTCGCTCGGGAAGACCATCACATGGTGAGCAGACTAGATCTTGTTTCCTTCTTTTTGTTGTGAATGTCCAGCCTACCTAGGTAGGTAGTCGGACGGCAGCAACATTATGCAGGAGGCCAGCTCCCCATAGGCCAACTTCCATTCCTCCTAGACCCAGCCATCGACCATGACGTGTTTGGTTGGATACAAAGTATATGGCGTGGAGGGAGAACGAGATGGTGGCTACCAAGTCTTCTTCGCCCCTAGTTGTTCAGCTAGCCGCGAGATAGGACGACGAGGTGGCATGGACAGGTAAGCAGAGCAGGCTTATGGGCAAACATCAGGAACAGGTACTGGAATAGGGAAAGTTGATAGCTTGTCAACTTATCAAAAGGGTGGGAGTGAATCCAGCTCGTGGTAAGTCGAAAAAATCCTAACATCCAATTTCGCATATGATGAAGCTAAGGTTAATGTCAATCTCTCCCGCAAAGAAATCTCAGCATCCAAGACCGTACAAACATACGCCTAAGATGCAAAGCTACACCCATCCGAGCCGACATGCAAATGCAAAAGGTATGGCCTGGACTGGCTGACACTCAAGATGCTGGTGGTACCAAAATGACATCATCATGCAAAAGTGCATGTATTTTTTGATGTACTATAAATGAAGAGGCTAACTAGGCTGCTCCGTAAATACATCGAAAGCAGCGTGACTGGCTTGCACCTCTTGATAATTAAAGAGAACGTGAACTCCTACTACTGAACTGAAGACACTGTAGATGCTGGGGCACAACTAAAATGCCAACACCGGTATTGAACTTGCCACACATGACTTACAGCCCTCTCCCAACGATATGCGTTCGTATTACGGACCAGTATGCCCCGATCAATCGAGTGTCAAAACCGTGGGTGTTGGAGGGGGAACGATAACGGGAGGACCTTGGAGGAGCTGCCCGTGCTGTGCGGACGAAGAATGGGAAGGGGTGCTTTGGAGCACCTACTCCTCGCCCTCAGCCGGTGCTTCCTCCTCATACTCCTCCTCCTCCTCGTCGACACCAGCATCCTGGTATTGCTGGTACTCCGAAACGAGATCGTTCATGTTGGACTCAGCCTCTGTGAACTCCATCTCGTCCATACCCTCGCCAGTGTACCAATGCAAGAAAGCCTTACGTCGGAACATGGCAGTGAACTGCTCGCCAATACGCTTGAAGAGCTCCTGGATGGCGGTCGAGTTGCCGACAAAGGTTGACGACATCTTGAGGCCACGGGGGGGGATCGAGCAGAGCGCCGTCTGCACATTGTTGGGAATCCACTCGACAAAGTAAGACGAGTTCTTGTTCTGCACATTGCGCATCTGGTCCTCAACCTCCTTCATGGAGACCTTGCCACGGCTAGTATACGGTCAGCGGCGGTAGACAAAACATTGGTTAGGGCAAAGAACTCACAAGATGGCAGAGCAGGTCAAGTAGCGACCGTTACGGAAGTCGGAGGCAGCCATCATGTTCTTGGGGTCGAACATCTGCTGGGTCAACTCGGGAACCGAGACGGCGCGGAAGGAGTGGGCACCGCGGCTGGTGAGAGGCGCAAAGCCGACCATGAAGAAATGGAGACGCGGGAAAGGAACCATGTTGACGGCGAGCTTGCGGAGATCAGAGTTAAGCTGGCCAGGGAAGCGCAGAGAAACAGTGACACCCGACATGACGGCGGAAACAAGGTAGTTGAGATCGCCGTACGAGGGGTTGGACAGCTTCAGGGTCCGCATGCAAATGTCGTAGAGAGCCTCGTTGTCAATGCAGAAGGTCTCATCGGAGTTCTCAACCAGCTGATGAACAGAGAGGGTGGCGTTGTACGGCTCGACGACAGTGTCCGAGACCTTGGGGGAGGGCACGACGGAGAAAGTGGCCATCATGCGGTCGGGGAACTCCTCGCGAATCTTGGAGATCAGGAGGGTACCCATACCGGCGCCAGTTCCACCACCGAGAGAGTGGGTGATCTGGAAACCCTGGAGGCAGTCGCAGCCCTCGGCCTCGCGACGGACGACATCAAGAACTTGGTCAACAAGCTCAGCACCCTCGGTATAATGACCCTTGGCCCAGTTGTTGCCAGCACCGGACTGACCAAAGACGAAGTTGTCGGGGCGGAAGAGCTGGCCGAAGGGACCAGCACGGACCGCATCCATGGTACCGGGCTCCAAGTCGACGAGGACAGCGCGGGGAACATACTTGTTTCCGGCGCCCTAAAGTAAAAAAAAAACAAAGTTAGTAAGGCAGACTCGTACCACATGCCATAGTGGCAAGAGCTATTTGGGGGTTTGGTTTCTACTAGCCTCGTTGAAGTAGACGTTCATCCGCTCGAGCTGGAGCTCCGAAGTGCCGTTGTACCTATGTCTAAGGTGAGCAGACGGGACCTAAGAGGCATTTGTGATTGAGCAGGATCACGTACACGCCATTGCTGTCAAGGCCATGCTCGCCAGAGATGGTCTGCCAGAAAGCAGCACCGATTTGGTTGCCCTGCAAAAAATTGTCAATCCCAGCTGCACCAGCAGCCCGCACCGAAACCGCCCAGTCGACTTACGCATTGGCCGGTCTGGAGGTGAACCTGTAGCAAAAGAAACCCATTAGTAAATACGTCCCCTCGCACGGAAATCCGACAAAGAGCTACCACGAAGGCGTGATGTTGAAGCTGCGTGAAGTAGTGACCGCTTCGACGAGAGTGGGGTAGATCAGGGGTAAGGAAAGGATATTTGGGACGCGTCGCAGGAACCGGGCGAGGGAGAGACTTACGATCTCACGCATCTTGAGAGTTGGTTGTTTTGTTTGCGGGTCGGTGAAGTCTGTAGAGAAAAGATGTGGAAGGACGGGTGGATGCCTGCAAAAGCTCGAAGTCGAAGATGCGGTGGTGCTGAATTGTAGGGAAGGAGATTTGTTGATTTTTGGGGCGAGAAATGGAAAGCGAGGTTGTTCACCGCCGCTGCCAAGTGGGGAATCGAGGGAATCAGGCACCCGCTAGTCAAAAACGAGGAAGCTGCCAAGGAGGTCCCTGCGCTCTCGCTTGTTTATCCAGTGCCAAACAGGCGACTGGCCATCGCTTGTCGTGCTAGAACTGTTTTGGACTGCAAGCGCACATTTCAGTGTGGGGTAATGGATGCCGGGGGGCAGTTTAATTATGCAATAGGAGTTCGCTGCGTGGCGTGAGAAGTTTATCGCCCACCATGAAACCAAGAGGAGACTTTAACAAACTTCAAGGCTGATACGACAATGGCTGTTGGACTTGATAGGTCCAATATCGTCTTCTCAGACTGATTAAGAAGCTACTTGAACATGCCCTCCTTACCTCTGATACCAATCGTGAACGCCCATCGCTTTGGTAGGTACAGGCAGTCCGCCGAGATCATAAGATGGATTGACTCTAGCTTCAACTATTTCAGATAGATAGATACATGTGCAGATTAATGCTTTTTTTTTCCTCTTATGACATATGCTCCTAATGTGCCTTCACAACGCCCGCAGCGTCGGCTTGTGCCGTAATCCTCTTTTTGTAGGCCTGAACATCGCCGGGGAACTTCTCCACCGTCCCGTTGTCACAAACCCACAGCGACGTGCAGACTGTCTGCAACATCGTGACGTCGTGGGAAACCATCAGAACTCCTCCCTGGAACTCTCGGAGCGCCGACGACAAGGCATCCATCGCCTCAATATCCAAGTGATTGGACGGCTCGTCGAGCACTAAAATGTGCGGGTTTGTGAGAGCGAGACAAGCGAATGCCACGCGTGACTTTTGACCTCCTGATAACAGCTCCATCTTCTGCAGCCCTATCATGCCCGTGAGACCGAATGCGCCCAGCTGGCGCCGATACTCCTCGTCAGTCCGGCCAGGGTAGTTCTTGGCCATGAAGCCGACAGCGCTGTCGTTCATGTCCAGCGCATCGACGTGATGCTGCGCGAAGAATCCGATGCGAAGTCGAGGGTTTTGGGATATCAAGCCGGACGTGGGCGTCAATTTGCCGATGAGAAGCTTGAGCACCGTTGTCTTACCCGCTCCATTGGGTCCAACGATGCCGATTCTCGAGTCGAGTTGGACATCGAGGTCGACATTTCTGAGCAAGATCTTGTCCGGGGAGTAACCGAAAGTGACGCCCGTCATTTGAACAATAGGGGGCGTCATCTTCTCTACCTCTGGGAACTTGAAGTGCACGCTGTATTCCACCTCGGGCGGCTCCAACACGGGCATGCGTTCCAGTTTCTTGATACGGGACTGGGCTTCGGAAGATTTGGCAGCATTGTACCGGAACTTGTCGATAAATGCCTGCAGATGTGCCCGCTGGGCCATCTGGTTTTCGTACTCGCGCTTGGCTGTCTTCTTGCGCTCCTCCCTTGTCGCGTAGAAGGTGTCAAAGTTGGCGCTCCTGTAGTAGTCGAGGCGCATCGAGTGTTGGTGGATGATGTCGGTGGCGATTTCGTTGAGGAATGCTCTGTCGTGGGAAACAACAAGCACAGTGCTAGGATAAGTTTGCAGATAGTTTGAAAGGAAGGTAATGGAAGGCACGTCCAACATGTTAGAGGGTTCATCGAGTAGCAGAAGATCAGGCTCGCAGAAGAGCGCCCGCGCCAGCGCCAGACGCATTCGCCAACCACCTGAAAAGGTCTTGGTTGCGAATTGCTGGCGCTCGGGGGAGAAACCAAGACCTGCCAGAATGCTGGCAGCCCGGGGCTCGGCCTTGTCTGATTCCATCTCGGCAAGCTTGGCTTGGATGTCTCCTAGCCTTTGGTCTTGGGCTTCACGGTCTTGGTCAAGTTTGGACGCATCGACCGAGGTGTCGGCCATGGACGACCGCTGGGTCTCGATTTCCGCCAGCCTTTGGGTGATTTGCTAGTGGGTTGGTTAGTCTAGAGCCGCAGGGAGTTACAAAAATTAGGGATGCATCCTTACAGCTTGCTCCTTGAGGAGCACTTTGCGCCAAACATCGGCGTCCAGGACAGCCTGCAATGCGGGCGTATCGTCGCCAGTAATCTGTTGCCATGTCAGCCCCATCCCAAGGACGGAAGAGTAGAACGCAAAAGGAGCCATGTACCTCTTGCTCGACGTGAAGAATGGATATGTGTGTAGGGATGGGGAGTTCTCTCCGGGAGAGCGCTCTGAGAAGTGTCGATTTACCCACACCGTTGTGGCCGACGAGACCATAACGGTGTCCGTACGAAAGAGTCAAGGTGGTGTCGGCCAAGATCCTGTTGCCGCCGATGGAGACATCGGCGTTGTCTATCTTGATGTCCTTGGACTTGCCACCCTGGCCGGAGCCTAGCTGCAGGGGGTTGACAGCCATGTAGAACTCCTCGTATGACTGGGCCGACTCGGGCTCGTTCAGGAGACGGGAGGCCTCGTACTCGACCGTCTTGAACTCCTTCTTGCTCTGCTTGGCGGCGATCTTGCGCTCGGCCTTCTCAAGCTTCTTCTTGTCGACTTTGGACTCGACCTTGCGGACATTGGCCGACTCGAGGTCGACACCGCCAGTGGCCACGGCCAACGTGGACGACATGTTCCTCTGGGCGCTGACCTGGATGGTCTGGTCGAGACGGCGGACGGTGGGCCCCCTCCGCTCCTGAGATTCGGCGCTGGTGGTCGAGTACCGGCCAACCCATTTGTCGACCAGGCTGCGGATCTTGTCCTCGAGGGCCGCACCGGGATTACCAGAGGCGGAGAGGAGCAGCTCGGTAATGGCCGAGGAGGCCTCAACGAGGGGCGACGGCCCCACAGCGTCCTCATCGCTCGACCATACCGTCGAAGCGTGCGTAAGGTAGCCGGCCGAATACTCGGACACGACGGGGTCGATGTTGGGGATCACGGCTCGAATCTCTGCGTCCATGGCGGGCTTCGGTGAAATTACCACTCGGTAATTCGAGATGCGCCGGAGACCGGGGTGGGGGTATCTATCGGGGACGGAGAATGCCGACGCGGAGGTCCTGATGTTCACGTGGCCGGGATGCGAGGGACTTTGTGGCCGTGGTTGGGGGGACTCCTGTGCAATTCGAATTCGAATGACTGTGAGACGATGTTGGCCTTCAGAGAGGTGTGGGGGCTTTGGCGGGATGTGCCGTCGCCATTTGCCACCAAGCTTCCATTGCTGGGGCGGGGGTAATTACCCCTCCACCCAGTAAAACCTCTCTCCCCACATTCAGAAAAAAGGGTCGCTTGATTGGCCGCTGTGCGAGGGCTTTCCTGACCCAAGGAAAGCAGTCTGTGGGCGAGGCCTTGGAGCTCCTCTCCACAATCCCAATCCCAGCTTAGCGCGCCCGATCAAGGATGACGCGATCTGACGCGGTAGGGCTCTGTCACGCAATCTCGTGTCGCGTGCACCAATCGTGGCGCGTCATGGCTGCCCAGAAATCTTGAACGGCAAATCCTCCAGTGCACCCTCTATTTCCAACGTGCCGGGGCATCCCAGACGTCGGCATTCCGTTGGCCACCTTGGACACGGCCCATCGCTGCCATCGCCTCAGCCTGGCCAAGCCATGGTGCAGCGCAGCAATGGGAGTGCAGCGCGCCCCAAGCCAAGGCAGCAAGCATTCTTGCCCGTCTGGCGGTCTGATGCTCCAGAAAGTCGAAACCCACTCGCTGATTCCTCAATGGCGAGTCAAGGCACGCGCAGCTCACTACCACACCAATCCACGCAACATCCGCTCAAAAAATCCCGAGCTTGGGACGCGCTGCCGCAGATACGACCGCCATGCTCTTTGACTTTGAAGCCCTGGAGCCCTTTCCCAAGGGGCCAGAGCCCCACCGGTCTGACTCTGACCTTGACCCTGGCCCTGGTCCTCCTCGAGAAGCTGCGATTCACGCCTGCAGACACACCCTTTGGGCTTGGTGATTTTTGTTAGATCCCTCTGGTACCGGTATTGAATGTACGTGCTAAAGAGTTGGCAGACGTTCTTGATAGTCCGGACATACTTTTTCCTAAACTTATGCAGTAAATCCACTTCTGCGGTCCATATCACCTTCCTATGGCATGGTTCACGTGGCCGGGCTTTGTTGCTTTGTTTTCCCACCATTCTTCAACGGAGCTTGATGAGTCTTGAGACTTGAGAGGAGGTTGATGCTCCTGTCTTCCAGAAGGCCCAAGAGAAGCCAGAGCCACCACACCCTCGACAATTACCCGCGCAGGTGGAGCTTGAAACGGCACACATGGACAAAACTGGCACACGGTAAACTATGCTTGGACCCAGGCCCGTGTTGCCTCACAGGCTACCCACTGCCGGCCAGTCACCAGGATTTTAGCCATATGCGGATGATGTCGCGACGCAAAACATGGAAAACAGAGCTCGTCTTTTTGTCTCTAGACTGACTTCGGCTCACGGCAGCAAGCTCAGTAATAACACGACCCCCGGGCAAGCTAGCCTGTCTACGCCATACAAAAGCTAAAACCCCTCCAAGGACACAACTGACTACCTTCGGTTTGCCGACTAAATTACCAGCCGTTGTGGGTTCTAAACCTCACTATCGGCTCCCGTAACTGGTCACAGCCAGACAACAACGGATGGCGTTGCCCGTCACTTCTAGCTTTTCAGAGTGTGATCCTAGCAACTCGACGGTCATTCTAAGAGGTCGTAATTCCTGTTCTTCCGAAGGCTGGGCTGAACCTTGTCTGCAGAAAACGAGATAGAGACGGCCCGTCGATTCAAATCCCGCAATTCCACAAGACCTGTGGCGGGCCTTTGTTTCAGGTTTCACAACTGTTCTTATATCCAGAAGGAGGAAACCTACCAGTGCCTACCCAGTGTCATACATCCGTGTTGAGAGATGCTTGTCCGCATGCTACTGGGTCCGAACTTGATCCAAACACTCGATCATATCTTGCTAGATCCTAGAGCTCGTGCTGGTAATGGGACATTCTCGTTGGCGAGCCTCATGCCTTATTGCCCAGAGCCATCTGGTAGTTTACTGTAGTTTCCATGATGAATTCATCTTGGCCTGCTTCAGTTGCTCGTAAATTGGAATGGTATTGCATGTTTGCTGACATCCCTACGCATCTTTACCGATGACCGCTCGCTCCTACGTTCAACGACAGAAATCCAGATACTATAACTCTCTCGGGCTGTGGCCAACCTCCCAAAGATCCACACATGAAGACCCCTCTCTTTCCCGAGCCTCGCTCTCACCGTGCACCATTGTCCTCGCTTCCTACATGCAGTCATTGGCTCGGCAAGTGGTTTCTGTCAATCATATCTCTTACAGCTCGGAGAGGATCAAGTGGTGAATGCCACAATGCAAGCCCTCTCCCCAGGGCGCCGCCACCGTGTTGCATGCGCAACACCACATATAATATTGGCCGGAACAGACAGGAGCGAGGCGGCTGCATGGGGTAGGCACTCCCGCACAGTTGGGTACGCTTCTCTGCAGGCAACGAAAAGGGGATCGGGAAGAGCATGCGCGGGAAGTAAGTTTTTTTTTTTTTTTTTTTTTTTTTTAAAAAAAAAAAAAAAATCCGAGTCCATCATCCCCCCGCCGCCAGCCGACGGGTTTCTGCCTAGGGAGCTCGTAACTCTCCCAACGTATCGAATATTGGGTACGGATGAGCATCTTGGTATGACAGACGGGGCGGATGGCTGAATGTGCAAACGCGTCCTCGCGCCACGAAAGCAGGCCTCATCGGCGGGATGCGGCCGACGAATCGGCTCTACTGATAGAAGAGAAAGAACCCCCAGCGGAGGGAGGAGAGGCGGCAAAATGAAATGGAAGAATGCATTACGATATCGACGACAAACACCATACACACACGCCAGCTGGCACTCACGCACAACAAAGAGGAAACCAAGATCTTGTTTTCCGTTATACCCCTTCTCTCCACCCCCCACAGAACAATCCCGTGGAGTAAGGTACCCACATAGGTAATAATTACCAAGCGACGGGACGCGATCGGCCACCACATATTGTGACAAGCGAGGCCAGCATATACTTATGCACATTGGTCCTTCGTAAAGAAGGCAACTCATCTATATCCAGGGGTACTGGGGTGTGGCCTTGATATTGGATTCTCGTCCGACGGTGGCACGAAAGCTGCCCGTTTCCCTGAGCACGGGATTTTTATTGCATGTAAGCGTAACAGGTGCTGTGGTCACTAGTCACAAAGAAGGGTTGGTTTTCTTTTTTTCGTCCCTTTTTTGATTGCATTGTTTGATCGATCGATAGGCACCGGCTACACAACAGGACGGATGAACCTTACCCAGCACCGCTAGCGGCATCGCACAACGATGCTAGGCTGTACCTGCCTTGCACGGCGGCGTTGGGGAGAGGTAACCACCAGCCTTTTTTCTTCTTTTGGCTCATGTTTAAGGGCAAAAGGTGGACACTCTCGATGACGCTTTGAGTAGCGAGAAGTCCCGCGGCCCACTATTTTGTTGTCAATCATGGAGTTTAAAACACACAAGCGTAAACAACAAGAGCTGTTGCCCAAAAGTCTGACGGCCCATAAACCAGGCCTACTTGGCCGGAGGGGGGAGGGGCCCCATGGGGTCGGCCAGAATTTGGTCGGCCCGGATTCTGTAGACGTGTCGTCCCCTATATCCGAATCGGAAGTGAGAACCAAAGACGATCTTCCGGGTCACCAACGTGCAAATCTCCCGAGAAGACGCCAGGGAGAAAATATTATAAAACAATTCAAATTTCCGGGCGCTACTCAAACTCGCTGTATATGCGTATATTCTTCTGTTCCGGGGAGGCTTTGATGTATGACACGAACCAATGCTGCATGTATCGACAATACGTCCTCAGCATGTATACACCGTCCGGAAGGATTTGCTTTAACTGGCCCGCCCCATTCGCGTGGCTTCCCCTTCCCGGAAGAAAGAGAAGGAAAGAGACGTTCCTCTTCCAAGTCGGGATCCTAGCCCGAGGCAAACAGGTACACGATGAGAGGTCCGCCAGCCCGAGAGGCCTAGGCACAGCTTTGGCCGCGCGGGTTAACCTACCATCCCTCGGAAAACCGCGTGTTTGTTGCGCTTGGTTGCGTGGTATCTGCTTCTGCTGCTATACATTTGCTGAGTCTGCTATGACATTGCATTACATATAGGCCGGGTCCGGGGAAGAGCGGCACCCTTATTACCCTGCTTTTTGGTAAGGTACCTCGCAGGCTTGAAACATGCCCGCTTATATGACGGACGGGTCCCAACGGCTACACCTATATAATAATAGCTCCTTTGGAATAACATAATACGAAGACGTAGGGAAAAGAGGTCGGGGCCCACAAAACTGCCGTCGTCACATGCAGTACGAAGTACGTACTTTCCTTGGCTCTGTTGTCCCTAGGTAGGTACGGATGCAAACAAACCTGCAATACCCACGACTGAAGAAAGTATTTGCTCTCTGGCTTGGACTCGCGATCTGAACCTAGCTAGAGAAGGAAGAGAGAGAAAAGTAGAAAGAAATTTTCAAGAAGAGGGGAGATATAATCTATCCCACGTAATACGGAAGAGGATTCCCATGCTGCGCTTCCATGCGCAGATCAAGGAAGCCCCCTCTTCGTCTCGGTAGGCCTGTTTAAGTGAGCACAGCACAGTAGCTCGCTCGCTCCCTTTGAAGATGATACATAGGTAAGGTAATAAAAATCATTTTGCTGCGCAGCAATACCATACCTAGTAGGAAGTCGGTCAGTCGCAACGGGCAAGCCGGATGCTGAGCCATGGCACGGATTCCATGGCGTTTTTTTGGCCGCATGCACTAATAAATAATTTCCTTCTCCCTTTTCTTGGTTGCTCTTTGCATTTGCCTTGATGCTGCCGCTGGTTGTGCTGCTGCCGCTGCCAATTGCAGTCTCTGGCTTCTCTTTGGCTGCCCGTTTCGCCCCCGCCCACCGGGATACCTTGACCAACCAACAACAGAAACAGAACGGCAAGCCACCACAAAATAAAAGAGAGAAAGAAAAAAAATAAAAGGGAGACACAAGTGAACAAACAGGCTGGCGGCCGTCTCGACTCGCCGTCAATCCAATTTGTTTTACACTTTAGGTACTTGGTAAACTACTGCGTCTTATCACACAGAGACTCGGAATGGTCTCTCTATCTCCCCACCCGCCCCCAAACATTCATCCCTTGCTCGCCTCGTCATGCCTCGAAGGGCAGTTAGCCCCAACAACCTGCTGCCGCGTCTTAAGCGAATCCCTGCTTTTCAGGCGGCCACTTTGCCAGGCCCGCGGCTTAATTGGTATTTTCCAGAAGACAGGTTGCCGGGGTGCTGCCACACTGGCAGCCCTTTCATTGTGCATCTGTATGAGTGTGAGAGTGTGAGAGTGTGTGGATTGTTGAATTGTTGGTGTCCCTGAAGTGCCTGGGTTACCCGAGAATTACAGGCGAGAGTGTGCTGTATTGTGCTAGCCTACGGGAGTCAAGGGCCTGGCGTTCGTTTCCAGCTGGCTTCTCTGTGAAACTTCGGACTTGCCAGAAACGCAACATGATAGGTCTCGGCCGATTCCCACGCTACTGCCAGCCCACCTGGTCAAAAGGTCGATCAGATCGACGTGTTTGCCGGGAGTGAGTCGGGGACAAGACCAACAACACACGACCACACCGACGCTGATTAGTCACAAAAGACACATGATGAGATCGAAGTTGCCCGGGGCAGGGGTTTAGATTTCATGCCGAAGGTCGTCCCGGAGCTAGTCCAGGCATTGTGGAAAAGAAAAGAAAGAAGACAAAGGAAACCAGAAAGCAAAGACAATCCTAGGTAGGGATGATGCGAAGCCGGCCAGGGGGGAAAGTGATCTTACTGTTCTGTTTGAAGCCTCATCCAACTAGTATGCCCTGTTGGCCTCTAATAGAGGCAGAAGAGGAATTAAAGAGCTAGAGGAGAACCTCCTGGCTAGGAAGCAGATCCCATCCTGTTACACACACATGCAATCGACATATTTCCAGAGAGGACAATATGAACTTTGTAGCAAAGCCTGACTTGGAGTGTCGGTTCTATAATCCATAGGTTATGGGAGCGAGGACGACTATGACAGCAGCGTAGTAGCATGAGGGGTGGTGCTCCATGAATGGACCCTTGGATCCTGGAAAATGGGGCGCCAAAGTACTATAGTAGACGAAACAAGGAAACTCCCATTTTCATGCTGACTGCTCCGATGGGACGGTTTACCTAACGAGACAGCTCGTCCGATTGGGAGGAAGGGTGAAGGGAGGGGGTTTATCTGCGGGTTAGAACTAATCTGACGAGAGAGAGAGCTTGGCTTCTGGTTTCGTTGTGTCTTTCTTTCCATTCGGACAGCGCGCTCTCACGCGCGCGTGCGGGTGGGTGTGAGCTGGTGTGTGTGTGGTGCGTGGTGCGCGTGGGAGGTGTCTGCGGGTGATGGAGGGAGGACGGGAGTTCCATGCTCTCCCATATTATGTGCATCATGTAATAACAATTAACAATCGTATCAGTGCAGCACACGCAGCTCTCTTTTCTGCACATTGATGCGGTCTGGGGAGGGGGCAGGCAGACAGATGGGCGGCTTGCTGCTAGGGGCCTGATTCATCAAACTTCAGAGATTGGAGGACGCATGTACCCAAGAAGCCAAGGTTGTTGATTCCTGAATTACACAGGGCAGAAGCAGGGCAATCCTTCGTGCGCTCGCTAGCGTCAAGCACGTCTCGCTCTGAGTCGTTCACGCCGTACCGAACCCGATCAAGCGACACTCCAGAAGGCCAATCCTAGCGTGCTACAGAGAACGAAGCGACTAGGCCCGGCCCTGAAGCCCCCTTCGCATGCCTTGCCCCAGCACTGCGCAGCCCAAGCCAGGGCGCCGTGTTCAACTCGTCACCCCACTGGAGCAGCGGAGCCTGGGCTTGTAACTGCTTTTCTCCCACCCTTCCATGGCTTGGTGGTCATTGTTCTCGCCGCCGCCGCCGCCATCGCCGTCGTCGTTGTTTGTATTGTTCTGGTGATACGGGTTAATCTTCTTTTTTTTGTGTGTGTGCTGGTTGCGACGGGTTCTCTTCTTTTGCGCCTTGACGTCAGCCGGAAGCTCTTCTCTCCTTGTACTCTTTTTGGGGGTTATTTCGTTCTGGGCGAGGCATTGGGCCTCTGCATCGCATTCTGACCCTGGATCTTCCCTCGACGCGAGATTTGGCAAACGGCTGAGCTCACATCTTGGAAGCGGTGTCCTCCCTTCACCTCCCTCTCTCCGCCAACTCGAAACTTTTGCGTCGTCGACTCTCTGGTCGTCCGCCTCTCGACGACCCTCTTCCCCCATTTCGTCCCGACTCGGCCGTCCGATCTTGAGCGGCAAAGTAGTAGCGTATCGGAGGCGCTGGTGGTCGAGCTTGGTCGAGCTTCCTCGACAATCTGGAAAGGGATTTCGGGAAATCGGGCGTCGACCACAAGAACGTGCCTGCGTTGTCCGCATTCCATTCCTGAGCCTAATTTTCCCCCGAGACTCGCCCTCGTAATGTCCTAACGATGCAAACAACGATCCTCACGAGTACCGAATCCCCTCTCGTCCTCCTTCCCTCACACGGCTGCTCGTCGTTGTCATCGTCGTCGTCGACGTAACAGCCCGCAGTCAGGATGCAGGTCGTGCCGAGTGTAAGTTTCTTGAGATATCACCAATCCCCCATTGTCCGGTCCTCACCGAACTCAAAATGTCAAATGGTCCCGTCGAGAGCGAAGCATGCATGACACCCGCAACTTTAAAAAAAAAAAAAAAGGGGGGGGGGGGGGGGGATTATCGCTACGCCTTTGGACATGTTGGACGCCTTCCCCTCGCCGCCCAACAGCACAGTTTGACTTTTCCCTCCCTCCCATGCTGATATATTTTCTCGTTTGAAGCTCGTGGGAACTGGCACCGCCGTCGCAGCCGCTGCTGCTGGACTAGTCTTCGGTCAACCACCCGACTCCGATATCCCTAGCCCGGCCTCGGTCAAGAAGAAACTCGCGTCGGACTACTTTGACAGCTTGCGAGCACAGCCTTCCTCGTCTCGCCCTGGTACAAGCTCGATCGTCCCCAATTCTTCGCCGTTAGAGGAGTTTCCCTACAGCTCCTTCCGACACCTCGCCAGTGTGCCCTCCGGACCCCCCGTCTCTTACCCCCCCATCACAACACGGCAGCGACCTCTGAGCATTCAAGCTTCAGTTCAAAATGGCTCGAGTAGAAGGCACTCGTTTATACGTCAGGGCGATGTTGCCTCACGGCCAATCGCCGAGAGCAATCGCGACTCGGTTTCTTCGAGGGATTCTTGGTACAAGAGACTATCAATTAGGCCGCCATCCCAGCATGGAAGCCCAAGATCAAGCATGGCCCCTGAATCCCCGTCTCTATCGTACTCTCAAGCCTCTGGCGTACCGATTCTCGGACCCGAGTCGCCCGCTTCGCAGACCCCCACTAATAAGTTGGTGAAGAGGGCAACTTCTGGACAAAAAGGCGCATCCGAAACCACATTGTCGAAACGGGGCTCGAGGTCACAGATGCTGACTCTGCGGAGGCCTGCAACGAGCCATCAACGGACAGCGACGCTGCAGCAGTTTCAAAACCAGGGCGGTTTTTCTGGGCCTCTCCAGCCCGAGGTGAAGTACTCGTTCGACCATCCGACTCTACCCCGAAACTTGGTTGTAGGACCGGAGGTGGACGTACCCGAAAGGCGGTCTTCTGGGACATGGACTTCGCTTTTCCACACCCAGCCCGCAAAGTTACAGGGTCGAGGAAGCGCTGGGCTCCCCGCCGCAAGCAGCCCTAACAGCTCCACCTTACCCCGAAAGAGGGTGATAATGCAACTAGGCAGCGCATCTCGCGCTTACCTGACTAAGGTGCAATGGATGACAGGCATTTCAATCCCGACAGAAGACACCGAGGAGCCGTTGGACAGGTCGGAGCGGTCGGGGCAGAGGGAGGGCTCTCAAGAAGCAAGCGACCCGTCCTCGTCGACCGATTCGACACCGTCTAGGCGGGCACGAAGATCGATTTCAATGCATTTTGGCTCACCCGGTAGTTGGATCTCAAAAACGGGAAGCCTTCGCCGCTCGAGGCGGGGGATCACAGTTGATGCGAAAAGTACAGGTGGAAGGAATGCGTCAGCCCCAGCAGGTGCCGCCCAGAACCCAAGTCAGCCTGCGGTCAAACCGAGTCTGGCAGAAATTTTCACGCCGCCCGATGCGCAACCGCAAATAGAATCCGAAGCTAGGCCACCTACTTACCTGCAAGCGCGCAAAAGGAACTCATCCTCGCCATTACCACCCCTCTCTCGCCTTTCGAGCTTTAATATAGACGTGGCCCGACTTGGCCTTGGGAGTTCCTCTTCCGCAGCACCCTCCCGACAACTTCAGCCGCCACTGAACTATATGTCGACCTCACAAACCTTCTCAGGCTTCCCTCACAGTCGAGGCCCGTCAGGAGAGCGAACCTATACGCTGGCAAGCTCTGATGCCGAGGTCCGAGATGGGGTGTCCGGCGACGACGAGGACACTGATTTTAGGAGCGACGGAGTATTTGACTCGTTCCGTACCGTGGCTTCTTCGAGTCGGGTGCGGGCGGTTGAGACTCCGTTGGAATCCATGTTTGATGACTCGCCACCGAGTACCGCAAGTAACAGCAAGACAAAGAGGTTGTCAATACAGGAGATACTGGGTCGCTCATGGGACGGGGAGACAAAAATCACAGAGGAGGACGAGAGTCTTCCAACACCAATTCGAACCGCCCATCTTGCCGATCCAATCGAGTTTGGACGCCCAGGACAGGATGATAACGGCCTTGGATTTGATGCATCGCCGGCCCTGTCGCTTGCGAACCGAGACTTTGGACGCTTATCAATTGACGACGACGACGACGACGATTGGGCGCGAGATGACGAAGACACCCTCAGTAACCACCTCTCGCCACCTTCCAGCGCCTCCAACTCCAGGCGTGTTAGCCCCACGTTCCGCCACGTCGTTGTCGGTGTTAACAGGAGGAACGAGAGCCCCGACCTTCACCGAGACCTCGTAGGTGATCGACCTCGGAGTAATATCTTTGATTGGTGCGAGCCGTCGACCCACGACAAGTTCGACACAGGGGGCCATTCACCTCGCCCTAAAACAGTGCACGGGAAGCAGGAGCTGGACATGAGGGGTGGCCGTTCTGTCAGTCGGAAGGGGCCCAGCGCAGCTCACGTCCGGAGCCAGAGTGTACCTGTAGTACCCGATCCCACGGACGGCTCGAAGCCTCAACCAAAGTTTGGAACTTGGGGATTGGGAACGAAGACGGCGAGTGAGGACTGGGACGACGATTTTGACTTTGACGAACCCACCCCCGACGCTACAGGAGGCAAGGACTCGGCTACAAGTTTTTCCATGATCGTGCCGGCTTCCATTCAAGCTACCCAGCCGACCGTCAAGGCACATTCGGGCCAGATCCGCGAGCTATCGCTACTTGTGAACGACTTGAAGAGGCTCTGCCGGCACGGGAGAGATCTCGGCATCTTGGTTGGCCCGCTGAGTTTGAAATGGAAAGAGGCGGAGAACATAATCGCTCTCGCGTCGCCGGATGAAGATGGTGCTGAGGATATGGAACCAGCCGATCCAGCGGTAGACTTCGACCGCTCAAGGATCGACGAGCGTTTCATGGAAGAGGGTTTCGATGGTCCTATTCTCGACAATTTCGACGATCCATTTGAGTCCCCGGAACCGGAGATGAGCAAAACAACGGTGGTGCGAGAACGGCAAGTGACCCGTCGCCGGTCCGTGTTCTCTCCCGACGACGATATTTTCGGAACCAACTGGCCGCTAACGGACGAGGGTGCGAGGCCGGCGCGTCCGCATACACCCAATACGTCGATGAACCCCAACCGGAATTCGGCCGTCATCGCCACTGTAATCGAGGCCATGCAGCAGCAGCAGCGTTCCATCTCTGACCCAGTCAAGAGTGTGTCTCCAAGCAAGCCTTGGGATTCGAAGCTTTTCTTCGACACCAACAGCCTGCAGGAGCTAGTTAAGCGGGCCGGGCAGCTTAGGGACTCGCTTTCCGATGCGGTGCGCCGGGTAGAGCTCATCACGCAGAGTCCGGCTGGCACACCGAGGCGCGAGCGGCACTCGCGTCATAATCACGACGGAAGCCCGGCTTTCACACGAGTCTTTACGGACCCTCCCTCGAGCCCACCGAGACGACTGCCTAAGAGCCATAGTACCAACTCGGTCCTGAGCAAAACCTCTGTCGATTCACCGAGGATGCAGATGATGACGGTCGGCTAAAATGATGCATGGTTCTATCGTTTTCTTTCTATTGCCACCGGGGGCTATAAAAAAAGTAATAACCTGGAGAAATACCCAACCTGTATATGTACGAATATCGATGGAGCACGCACACATACCTAAACGCATCATAGCAAAGAGATGTACGACATGCTTGCATAAAAGGATGAATGAAAGAATACAGAAAGACGGAAAGACGGAAAGGATTTGCTACTTGAAGAACCGGGGGAAAGGTACAAAGTGGTGAATGGGAGAAACTGCGAGGCCCCCTTTTTGTACGTCGTCGTTCGGTTACTTCGGAACCTCCATTTTCTTTTTGTTTTTCTTCCTCCTCCTTGGTAATGCCTCTCTTTATTTTCTTGCGTCTCCTTTAAAACGGCTGTCGTTTGCCAGATTCTTGGTATTGGCACGGTTCGGTTCGGTTCGGTTCGGTTGGGCTTGGGCTGACTGGGTTGGTTTTCCCGCCCCCGCCCCTTTTTTTCTCCTTTTTTCATCTTTTTGCATGATATCTGGGTGGAAAACAAAATCAGAGTATCAAATTTTTTTCCCCATCTTCCGCTTCGCGTTCATGACGGCTATTCCCTGGTGCTACTGCTGATGCTTGCTCCTACTGCTCCTACTGCTGCTGCTGAAATTAATGCTTTGTGTTCGACACCTACGGAAGGAACTTGATGGGTTTCTTTATTTATTCGTTTTTGGTTACATAGGCGTGGTGTTTGTGCTGTTATGCCTCCCCTTTTCGGAAAAGATCCCTTTTTATTTTATTTTATTCTTTCCTTAAGCGTAGCACAATCAAGACATATGGGACAAAAAGGACAGATATTTTGTCGTGTATGGGATATAGAAAAGAATAACCTGGGTTATGTTTTTAAACTATTCCGGCTGATGTCGTTGTTGTTGCTACGGAAGTTGTCGCTGAAGTTACTTGCTAGTTGTGTGTTTTATGTATGGTGTTTGCCGATACTTGGTTGCCGGATTGTTTTGACAAAAAACGAGCGGTTTGTGTTTGTATTGTTTGTTCACGGGGCTTCAGAACCGAACTCCACGAGGTGTAGGCTGCTGACTGACGACAGTGGTGCCAGCTAGTTTGCTCGGGTCAGTAGATATGTTTCTCTCGTTCCCGTCCGGAAACATAGAAAAGATGGCTGAGAGGAGAGGGTTGCAAGACTACGTTAGATATCCTGAACTAGATGAAACCTTTAGAAAAACAGGAGGGTTATCACAGACTTCACGAGAGTTGGGGGCATGGCAAATATGAAATTGGCTCCAAAGTCCTTTCAGGTGGGATGAGACAACGAAGTCAATCTACGATACCCCTGTATTGTTTTACCCTGCGATGCCCAAATCTCATAACCACAGATAGGGAGGTGTTAGGTAAATAGGATGAGTTAATATGCCGTAGGCAAACAACTTCAAACGCAAGTGGCGAGAGATCAAGTCGACATTCCTTACCTACCCCATCCTTCTCGTGTCCGTCTGTCACATCTATATCTTCCACTTCACCACATCTGGTTATTTACAGCTACTCTTAGATAACTAGGATACACTAAGAAGACAAACTCGATCTAGACTTCAATGAGGAGGGGCTCGTCAGCCTGTGGGGAAGGGAACACACACCATCTACATATGTCAAAAGACAGCATTGACCTCCTATGTCGTCTCATGGGTGTTTGCGCGTAATCCACCAAACCCCTCGGCACCGGCCCACTCTCACTGTTTGTCCCATCCATAGTCGCCACCGTGAGCTATGAAGTCGAATGTTCTGCGTATCATCACGCACTTCATCTCTAATCCCTATCGGCCGTGAAGATTTTAGAATGTAGAAACGAACGAGACAAGCACCCGCAAGTCTAGACACTCCCTGATCCCAACCACAAAACCGGGTTCGAAATTAAATGCAAACGTGCACCTTGAATCACTCCCAACACCAACACCGTGTCCAAGGCAGGGCCACGCAGGAGTCTTCACCGTTCCCGCAGCAGTACAGCAATCGCGGCAGCGCCGCAAGACTAGCAGCGATGACACAACCAACCCCAAAGAAAGGGGCATGAGAAAACACCTCACATACCATCTATCTACCTATGTAGATCCGGGAGAGGGAATTTAAACGCCCTGCTACTTCCCTGGCAGCGTCTCCTTCAGAGCCAAGAGTAAAACCGGGAGCAGTGGGAACTACTAAATGCAGCAGCAGGGACAACGGCTGAAACCAACCCAGACGAGCCACTCCAGATACATGATAGAAAGGAAGGGTTTCAATGACAGGATAGCAAATATTTATATCTTATCACTCGAATGATGGCTCACGGGGAAAGGAGCTCATGTGTCTATGAGGCGGATGAATCCTTGAGTGTGGCTACATGCGTCGTGCAATTGCTCAATTCATGGTTGCTTTGAAGTTCTGGGCAGGCAAATTGAGACAAAGACTTCGCAAAACGTTACAAGTAACAAGGGAAAAGAAAAATGGTACAGTGATGAAGGGGGGCTTTTCGGCCAGCAGTACGGAATGGTCGCAGATCTTTTAGGAGACACTGGACGTTATTTACGGTTCATATTGGACTGCGGTATTGGCTAAGGGGTTCGAGTGAGAGCGTTCGTGATAAATTTGCGTTCCAAAGAAATCATTCGCTGAAAATACAAAGCCAGGGCGATGCCATTAATGACGGCAGCCGGCTGAAAAAAAAAGCTAACTCATGATGGAAAAACGACATGGAAAGAATCCTAGTAATGTGAAATCCCCTCCTCAATGCCATTCATTGAGGGATACAAGTATCGTTCATAGGCCGATTTGCCTCTGATTTACTCCTTTTGTCCACGCTCCATAGCAAGATTCTTCCAATGATCACGCTCAGCCGTAAGCTTCTCGATTTGTTCCTCCAGTTCCTCCAACTTCTGGGCCTTGCGCTCTCGCGATTTGCGAGCGGCGAGGGTATTCCGAGCTCGCTTCATTGCGATGGTGTCCGACGGGTCCTCGACGATGATGGGCGGAAGGGGCTTGTCACGCCGACGGGAACCAACGCCAGACACAGAAGAGTGGCGACCAGAAGGAGGCGAGGTACCAGACTTGCGCCGTTGATGGCCTGATGTTGGCTCCACAACCTCGAGGTCGTCAGACTTCTCAGCAGGTGAATGTTCGGCGTTTGCATTCTGCTGAGTGTTTGACTGAGGGAAGAGGGGAAACCAAACGTCATTCCCCCCTGCGTCAAAATCGCTGCCTGCAAAGTTGGGAGACACATCAAAGCCAGAGCCAAAGTCGGGCGATTCGTCGTAGAGAGAGGGCGAAGTAAGGGCGGTGAGGGCGGTCGAGTTAGGTGCCGACATGAACGGTTCCTGGATCAACAGATCTTGGGGGGAGACGGTGCCCAAGTTGGTTGATGAGCTGGAGGCACCGCTCATGTCGAAAACGTTGGGCATGGCGGGCGACGAGTACGTCGTCGTCGACGCGCCGCCGTCAAAGGCGGCGAAGTCGTCCAAGTCCAAGTCTGAGGAGGCAGGGTGTGAGCCTCGCGTGTACGTTGGCAGAAGAAAAGCGCTGGGGGGAGCAGCGGAGTCATTCATACCTTGGATATTCATCTTGCTTTGCGAGATATTGCCAGTGCTTTGTGGGAACAGGGGAACGGGTGGACGTCCGTGTCGGTTCGGTGTCTGTAAGCTCAAAGCAGCGGATGATGATGGAGCGGATGAAGCGTAGAACTGGTGCTGGTGCGGGTTCTGCGCAGAAGAGCTAAACCGATTGGTGAAAGCCGAAGAAGTCGTTTGGTGCCCTGTTGCCTGGATGATGTTTGCAACCCGCTGGTTCTGCAAAGACGGCGAGGAAGCCTGCTGCTGGTAAAACGGCTGGCTACGATGTTGCTGGTTTTGGTTTACACCCCCGTTGGCGGAAGGTTGTGGGACAGAGCGGTTAGGTTGACGGTTCTTGATCGGCTGATCGAACAAGACAAAGTCTTGCTGATTTGGAGGCAAGTCCAAGTGCTGAAGTTGCAGATGTTGCGCGGATGTTGCCGGCAGGCTCGTAGAACTGGAGGGAAGCCATGATGACTGAGTAGAATCCGTGGTGAAGACTGGAAAGTCTGGGCCGGGAATGGCGGCGGTTGGAGAAACGGAACTTGAGCGAGAGCTGGAGAGCTGGGTGCTAAAGTTCAGATCGACCTGTGAAGGAAGAGCTGGAGTGAAGAGAGGAGTGGGGAAAACGTTTGAGTTGTAAGAATGAATTTTGGCGACGGCTAGGTCGGAAGACGCGGGGTCTGGGGTGCTTTTAACGCATCTTGATAGATGCCTTGGGTTGCTTATAGTCTGGGGTTGGGGGAGAATTTGGGTTGGAGAGAGGAAAAAGAGATGCCGCAACAAAAGTGGGCGACGCGACACTTTTTAACAATCAGGCAGCGATCTGGTACGGTGCGTGCGCCCCAGGCCAGAGGCTTCAGGGCGGCAGCGCAGGCAATACGCAGCTTTGATTCGCTCTGCCCAACGGCCAGCCGGAAACGGAAAGTGTGAGTCACAGCCCGAGAATGAAATTCGTTACAGGAAATGTACCTTACACTAACAGAAAGAGCAGCCACGATTGTGCCCTCAACCCACAGTTGAAGCTTCCTGCTGCAGAAGGGGCATATTTCGGGTGCAGGTGCGCTCTGTGTTGAGGTGGAGGCCTTGATTTCATCTCATTAAACACGATAAGAGCGTGTCGTCGTCGAAACAAATGTTAAGAATTGTTTGGATTGCAGTAATTTTCTGTAGTATCCCTTCCTGGGCCTGCAGGGATCAATAGCACCGCCCCACTTAGTATTCTATCTCCACAATGCGCGCCAATTAGGTTGAATTTCAAGCCCCACCACAGCCAGTCCGGTTGAAACTGAGAACTGAAGCGAATTGGCTTACGTGCCCTGCACATGCGCTAGTAACTGTTCCATGGTGCCTACTGGCGTCCCAAGGCCTCCAACCAAGACAGACGGAAGGGCGTAATCACGTCCTTGCATGTCAAAAAAAAAAATGAGACCTTTGTGAGCGATTCCCATTCTGGACTTTCTAGCGAAGGAAGCTGTTTATTGCATGTCCGCGTCTTGATGGCTTGCAACTATCGTGAAATATTCGAAGCTTTGGTTATCTCGAAGCAACCCCGATGGTGATGGGGTGTGGAAGAGGACAGATTCGGCAATGCAGTCCTTGCTGGAGGTAGTACGGAATATTAGGTAGGGCAAAATAGGGCTTTAAATCGCAGAAGCCTGATCATCATTTCCCCAGGACGCGCAACCGCTTGCGCGCCATTCTTCAGTAGTCCTTCGACTGTAGACGACTGAGGACGAAACGTGCCTAGCCCTACCTCATCCTTCTTTCGAGATTGGATTGCCTTCAGTCTGATTCGAGATACGGAGTACACCGTACGTATCAGTCCAACCAGCAGGCTCATTATCATATGTGGTTGCCTGTACTCTACGTGGGAGAGTTCACCATCGGGATAGTGTGTTCGAGTTTCTCCGCCAGGTAATAAATATTTGTCTGGATGTCTTTGGCCAGCCCTACAGGCACGAGACATGTCGTGTATCGGTGAAAGGGGCTCCGCCTCCTTCCCACCAATCTCAAAGGGACTTGTGGATGGTGTGTGGGCATGAGAGATTTACTATGTACTGGAGATTTTGGGTGCCCAAACCCTACGTATCCATTCCAGGCAAAGAGGGGGGAAGAGGAAGACAGAGAGGACTCGAGGTTTCGGCGGCTCTACGTACTCGAAAGTGCTGGAAGGGAAATCTGTCGTTGCTTCTCGCCAACATTGAGATAGCCCTTCTGTCGAATCAAAAGGCTCAATGGCAAGCAGACAATAGGGGTTGTCGCGACAGGCAGGTGAACTTTCTGTCTAGGATGTGCAATTGAGTTTGTGACTCACCTTCTCGGCTCCGCTAGCCTAAGAGGTTTTCCCCTAGCTTTCCGTTCCGCCCTTCCCCTGTCGGACCCATGGGAAGCAGCAGGGGCACGGACTTCTCAGACTCTCATCGGCCTTTCTCTTCGACATTGGCATTGGAGGGTGTTGCTGCAGGTCATGGATCACTTCTCCAGAGTGCGATAACATTCTCCGTGGTGTAGTTATTGCGCCTCGGCGAAGCCTCGTCAAGCGCAGGACAGAACAGCGGAAGCCAATTGGAGACGAGGTTGTGGGGGGCCAAAGAGCAAAAGGCGCGCTGGCGCAACTTCGCGCCTTCTGCACACATGTGCGCAAGTGCAATTAATCTATCACACGCATTTGCAGTGTTGTCTTTTCAGGCGGGCTGCAAGACAAGGCAGTCCTTGTACCAAGTTTTATCGTGGTCAATGTCCGAGGCAAGCCGCTTCCCGACCGGTGGCTTCCGGGCACGCCCGTCTCTGCCTTGACACGGGTGTCTTTGGTTCTTTGTCCTGTCGCTTTGGCTTGGCTGTCGAGTGGGTAGGCGATCCCGGACCCAGGACCTAGTGGTTTTCTGAGCTCAAAGAAGACTGCTCACTAAGACACATCGGTTGTGGAGCCTTGCCTGTTAAATCCTTTCATGGTGCGGAATACCTTCGACACCCGGTTGACCCGGTTCGTATTTCATCCAGTAACTGATAGTGCATACATTTCTCTTTGCCGCATGGAGGGTTTGAAGTTATTGATACGCTCTCCTCCGAATGATGCTAGGCCTAGTAATTCGTCAACTGAGAACCGAGAATACCATGCAGGTAGATAGGTACTCCGTACCTTGAAAAGGGACGTAGATGATAAACATGCGCATGCTGGTCTTGCCAAATTACCTGGCCATATCTATACCCGATATACAGAGGACAAAGAAGACATTTTGATATTTGTTTCCCAAAAGGATTTAAATACCGAAGGTTAAGACCCGGAGCACATTATTAAAGAGATAAGGTATTCCGCACCCAAAGTGCCTCGGGCCGGCACCTGGTCACAGAGGACAATGTATGGACAATAGCTCTCCACCCCGCTTATCAGGTCTGAAAGGGTGTCAATTCAACCCTCCAAAGGCACGGTTGCTCGTGCTACCAACGCCAACAACCAGCACACCGAACTTCGACTTCAAGTACCTAGCCACCTATTTTCTGTTCTGCGAGCGGCCACGTAGTTGGAATGCCCTACTAGATTCCAACGTTTTATTTGATGTGATCTGCTTTTTTCCCCATAAAAAGTGTACTCCTAAGCTGAAGGGTGACCATTAGTCCTGTCCAGTGTATTTGCCTAATCCACGAATACCGCTCACTATCCAAGAACAAAATTAGGCTATACAAGCAAGCTATCTGACCGTGACAGACACACAGACGCAGGCCAATCCAGAGTTTGTCTTGTGAAAGTATGCAGGACCACATTTTTTCGTAGTCAACTACCTTACCTGCGTAAGTAGGTGCCTTAGGTACCGGTATAGTCTATGGGCAAGCACTGACCCGAATTAAAGACACTCAGTTATATTCCGCCTACCAACCGGCCCGGTCAATCAATAACAAAAGTCATAAGCTAATATAATCACAACTTCCCCGTCTCCCTGTCTGTTCTCTGTTTTCTAACGCTTTTCTTCTCTTACACTGAGGCAAGGACATTGTCGAAAAGAGAAAAACCCCTCGCTCCCTGAAACTAACTGAAGCTAGAATGTATCTAAAACCGAACAAAGCTAGAACAAGAGGAACAAGAGAAAAAAGGAAACCAAGGAAACATCAACAACCAACTCTAATACTACCACCTCTCTCGGCCAAGAAGAGGAAAAAGAGAGAGGGGAAAAAAAAGCAAAACGCCACAAGAAAGCCCTTCTCTAAGTAAACCACCAACTGCTCGGAGGTCGATGGTGATCCGACTTTCGCTTCTGCACTGGCCCTCTCATGGGACCCGCACCAGCTTCAGTAGCTCGCGTATCGAAACCCACCCTATTACACCGGAGGTGCTGAAGGTACGATACCCCATTTCCAAATGTTATCCGCCACCTTCCCATCGTGGGCCTTTTTCTTCCAATTTGTGTCGATATTCGCTAATTCCGCGTTCAATTTCTTCGCCCTCTCCACCTTATCAAAAGCCGCTTTAATAATAGCATCTTTAGCAGCCTTAGCAGCCTTAGCAGCCTTGGGAGAATCCTTGGCAGCCTCAGCAGCCTCCTTAGCCTCCTTCTCCTTAGCATCAGCAGCATCTTTAACAGCCTTCTGGATAGTGGCATCGTCATCCTCTAGCTCTTTCTTTGTCATTGGCCTCCTCTTAACAAACCATCGCCAGTGCAGATTTTTCTTTGCCAGAGCTGGGTGAGTCTTGTCGAACTCGTTCTTTTTTTCGACCATGTTGTGTATCCCAATCGCCAACGCAAAGAATTTCACGTGGCCGCCCTCGTTTTTAAAACGGTAAGTCACTGATTTATTTCCTGGTTCGTCTGGCCTGGGCCCCGGGGCTTTGTCAGTAGGCACCACCCCTTTCCAGAGCTTTATCACAGGCCCCTTGACCTCGTGCACTGTGGGATCGAGATCGGTTCCATTGTTTATAGTCGGCATTCCATGCTCATCTAGCTCGACAAGCTGGTAGATTATAGAGCCATTCGCATCCCGCTCGGGCAGGAGATCGTGAAAGTCATTGGGTGACCTTTCCACTTTGGCAGGTTCCATATGTGGTTGTGGCGGTGTGTGTGTTTGCGGTCCTGGATGTGTAGGTGGGAGTGGTAGTCGAGGTGTTTGTTGTTGGAATGAATACTGATATATATGAACCCAATCACAGTACTCTTTGAACAACCTTTTCCACCCAGCATTGAGCCTCTTGAATTCCTCGTCATGCTCTGCGGAGTGTGCTTCGCCTTGTTTTTTTTCGTGTTGACTGTCATAATGTTTTATGCCCCACAAAATAGAATGGGCCATACTATCACTGGCCAGCTGCACCCAGCCAAATAAGGTCATGTCTCGCTTTCCTGCCATAGATTGGTAGAAATCATGCACAAGCCTTGATCTGTAGTTTAAAAATACTGTCAGCAGAGAGGACTAGCGGCAGACGGGGAGGTGAAAACGAACGAACCTGAAAAGCGTGCCGTTGTCTGTGCTAACCGAGCAATCAAGACCGTTTGCCATCAAAACATAGCCGGCGTGACCCATAATGGTTGGCGTCAGGCCAAGCAGCTCGTTTGAGATGGGGCATAGCTCAATGCCGACTCTGTCCTGCTGCATCCTATTCATAACCCAAGGGTGATAAGCCAACGCGAAGCCATGTCCAATACGCTTCGCGCCCAATATAAGAGCGTCGAATAGATTCAGATCAGAAGGCTCGCCAATGGTTATTGTCTCGCCGCAGTGAAGTAGTAAGGGGCATCTGACGCCCTTCTCTGCACATTTCTTCTTGAACCAGTACAATGTTGCGACGTGGTGTACCAAGGGGTGCGGCTTGTCGTTCCCTTCCTCGCCGATGAGATCGAATCCTGAGAATAAGCGGGTGAGTTTCCCCTCATTTTACAACACAGACCGGGAACAAGGAAGACCAGAACATACCAGCGATGAACTGACTAATAAATGGATTCTGTAGCCATAGAATACACTCATCCATCAACTCTTCAATCTTGACCGCGTCCATCACGCGCGGGGTGCAGTAGATAATCCTAAGTCCCTGGACGACATCGTATTTGTGAGCTACCTGGAGCTTGTTGTAGGCTTCAATGATGAGCTCGACAGTCCTCAAGTTACTGAGCGTCTCGGAGGCGTCGTCTTTCTGGATTTGGTTGGTCGTCATGAAGTTTGGACGAATCTCGACGTATTGGATACAATCTCGTACACACTGCCACATGAATGCCTCACAATATTCTTTGTAGCCACTCTCGTAATTGGTGAGCCCTTTCATGAAGCCAGTGCGTATGTTGAAATCTTCCCAGGCGCTGGAGTACTGTCAGTTTGGCCCACGGTTCAATAATCCAGTGATGCCTAACGTACCTTTTGGGATTCTGATGAGGGTGATTTGCGTCATATTCTTGAACAGCCAACTTCTCCTGAAGCCATTGGTCGGCAAATAAGCCAGCTAAATCAGAAGAGCTCGGTTGCGGGGGCATGATGTCGTAATTCTTATTGTATTCGTTACGTTTCTCTCTGTAGGCCGCATCGGCACGCTTTTCGAGTTCGGCGGCCAATTTTGGATGAGCTTCGCTGTACTTTGCCTTGAAATGGTGACGGAATTTCCATAAGGGCATCCAATACTTGCTTTCGGGAGCAAAGGGCTTGGGGAAAAGCGTTGGGCCAGGTGCATAGTGGTCCGAAAAAATGTCGGTTTGACAGTCGTTGGTATCCTCATCTCGGATGTGGAAATAAATGGCGCACTGCTTCCAGTTGTGGGCCTTATAACCACTGTGGTTTTTGCCTAATGGTTTGTTGCTGCCAATGTACATCTGCGTCTGTTGTGTAGCACGGCTAAGCAAGAAGTCGGGGCTTAGATTGGAGTTGAAATGGATGTGAAGATGTGATCCTTTGGGGAACATCTCGGCCATGGCAAAGAGCCGGGTTTTCTCGATCGTTTTGCGATTTGAAACGAAGTGGTCTCCGTTGTAGTGAGGGTACTCCATGCCAGTATTGTCGTCAACATATTTCCTTTCATTTGCGAAAATTTGAAGATCCTTATCCCTTGCTTTCGTCAAGATTTCGTCTGCTTGCCTCGCAGATTTATTCGCAGATTTATTCGCAGGGATGGTATCATCGAGGTACTCTTCCTTACTGGTCTGCTCGCTACCTAGAGCTTGTTCGCGGAGGATCTCGGTATCGCGATGACGATTGTAATCATCCATGAGGATCTTGATATTAGCTTCATGCGGGGCTATTGCCGCCTCTAGTTCCTTCTTGACGACTTCTTCATCCTTTGCACCCCTATCAGCCTTGTCATACGTGTCATACTCGGCATGAATTAAGTTCTTAAGGTTATATATTTCGTCCATAATCTTGACGAAATCTTTAGGCTGTTTCGGTGCTTGCTCCAATTTTTTGAGGGCTGCCGACCTGGTGCTGGCAAAATTCCTTAACGCAGACACATGATGGTAGTGCCTGTGTTCATTGTCATCGCCTGCGGGAGCCCCCGTTGATGGGTTGCCACTGCCACCGTTGTTAGACACGGCGAGTGTGATGAAAGCAACAAACGAGTCGGTGGTCAATGGAGTGAATGGAAAAGGCGGGGAGTGACACAGAAGAGGGTTACGAGGCGGGGGTGAAATATCAGGTCATACAAAGGGCATGCAAAGGGCAGACGCATCGGCGAGCCGGGAACGGCGTATAGCAGTTACGAGAGGTGAGAGAATAAAGCAGCTTGGCTAGATGTACGTACTCTGTGAAGGGCCAGAAACAGAAGAAGCGCTTCATGGGCGGCGGGCTCGAACGGGTCTTAAATACGCTGCTGCTGCAGATGTTGTTGCTATGGATGAGCTGCTTGCACGTGGGGCGGGCCAGCAATGCGGACAATCCACTCAATCGAATTTTTTCGCGGCCAAATGGGCGGATCACATGTTCGGGCCCAAAGATAGAGCTGTAGGGATTGGAACGCAGTGTTGTGTGAGACTAACGGCGGTGGTGATGGCGACAGTGAGCGTGACGGTGACGGTGTGGACGGTGCGCGTCAAGTCGTGCCGCGTCCGAGGCTGGAGGGTGGAGGGCCGGCCTGGCTGGCGGCCTGGGTGGGGTGGGGGCCACCCGCCTTGCCTGCGAGGGGCTCAGGGACGGGGTCTCGTTGGGACCCCCATTGCGGGTACCTTACGTACCAAGCCTGTGATTGGATGTTTCCCATAGGTAAGGCTGACCAGCAGGCAGCCTGCATGCGAAGCTTCCGTTTCCCGGGAGAGGTACGAATACACCCTGATGCATTTCACAACCATTCATTCACATTCTGAGGCAAAGATGCCTACAGTGAATAATGCGGACAGCGTACCCGTCGCGTAAAAGCTCAGGATCCACACGCACGAGCCTCCCTGCTCCCAGCTTGAAACCAACAACATCAGACGACCTTCTTGTGGATCCCTCAGCTCGTTCCTTGCCGCGGCAACGTATGAAGAAACTGCCTATCCAGAAGACAAGAGCACCTTATTGCAAACAACCCGTAGCTAAACACACCACCTCCAAGTACCATGTGCCATCCTGAGGCCCTTTGTTTGAGTCAAAGATTGGCGAGCGGGAGGATCTGAGCCAGCTCTGGCGCACCCTTGTGGAGGCTCAGGATTGGAGTGCTTCCCTAATGCCGTTTCGACGGCGGGGTGACGCCATCGAGGCCCCCAATAGTGGGAAATCGAGACTCCTGAACCGTACACGCATGTACGTCTTGCCTAGCTAGGGACCTAACTGGGTAAATGATCCGCAGTCCGTTTCTTTCATCATGATGTGGCAACGACTTGTCTTGAAACCAAAACGGCCTGGGAAGACCGTCGCTCGTCATCTGAGGCTTCGCCACCATGGATACTCCGGACGGCTCGTGGCAACCCTGGCGGTTGCTTGTGGCCCCTCGTTGGCTTCGCCTTGGGAAATTCTAGAAGGGATGGGGCAGTTTGTTGTGCTGAGCCCTTCCCTACACTTCTAGCGTGCGCATATCGACAGTACGATGACATGAGGCTAGTCGTTCACTTACGCCAAGCGTTTCCAATATACAGACCCTAATGCAAACAACTCGCGTCACCATCACGGCACTGTCGAGGCAGGGTACTATCTTTAACTTTGTCCAAACTTTCCGACGAAACGGACGAAGCCGTACATGGTTGGAAACCTGGCCACGAGGCACTCGGGCTGTGCACACAGTGCAAAGACAAACCCGGGTAAGACATGATCGGGTGCGTTTCGATCTGAACCCCTTCCTACTTTGTTTCGCCTCTTTTCGTAGATCGTGTGTTATGCCGATATTGAGGCCGGGCCGGTGGACCACCGGTGCTGAAACGGGAGAGGATCACGCGGATGAGAAGGAGGCAACAGGAATGTGTTTCGGCAAATCCGGGCCTGCCATTCTAAGAATGAGGGAGTTCTAGGCCGAAACCGCTTTGAACGTTTGGTCGCTCAATGTCTCGTCCTGAGCAGTCTCGAAGGAGAACTTCCATGTTATTGAGTCCTCTACCGCTGCCCGTCTCCGGCAACTCCCAGCGATAGTTGAATTAAGTGAAATCTAGCCAGAGGCGAGCTGCTATCTGCTTGGCGACCATCTTCAATGTGAAGCTCACTCCCTGGAAGGCGTGGAGGCATGTACATACACGAGAAGAATGGCGTCAGCAACCGGTGACGGGATCTTCCAAGTTTCCTGAGGATACCACGCATTAGAGGCACAGAAAATAAACTCGGAAACGTTCGCTCCTTCTTGATCTACCCCGCAACTATGCCGTCCAAGTCCGGATGCCTAACAGTCAAGGTCGAGATTGGGCTTCGCAGCCAATGCACAGACTTCTAAATATAAATGGAAACTTCTCTGGACCAGAACCCGTTCATTACGTGGCACAGACGCAAGTGGGACCTGTCGTCTTGTTGAGTGAAGTGATCCGCTTCAGGTTCGGGATTCCCGGAATCAAAATGCCCGAAAAGACATCATAGTTTATAAGGTGACGAGAAATTCACAACAAACGACGATTTGCGCAGGCAACAAGTTCGGGGACCAGCCCGTTCGAGGACCAGCCCATTCGACTGCACACTCGAGAGCGGGCCGCCAAACCGCCAAGCTCCAAGTTCCACGTACCGGCAAGGACATGCGGGCTTGCCAGACTCGTGATTCAATCGCTCCCCAACCAACAGACCAACCAACGAAAAAGGAAGGGGGCGGAATTCCGTGGAGCACGATAGTGACAACAACAAGGCTACGGAGTTGACCGCCGACCAAGTCGCATAAACAAGCCGACGGACAGTATGGCCTCACGCCGGACTCGGGAGTGGCCAAAACAACCGAGTCTTGGGGGGGGAGGGGGTTCGAACCAACACGCGGCAGTTACGCGACCAACCTCCCCAAGTCCGACGAACGGGGCTGGATTGCCGTATTGCCGTATTGCCGTCGCTTGACGAAATGAAACCTTTCGTGAACAAGGTACGTGGATATACGTTGGTACGGATGGCGTCGAATCCGCATCCCGTCCAGGACGTCCAAGGGAATACCGCGATACGCAACGCTTTTGGTTGGTCCGCGCACAATCCGCGGTTTTGAACCTTGATGGACGTTGCGCACCGCGTATTCTTCGGACTAAAACCCCACCCGCACTGCCATGTCTCAAGCGGCCTCTACTAATTGCAGGAGTGACATGTACATTAAAAAAAGGGAGGTCAGGACCTAATTAGTTTACCGTCGTTGGGTTGGGGTTTGTAAATCGGGTTGGTCCAGGGTCCGCGTAAAGTGGATCTAGGTTCTCACCTGGCCACACCACAGAGCCTCCAACGGGCCCACCCGCGCCTAAGATCCAAAGGCATGCTGATGATCTGATCCATAAACTCGGCCATTAATTCGGGACAGTCATCCGGGTCATCGATCCGGGTCGTCAAACCGGGCCATGATCCCCTGCCCACCACCACCCGCCGCATTCATCTAGACCCGCTCTGTTTCACAACAGAATGCCTGGAATTGGAAGCCGCTCCATCGCAAAGAAACGGACTGTAAGAGAAGAAATGCTCAAATTCTTGAGACCCTAGGTACGCTTCGTTCGCACTCAACACCCAAGTACCAACCGGCTTAATCCACAAACGAAACCCGACTGCCCTAGGGCCACGCAAAAACGCCGTTCTGAGCTCACACCTGGCCGAAATCGCAGTAGTTTTCGTGATCCTGAATAACCCAAAACAAGTTTTCTGTTGCCCGCGCCGAGACGGAATGAATAAGATGTTAAAACTACAAACTATCCCAACATTTGACCCAACCGAAGCAGTTCAAGTATTCTGAAATCGAAACGCACCCGCTCCTGCCTGTTCTTCCCCCCTGCCAGCCCCAATAATCAGCAGGTCACAAAAAGTTGCCGAAATCAATCGTCAAACTTGATGCCGCCCAGGGCATTGGTATTAATGGGCCCGCCTCGGTAGCTGCCCTTCTTCTTCTTGTTCTTCTCCTTGGTGAATCCCTTGCCCTTAGTCACGATTAGGTCCTCGTGCGCCTTCTGGCCCCACTCATGGCCCGCATACGCATTGGATGCTAGGCGCGGGTCGACCTGGATGTCCTTGCGGACGCGCGAGAATGGCGTTATGGTCTGCTTGTCGCCGTCCCCCTTTTTGCCTCTATTGTTTGCCTTGATGGGGTCCGGTGGGAGCGGGGCGAACTTATCAACTGGAAAGAATTGAGGTGAGGTTTTGCCCAGTGTCGCCGACGAGTCGGACCCGTTAGTGGGAGAGGTATCCTTTTTCTTGGTATCGATCTTGGGCACCTTTGCCATCGAGCCTGAATCCGAATCCGAATCCGAATCCGAAGAAGATGAGGAGTCGCTGTCATCAGAAGATGAGTCGCTGTCGGGCAAGGGGACCTGCGCAGCCTTTTCGTCTGAGGCCGAAGACGATTCGGAGTCGGAATCCGATGAGTCTGACGAAGATTCAGAAGGCTCTGAAGAAGAGTCCGAGCTGGAGTCCGAGGCCGATTTTTTGACAATTTTTGGTTTAGTGGCTGTCTTGGCCCCCGAGTCCAAGTCTGAATCGGAGCTGGACGAATCCGACGATGAGTCGGAGGAAGAACCCAGTGCGGAGGCGACCACCTTCTGCTTCTTGGTCACTAGAACCTCATCCTCCGAGGACGATGATCTACTCTCAGAAGCAGCTTTCCGCTTTAGAGGATTTGCCGCGGCTGCCTTCTCAGTGTTGGTGGTTCTCGCGGCTTTAGTATCCTCCTTTTCACTCTCGCCGTCGCTGTCCTCACTGCTGCTCGATTCGGAGCTTGACGAGTCGTCGTCCTCTGCGACGTCCTCCATTTCTACGTCGGCATCTGCGTCGCTGTCGCTATCTGACGAGTCCGAGTTGCTGCTTCTGCTGCTGCTGCTGCTACTACTACTACTCTCGTCCTCGCTGCTGCTGACCTTGGTGACCTTCTCAACAGCCGCCTGTATGCTTGTTCCGCTACCGCCATTGAGGGACGTCTGCCAAGTCTGGAAGACAGTAACCAGAGAGGGATGGTCTACGCTGGAAGTCTTATCTGCCCCCTTTTGTGATTTGACCCAGCCCTTCTTGGAGCGCTGCTTTGTAAATGCGCGGTGGGCGTCGGTAAAATCGTTTTCAGTAAGGAAGGTTTCGACAAGGTCCATAAGATGCGCGGGGGGCTGCGTGGATGAACCAACCGACTTGCTAGCCTTCTCGGGTTTGGTAGCCTTACTTTTCGTGGCTTTCAGCTTCTTGTCCTTGATTGGCGCCATGGTCGTCGGCGTTGGGTCTTGTGAAGAGGACCCCAGATGTTTGCCTCGACTTTTGTCCTCGGCGGAACCTGGATTGTTGGAAAAGAGCCACGAGGGAGGCGAGGGCATGGGCAGGATATTCGTCGAGAATTACCCAGTCCTTCGAATATCGACTTCCTTGATGTAATGCGGAGACGGGAATCTTTCGCAGGATGGTGAAATCTCAATCCCTTCGTTCGAAAAATTCTGGGTGTTGGCTCTTTCCTTCGCCGCTGACCGCCTTAATTTTTTTCTGCCAGGAATCGACCTAATTGACCCTTGCATGATGTAGTGGGGCTCGTCTCTCAGACCCACCCTTGTTTTTGTTCCTGGGAGAGGCGGCCAGAAAAAAGGGCAAGTGGGGTTAACGTCCTTACCATCGCAATCAACCTGCTACGGCACCTTTAAAGAGAGATTCGTCTGAAGATGAGACGGAACCTTAAGCTGGCAAGTGCTAAAATCCTTTTAATACGAACATAAGGCACATGATTTGCTTTTGCGTGGACCTTGGGTTCGTTTGCCTTAGACTGGATTGTTTACCAAGTCGCAAGTCGGTGATGTAGTGGAATTGGGAAAATGGTTACGTCACTTTTCAACCCACCGGGTTGCATCCGGGTTGTAAGACTTTGCATAGCTTTATATTGGTACAGATCTCTGTTTTCACTGGGACGTTATGAGTGAGATATTTGGCGTTTCAGGATCTAACTCCATTTGAATCCCTCTATTGAGATGCTGTCTCGACATTGGATATCATATTGCCCACGCACCCCGAGAATCCTCTAGCTCTTTACCACATCGATCCCACACCTCGAGGCCCGTCAGAGCGGTGCTACCGAGCATAAGGACGCCGATGGGGCCTGGGGATAGAGGCGACCAACCGACGACAGATCCCGGGACCGAAATGTCCAACACGTCCGCCGTGAGTCGGCGTAGAATCTTGCGCGCCTCGTCTTTCTTCTCCTTTTTCTTCCTATTCTCCAGCTCCGTCGCTACGGCGCTGTCACTGCCCTTTTCATCTATTCCCTTCTTCTCCGACTTCGAGTCGGACACACGATTCTGAGCACGATACAACCCAACAAGCCTCAGCCCCCCAACAATAATCCCGCACAACAGCGAGAAGAACCAAAACCGGTTGGCCTCGACGCGAAGCATCGCTGCCCGCTCCGTACCCCAGGGGCCGTCTAGCCCCTCGACGCCGAGGCCTTCGATGAAGGTCAGGCTCTCGAGCAGCAGATACATGCCGTTGAAGGAGCGACTCGAGATGGCGAGCCACGTCTCGAGAGATTTCGCCGTCTTCCCGGCAGGGGAAGCAACGAAGGAAGTATACAGGGTCCATGCAGCGCCAAAAGCCTCGAAGAAGCGGAAGAGGCGGAAGTAGCGCCTCGTCAGCGCGCAGCTGGCGCGCAGGCGTTGGAGGACTTCAACCGACAGCAATGCCGGATAGCCTGCTGCTGCGGACTGGCCTGACGTAGAAGAGGAGCACCAGGCCGGAGAAAGGGTGCAGGCCACGGAGGACAGGCTAGACACTGTGTAGAGGGCAGCAGCGCGGGCAGGCGCGACAAAGATGAGCACCTGCGCCAGCGCCTGCAGCCATCGCAAGATGCGCTCGAGGCCAGCTGTGCGACGTTGACGCATTAGTATTCGTAGATATCACCCACACACACGCACACATAACGCCGGTCCTGATATCCTCCACATCCCAAGATGGTGGAGGAGGAAGGCCAAGGGGTATTAAAACAATAAAGGGTAATAAAAAGAGAACCAAACTCACTAGCATCCGTCACAAACTTGACAAACTGCTCGAAGCCGCCCACAGGCTCAACCATGCTCATCTGCACGGATTGAGACAATATCTGGGAGCCTAGCACCACGACAACTGCCTGCGTGAGGTGGTCTGTCCCTGGGCCCCTCAGTATGTCCACGCGTAATGTACTCGAACTTTCCCCTTTCCCTTTCCCTTCGAGTTAATTAAGACGCCGAGTCAATAGAGACCGAAATGATAAAAAGTTGTCATACAAAATATTGAGATATAAAACGATCGGCCGGTTGACTCTAACCAAGGTAATTAATCAACGGCTCGTAGTTTTCGTTTGGGCAGCTATTCGCAGGTTAGGTACAGTACTGTTACCTCACCTGGGTGCTCTAAATGTATGGAAATAAAATGCGGGGACATCTCATGCTTGGCATTCTGCAATCTGACCAACAACAACTTGCGACTCCTGTGCCCCATATCGTATTCCTTCACAGACATTCAACTAAGGATACAAATATTCATCAATTTATTGGACTCTCACCCCCCCTCTCTCTCCAAAATCCAGAACCATTTTTGCAGCGCGAGACAACTTGCAAAAAAGTTTAAATACAATGTAGCCCTGTAAAATCTGGGCCAGTCTACGGACCACGAGATATGCACAATGGTACATTACAGGCATTTTCTTCTCTTAAGGAAGCAAGCCCGCAATTCTCTATAGGACTCGCGGCAGTTGCCTTTGGGCAAAGAAAATGCGCCTACCCATTTCTATCGTTCATCCGTCTCTCACATTCCCGGAGATATCAGCTTGCCCTTCTCTCTTGCGTCATGCTCCCAGCCGCCAGATAGAGCTTCACCACCCGACTTCTTGGCAAAGCTTTGCATGCGCGCTTCGAGTTCGGGCCGGAAGTGGCGGATAAGTCCTTGGATCGGCCAGGCAAAGGCTTCACCGAGGGCTGCGGATTTGTTAGCAACCGGCCGGCATTTTCGTCGTTGGGTCAGGTAAAACTTACCACAAATAGTGTGTCCCTCCACCTGCTTCGTCAACTCCTGGAGCATGTCAATCTCCCTGTCGCGGCCGAGGCCCTTCTCAAATCGCTGCATGATCTGCTCGGTCCACTTGCTGCCTTCGCGGCAGGGCGTGCACTGGCCGCAGCTCTCGTGGCGGTAGAAGTGGCTGAGGCGCGAGATGGCGCGCACTACGTCGGTGCTCTTGTCCATGACGATGACGGCCGCTGTGCCGAGACCTGACTGGCTGTCCTTGAGGGCATCAAAGTCCATCAGCTGGTCATCGCATACGTGCTTCGGCAGGATGGGTGTCGACGAGCCGCCGGGGATTACGGCTAGCAAGTTATCCCAGCCGCCGCGTACACCGCCACAATGCTTGTCGATCAGCTCGCGCAGGGGGATGCTCATCTCCTCCTCAACCGTGGCCGGGTTGTTGACGTGGCCACTGATGCAGTACAGCTTCGTGCCCTGATTGCGCTCGCGACCGAAGCCGGCGAACCAGCTGCCGCCGCGTCTGCAGATGGTGGGCGCCACCGCTATCGTCTCAACGTTGGCCACGGTTGATGGGCAGCCAAACAGGCCCACGGCGGCTGGAAAGGGCGGCTTGAGGCGCGGCTTGCCGGGCTTGCCCTCGAGCGACTCGATCAAGCTAGTTTCCTCGCCGCAGACGTAAGCGCCAGCGCCGCGGTGGACGTAGACGTCAAAGTCGTAGCCAGATCCGCATGCGTTCTTGCCAATGAGCCCATCGGCGTAGGCCTCGTTGATGGCGTTCTGGAGAACGGCGGCCTCGTGAATGAATTCGCCACGGATGTAGATGTAGGCGGCAGAGGCGTTCATGGCGCGACCGGCTACCAGACAGCCCTCGACTAGCTTGTGGGGGTCTTTGCGCATAATCTCACGGTCCTTGCAGGTGCCCGGCTCGCCCTCGTCGGCGTTGACCACTAGGTAGCGCGGCTTGGTGTCCTTGTCCCAGTCCTTGAAGTTCATGAACGACTGTGGCGAGAACGGCTCAGTTAGTCAAAAAGGGCCAATTGATGCCGGACAACAGCGGCAACAGAGCTACGCACCCATTTGAGACCCGAAGGGAAGCCAGCTCCGCCTCGGCCGCGCAGTCCTGACGTCTTGATCTCGCCGATGATCCAGTCGTGACCCTTGAGCAGAATCTCCTTGGTCTTGTGCCAATCGCCCATCTTCTTGGCGTGCTTGAGGTCCGGGGGGTAGCGGCCGTAGAGGTTCTGAAAGATGCGGTCCTGGTCCTTGAGGCCACCATAGGTGCGCTTCGGGGCGGCCGTGTCCTGGACCGTCGCAAAGGAGCGGCGACCCGGGGCATGGTGGGCTGGAGTGGCCGAGCTCGTCGATGCCGATACGGCTACGGACGCGGCTACGGCCCGCGACAACGTCGACGACGCTGTAGACGCCCTGGCCGGCACCGTGCTTCGTGACAGCATTCTGGGCGGCTTGTGTCTGCTCGGCAGAGCAGAGGTGGGATGCCAATTGGCAGGCGAATGGGTTGGTGTTTTCTTTCGGAAGACGAGGTGGTCGAGTTGCTGCGGGTCTGGGCTCAATTCAGCGGCACTTTGGAGGGAGATTTGGATTCGGGCTGCGCTGATTGGCCTGCCGGCTGTGGCGAGCGGTTTTGTGTCGCATGCATGCAGCGAAACGAACTGGCTGCCAGCTGGCAAGTAACGCACTCGAGCTCTCCTCAGTGCCAGTGTGGGGAAGCTCCTGTATGTATAAGCTCGCTCGGTGGACCTGGAGCTCCCGTTCTGTCCCACCTCGCTCTAAGTAGCAGCCCAACAGTTGCGACGAGAAGAAGCAGGTCTTACCGCGACAGACCGCACTGCAGCGCACTTTCACGAGGAAGCTACGCCCCTGGCACCTCATGGACCGGGTATTGCACTTGCCCCCTCGTTGATAGACAGGCACATAAATCAACTCATCATTAACTGCGCTATCAATTGGAACCTGACCTTCGCGCTGAAGCTGTGAACGGGACAATGCGCTACCGCCTGAGCCGACCATCTTCAGCACCCCAGCGACGCCACCCACTCTCCCGATAAAGCAACCCGACGCAAATTCTTCAACAAGTTCTACACGTCTGTATTGCCCGGTTAGATTCAGCGATGGCAGCCCCAACCTCGACTTCTGCAAGCAGCAGCAGCAAGCGGCACTCGATTCTCCCGTCAGTGTCCCAGGCAGGCCCGAAGCCGCCGGTACAGTTCTCGTCATCCATCACGATCGCCGACTCGGCGCTGCTGACGGGATCGCACATGATTGTGGTCGGCTCTGAGAGTGTGATCCACCCTCGGGCGCGGCTGGATTCGAGCGGCGGGCGCATCACGATCGGCCGGCGGTGCATTGTGCACGAGCGCAGCATAGTCGGCGGCAACGCCGCGACGGTGACGCTCTCGCCGTCGCGAGGGAGCAAGACGTCCGACATGCTGCTCTCGCCGCTGCCGTCGTCCGCGGGGGTCACGCTGGCCGACTATGTGCTGGTGGACGTGGGCGCTGTGATCGAAGCAGGCGACACGGTAGTGGGCGAGGGCACGACTGTCGGGGTCGGGGCCAGGGTGTGCGCAGGTGCCGTTGTTGGAAAGGTAAGAAGACGACATATTACCTGGACCTGCTTGAAGGAACGATGTTGACAAAGAGAGCAGCACTGCACACTCACTCCACACACGGTGGTTGCGGCGGGCGATGTAGTGCCGGACTTCACCGTCATCTACTCTAAGGGCCTGCGCCGGAGAGACTTGCGCGGCGTGCCGGAGCTCAGGAACAAGGGACAGGCGCGCCAGATTGAGGTGCTACGGAGAATGATACCCAGTAATCCAGGAAAGTTCAGTAGCTAGAAATAGTTTTACTCGCAACTCTTATTTGAACAAGTGTAAAGTCTACATTGCTTTTCAATTTTGCGTCTCAATATTTCTGTCGCGCTGTTGAGGCCGATCAGGAAACCAGGGTATGGTGGTACAGGATTGCGGTTGTAGTCAGGACGGCCGTTAAGTGACAGAACCATTGGCACGTAGATACCCCTTTGACCACTGGTATGATACCATATGTAAACGCATTCGACAACCTCAATACACCATGTGGCTGGGACAAACGCCTCAGAGATACCTGATCTTCATCCATTCACTCGTGCCCAGCCCTAGGTTGAGTCCGTTTTCAGCCCACCACCTCCTCACCTTGGTCTGGTCACCAAGCGAGTCCTCGAGCGCCTCCTCGACATCCATCGTCTTGTACTCGACACGTCGGCCCTCGGTCATGCCCGGCAGCTGGCCATGGGCATACCTATGCCACCACTCGAGAACGGAGATGTGGGCGTGGTATGTAGCGTCGATAAGAATCTGGTTATCAAACTGTATCTTGTTATCGCCTCGTAACTCACGCCAGAGGTCTAGCACCTTGGTCTGACCCCAGCGGCTCGCCATTCTGCACACGCCGTCCTGGTTGCCGATGGGGATCCCGCTTTCCTCCCACCAGCGGATAACATCGACCTGGCCCCACTGCGCTGCGAGGAGAAGCGAGCGGCCAGGCTTGGGAGGGACGGCAGGGTCCTTTGATGCATCTCGCCACCACTCCAGAACGTGCAGGTGGCCCTTGGAACTCGCCATCTCAAAGGCCGTCTCTGTATACTTTAGTGGGAGCCCTGAGCGCCGCCACCACTCCAACACGTGGACAAAACCTCGCATGGACGCGCCGTTTATAGCCTCGGTGTCGTATTGCTTCTCGAGAAAGGAGGGCGACCTCGCCCACCAGTCTAGGATGGCGGTCCGGCCGTAGTATGCAGAGGCTTTGGTTGGTATCGTCTTGCCGTCAAAGCACTTGAAGATGTGAGGGCAGTTGGACTCGATGTACGAGAGCACACCCGTCAGGGAGAACTTGAAAATGAGGTGGACAGCCAAGGCGGACAGGTCCTGAAACGACGACGGCGCTTCCGCCAACTTCTTACAGATGACGTCGGTGATGGCCGTAAGGAGTGTCCATTCAAGCTCGTGCATGAAAACTTGGAGCGGGTCATTGGGGTCTCTGGGCTCGAGCCGCCAGCCTTCGCTTGTGGGCATGGGGAGATTCGTGAAGACGCCGAGTGACGTCGCCAGCTCCCAGTCGTTGGTATACTCCAAGATGATGCTCCATATCTCGGGGGGTAAGCTAGAGTTGGGCCGTTTACCGGCGGCGAGAGCGATTCTCTGCTGCACGGCGGCAAATTCCACGTTGTGGCCGAGCTTGAGGACGTCAGCTTGGTTCTTGACAATGCCTAGTAACTCGTTGAAGGCGTCCCACTCAACAACGCGCTTCGGGTTTGAGCCGTCCTCGAAATGCCAGAGAATAGGCGGCATAACCCTAACCCAGCCCCACTTGCGATGCAGCTTGCTCATCTGCCGCCTGGTGACGGGGTTCTCCCACATGTGCGTGGTCATACCGGGAATCAGGAGTATCCTCTTGGAGGCGTCCCAGCCCCTTAACACCTCGAGGAGCAGAGTGTCGGATATGCCGCACATCATCTTGGCCAAGGAGTCGGCATCGATGGGTGCGAGGACAAGCAGGTCGGCCCATTCTACCAGCCCAAAGGCCTGTTGCTGGCACGTCTCGATCTCCTTTGCGCTCGAGCCGTCAGCGCCGCCCTTTTTCAAGCTCCGATTCTGGAACACCATAATCTCCTGGGCCAACCTATGGGTCATGTCGTCGACGATAGCACGCGTGGTGATCTGTGAATCCTTCGAGAGGCGCACGGCAATCTTCTCTGCGCAGGCCACATCTTTGGGGCCGTTGGCCGCCACCAAGAGACGCAACTTCCGAGGGCGCTGTATCTCGTTGATAGACGGGGTTGAGGGCCCACGATCGAGGGCCAGACGGCGACTGGTCGTGGCGCTAGCCGTGGGGGAATCGGCGGCCATATTGGCAGAAAATCTATCTCTGCCCCAGACAGGGAGATGGCGGTTGGTTGGGGTTCTCGCCAAGCAATTAGGAGCAAGGCGTGCCTGGGCCGATCGAGGTGCGGCTAATCTGGCTGTCCGAACGAGGTGAGCTGCAGGCGTAACGTCTTGCTCCCGTCAGGCTTGAGGAGATGCGTAGAGAGTCGTGCGTCCCGGGCCTAGCAAAGGGCTCGATCGGTAGGCTGGCGGTCGATTTGTTGGGTCGCTACACTTGGGCTAGCGAGAGCACGCGATAGAAAATAGGAGAAGCTCGAACTGCGCCCGTCGCAATTCTGGGGCACTGTTGGTCTGCTGGAACTAGAGACTCGCGTCTTGGAAAAATTGACAAGTTGGCGGCAGAGAAGACGGTATCGCGGGAGGAACACGAGCTGATCTGTCGGTGAGCTGGAGGCGTGGATAGGTCAGGTTGGCGCTCGAATTCTTGGTCTGACGTTGCTGTTACCCAATGGCAAGCAGCGCAAAGCCAATCGCTGTGCGCTGTGCCACACCCCTGTCTCGGGGAATCGTGGTCTGTTAGCGTCTGCCAAGCCCTGCTCTCCAATGGGTGGGGTGAGCGGGGGTGGTGGGGGATCATCCAGATCTTTCCGCCTCATCACTGCCAACTTTCCAACGACACGCCTTAGGTAATCATTGATGCAGTCCAACTTCAAAAGACGCAGACAATTGATCGAAATTCTCCTTTTTCGAAACTTTGTGCTCCGTCTCTCTAGTACTGCTGCCAGTATGCAGCTGCCTGCATAGGCACATATACTGTCTCCAAATTCTCATTATGTCCTCCCTGACTTGCGGATACCAACATTCGATTCAATTGCAAAAAGACGGGGAGAATGCCGTGAAGCGGAATCTCGAGGATGTACTCTGACAAAAATGCCTAACTGGCTGTGAGTTTTAAACAGAGGAGGGAGAAGAACGAGGTTTTCTGCGGACGTGCTGGTCGCATGCGTGTTTCATCCGGGGCCGGAGTCCGCCGTTATGACTCGCAGGGACCCTCAACCCTTCGGCTTAGGGGTTCCGGACTGAGAGCGCAAACAGATTTCAGTGGAATGACTCGAAAAGCTCTCAACAGCTATGTCTTACGGGGAAGCAGACCGGCGGTGTACGGGCCAAGTCTTTTGACCAAGACATGTCTGTCACCGGGGCCTTGGCTCATCGGGGGACCAGAGAGTGCATATTCTAAGAGCAATGCGGCCTTTTAAATGTTTCGTGTGTTTTGTTAGGGCTAGCCTGGTGGGCTGGGTTTACTTGCGCTTCGCTTGGGAGCGAGGAGCGAGGAGCGAGGAGCGAGGCTCCCAGCTTGGTTTGATAGTTAGGTGCCCTCCACGGATACCTGCTCTAGGGCTGGAACAGGGCAGGTATTCGACCGCACACGGCCAGGGCTGAGATGCAAGGTAACCTGAGATACTGGGAACGCTCGGGAGGCGGCGTTGCCGGCAAGTTAGCCGTCAGATCTGCCGCCGCCGCAGATCAAAGAGAGCAGGTCCCGCAGTCGGATGCAGAGTCGGCTATGTTGCATGGTGCCAGTCGTGATGGGCAGTAAGGGCAGCTCCCGGTATTAGGTGTATGGATAATGTCCAGCTGTGACCACAACAGGAACAGGACCAATCGAATGAACAGCATGCCGCCCGGATCCCTCCCGATTTGCCCTTAGCACCCCTGCGTTTAAACAATGGGGAAACCGGGAATGCACAAAACAAGGTTTAGCTAGGTAGTAGACCCTGGTCTGTCTGTTACTATTGTTCCTAAGATTGTCATTCCTTTAGCCCGCTTCTAGATCAATTCAAGTTCTAGGTTCTGGCTCGCCTCACTTCTCTGGGTCCGGGGAAGGCCATTGTACAACAACACAAACTTGCTGCGACCGGGGAAGAGGAAAACACCATTCCGGCAGCAAAGAAGACGCAGAGTTGGACAAAAAATCCTCACGGGGTCTGTATTCAAGCTCATCTTATATATATTTTCTTGTCGCCTTTTCAACAAGCCCTCTTCCATTTCCACACCCGCTCCGAGCTTAATAGATCGGCCACTCTCCTAACCTAGCTATTCACTAAGACGCTGCTAAATACCTTTTACTTACGTCCGTAAGCTTCTCCCTCGGCCCAAGCCACCAATCATCTAGGAGATCAAGGTTTGGAGAAAAACTTTCTTGGTCCTCGTGCTTGTTGCGACACCCCCAAACCGACTCCCATTATCCAGACGAGTTTCCTGCTATTTGACGGCAAAGTGAGAGCAACTCCAAACTCACTAACCCGGGGACTTCTCGGAAAAGAAGGATTCCGAGAAGGCTTCTGGACTCCGGACACCACTTCATCCTCTTGTTGTGCTTCTCCGGTGCCGGGACGACGTCGTTAGGTGGATTAGCTCGATCCAACCTGCTACCTCCCACAACCGACCAACGCACACACAACAAAACATTCTCAGTTTCCGCGATGCACATTCAACAAGTTCTCTTGGCTTCCAAAATGCGGAAGTCAAACCGCGAGCTCGCCGACGTCGCGCGCGAGGCAGAGTTGGAGCAGTCCCTCGAATTCCAACGGTGGGATTCAATCTGGGAGGCCCACGAGTTCATCAAGGCCTTTGTCCAGTCTGGCTGGGCCTCGTACTCGTCCTCCATTACCATCGACTGCGACCTAACCCTAGACGACCTCCACCAGCTCGGCTACCTCCCCAGATCCCAGGGCACGCGGGCGTGCCGACGCCTTGTCCGGGTGCCCGTCATCAACGAAGAGATTGGGGTCGCGCTCTGGCAGAAGCTCAAGGCCATGGTCGCCGCCGTCGACGGGGCGACAAGTGAACCAGACAAGGCAGAGAGAGCAAAGACGAACGAGAGCCTCAGCAAGAGCCAAAACGGAAACAGTAGCAATGGCGAAGACGACAGTAAAGTTTCAGCCAAGATCGCCCGCGAGCGCCTGAAGCAGGAGGTCAAGGCCATGCGCCAGGAGCATAAAGAGGAGCGGAAGAAGAAGCAGAACAGTCGCCGCCAGTCACAAGACGAGCAACCAGCCGCCCGCCCACAGCCAGTCTGCGTATTTTGCCGCGAAGGCGGCACGGGGTCGTGCAAGATCCCAGCCGAGATCGTCGTGTCTCCAAGCTCTCCGCCCATGGCGCCGAAGCAATCCGGCAACCAGCAGGAAGCACGAAGCAGCACCAACTACCTGTCGCCAAAGCTCAGCCACAGCCAGCAGCAGCAGCAGCCACAGCAGCCCCCGAGACGGAGCGGCATCTTTCCCCGCCGCCGCAGCAGCGGCAGCCGCGCCGGCAGCCGCACCGGCTCCCGTAGAAACAGCTGCTCCGAAGCCCCCCAGGGCATCTTCTGGCAGCGCGAGGAACCTAAGACGAAGACGGCAGCAGCAACAGTGACAACCACACAGATATCGGCAGCGGCAATCGAGTCCGGCAGAGCGGCATCCGCAAGCTCTGCCGACGGAAATAACGAGAAGGACGCGAGCAGCAGTAGATGGGGCTCTACAGACGCTGGAGCCGACGCGGCTGAGGCAGCGCAGCAGCACGGTTCGCGGCTGGGAAAGCTGACGGACAAGCTGCGGTTTTCCAAGCTGGTCGGCAGCCTGAGCATGTTTGGCGAGAGCATCTCGTACGGTTACGGCAACCGCGTCTATCCCATCCGTGCGGCGGCCACGGCGTAAAAGAAAAAGAAGACAAAATGAAGTCTGGAGAACTTCATGACGGACATATTAATTTAAGCTACCGCGGCCTTTGAGTATTTTCCTTTCGGTTGCATGGCATGGGAATCGGTTGTAGTCAACCAAAGCGATCATAAAGAAACGAAACCAGAGTGCCAAGGGGGGGAGGGAGTTTATGACGAAGACGAAACAAAGACGACGAAGATGATCACCTCTGCAGCCGAGCAAGCGAGCGAGCCTTTGGACGGATGAATGATGAGAGTGGGTGTGGGGGCACGAAAAAACATAATAATAGGAACTTCATACCCCATGATTGCATTCCCACTTTTATTACCCCTTTCCCTTTTCAGCCTTGAGAGCCGGCCAGACACACCTTGGGTGACACCACACATCTGTGGTGATACAAGGGATACACATAGACACAGCACACACACACACACACACACACACACTATGCAGACTACCCAACGAATGACAAATTATGACTACACAGAGATGTCGCTTTTGATCTTGTTCTCTTGTCTAGCATGAAATATACTAGGTTCTCCTCCCAGTAGTAGATATTATTCTAACCCCAGCCCGTCAACGCTGCCTAGAAACTCGCCCTTGACGCCATGGAGGAGCGCCTCCACATTAATGCCAGTAAGATACTTCTCGCTGACGCCCGTGTTGATGCGCGTGGCGAGCATCTCGCGCAGGGCGGCACGCAGGGGGGCTAGCTCGGCCTTGGTGAGGGCACGGGACTCCTTCTCCTTGGCGCGCCGGCCGCTGCCGCGACCGCTCCACTGGCCGGCGTCCTCGAGCTCGTCCTCGTCGTACTCGACGCCGAGTTCGTCGGCGGCCGCCTTCATCCACGCGTCCTCCTTGTGGCCCTTCTCCTTGGCGAGGCTGGCGTCGGTGATCTTCTTGGACAGCGCCACGCGCTCGCGCAGCCGCGACACAAGCTTGCGGTCGATGTCAATGGTCTGCACGCAGTGGTCGCCGCTCTCGCCCGCGACCTTGCTAGCGAACCGCCCAATCCGCGAAGACCTGCCCGCCGACGCGTGCACCTTGGCTATGAGACGCTGCGTCGGCACTGCCTCCTTGGGCCCGCACAGCATGACGCTAATGCCTAAGCTGGACGCGCGTGCTGTGCGGCCGGACCGATGAACATAGTCGTCAGCCGTGCGCGGGACGTGGTAATGAATGACCAGGCCAATGCCGGGGATGTCGAGACCGCGGGCGGCCACGTCGGTGGCAATCATTATGGCCGACGAGGATGGGGCGGAGGCGCTGCCGGCCTCCTTGAAGCGCTCAATGGAGCGCATGCGCGCCTTTTGCGCCATGTCTGAATGCAGCGGGAAGGCGGGCAGGTTGAGATTCTGCAGGAGTGGAGTCAAGCGCCGCACCGAGTTGATGGAGTTGGTGAAGACCAGGGTGCGCTGGGCGGGCTGTAGCAGTAGCACGGCGTACAGGTACAGGTCTTTCTCCATTTCTCCACACTGGAGCAAGCCCTCCTTCAGCCCCTCTGCCATCTGCGACACGGGGTTGGCGTCGATAAACTTGGGCACCTCCTCTCCAAAGTTGAGCTTGGCGAGTAGGTACTCCATTGCATCGGAATCGCCCATCAAGTTGTCCTTGTTGACGCGAGCTTTGCCAGCGAGTTTTTGCTGCAGGTTCTTGTTGAAGGTGGCAGAGAAGACGAGGGTTTGCCGGCGGGGAGGAGAGTCATCAGTTTCTTCCTCTTCCTCTCCCTCTTCGTCGTCGTCATCATCCACCTCTTCCTCCGATGCTCCTTCTCCGCCATACCCGCCGCGCTCATTGGTTGTCGGGGGCCTGTCTAGAGCCTTAAGGATTTCCTCGGCCTCTTTGAAGAGCCCGTCCTTCAGGAGTCTGTCCGCCTCGTCAATGACGAGAAATCTAATATTCCTTAGCGACTTGAGGGTTGAAGTGCTTGTGCTCAGCACTTCCCACAGCCTTCCCGGGGTTCCGATGATGACGTCTGCCTTTTCAAGCTGCCTTTCCTGCTTCTGCATGGACAAGCCACCAGTAACAGAGCAGATATAAGGGGAGTTTGTGAGACCGAGACAGAGTTGTTTGAAATGGTCTTTAATCTGGTGGGCGAGCTCACGGGTGGGTGAAAGAATCAATGCAGTGGGATGGTGGTTTTTGTCACTGGGCCCCTTGGCTGCCATCCTGGACAGCCAGCTTTCGACGATTGGAATGCCGAAAGCCAGGGTTTTGCCTGAGCCGGTTGATGCTTTCCCGACAACGTCGTGGCCTTCCATTATTTCGGGAATGGAGCTCGACTGGATTGCGGTCGGCTTGGAGAATTTCATGCGAGCTAGAGAAGAAAGCATTTCAGGAGAGAGGTTGAGTGAAACCCACTCGGACATGTCGATGTCCTCATCATCGCTAGCGTCGGCCAGGTCCCCGGCCTTGGAAAACAGATCGGTTTCTAACTCGGGGTCGTCTTGGCCCTTGGCATTGGCAGGCTGTGCCTTTTTCTTTTTCTGGTCCTTGGTTTGCTTCTGGTCTTTGGAGGGCTTTTTGTCCTTTGAGGATTTGGGATCCTTGGACTTTTTCTGTTCCTTGGAACTAGCTTTCGCCGCGGTGCTTGCGGGTGCTGGTGTAGCCGAAGCATTTCTATTTGCGCCTTTCTCTCCCTCAGAAGCCACAGGAGAGTCATCAAAGCCAAGGAACTCGTCGCTCTCTGCAGCCGACTCCTTGGGGCCACCGGCAGCCATCTAACACGGTTGTGAGCACGCGGTGGGAATAGCAGCTCGCACGAGGGGGTGGGACTGACAAATTTAACAGTATCTCCCTCCTTGATTATCTCAACACCGTGGACCTCTTCCAAACCAAAGAAGCCCTCGGCATCATTAAACATCTCGGGCACATCGACCCTTGCCCAAGCGAGGGCATTGACGCTGAGGGGCTGCTTTGGCTTGGCCTTTGCAGCTTGTGTCTTTTGCCGCTTGGACTGCCTCGCCGGCGTCTTGGAACTCTTACGTTTTTTGTTGTCCGGACCCATGCTAGATTTTGTGGTCTGTGTGTGTGTGGCGGGTGTGGTATTTCTCAGTGTGTTGGTGAGATTCTGCCCCAGCTTGCTCGATGAGATCTTGGGCGACGAAAATTGCCAGTCGCCGACGCGAGGTTAAAGCCGTTCAGAACAGGGAATTCTGGCCCCCACCCTTACGCCTTGGATCCTACATTCAACCCTAACCCTCTACATCACGCTTGCAATTGCTTTTCTCACCGCCTGCCAAAAGCACGCATCACACGCTACCCACTACCATTGATTGGGACGTGGGGCTTCAACCACAATTCGACGAGGTGAAAGCTTCGTATTTTCAGCAACAGCCACCCACAGCGTATCCCGACAGCCGACTCGACTCAGAAACTCCAGAGATAGTTGCTGCATATCCGGGGAATATCGCACACACTGCCTAACTGGTGAAAAAGAAAGAAAGGATCCTGATTAGTGAATTTGGCTTGAAGTCGTCTGCTGCTGCAGAGCCCGTGGGACTGTGCTACCTACCACGCTCCAAATTTCTTTGCTTGTTTTGGCAGCTGAAAGAACGTCCACACTCCCGCACGATGGGGAAGTCATCAAAAGACAAGCGCGACGCCTACTACCGGCTTGCGAAGGAACAGGGATGGCGGGCGAGGAGTGCATTCAAGCTGCTCCAGCTTGACGAAGGTATCACGCACTGCATCCCATCTCACAGTGCCTGGCTGACAAGCTGCTAGAGTTCAACCTCTTTGAGAATGTCACTCGCGTCGTCGATCTCTGCGCCGCCCCTGGCAGCTGGTCGCAAGTTCTCTCGCGAGTGCTCATCAAGGGCGAGACATTCGGTCGGTCCGCATGGCATGACCGCGACGCCAAGTTCCGGCAGCGCATGCTCAAAGTCTCTGCTTCTGCTGATCAGGCAGAGGACAGCATCCGAGAGCAAGACGCGCCGTCATCTCCAGACGCCAAGCCGCGGAGGGATGTCAAGATCGTCGCCATTGACCTGCAGCCCATCAGCCCGCTCCCCGGCATCATCACGCTGCGGGCCGACATCACACACCCGGCCACTGTCCCACTTCTGCTCAAGGCCCTGGACCCCGACTACGTTCATGAGAATACCGTGAATCAACAGCAGACGTCGCACCCCGTGGATCTAGTCTTGAGCGACGGTGCTCCCGACGTCACGGGCCTTCACGACCTGGACATCTATGTGCAGTCTCAGCTCCTTTTCGCCGCCCTAAACCTCGCCCTATGCGTGCTCAAGCCGGGTGGCAAGTTCGTCGCCAAGATCTTCCGGGGTCGCAACGTGGATCTACTATACGCCCAACTCAAAATATTTTTCGAGAAGGTGTACGTTGCGAAGCCGCGCTCATCCCGGGCCAGCAGTGTGGAAGCCTTTATCGTCTGCATAAATTTCCAGCCACCCGAGGGGTACAAAGCCAGCCTTGAGGAGCCTCTGGGCTTTGGCAACCGTCTTCCAGAGATATTGGCAGACAAACAGGCACAACTTCCTATAACTGCCCCAACACCGGCCATGCAAAACTATGGCACAGGTGCATGGGATGCCGCCCCCGAACGGCCCCAGCTCTCATCGCAAATCACTGCGATACCAGATGAGGATGGCATCTATGATATCCAGGTCCAGGACCTGACCGTCAACCGCTTCCAAGACATTCGGTGGATCGCCCCATTTGTTGCCTGTGGTGACCTGTCCGCTTTTGATTCAGACGCGTCTTACCGTCTGCCGGATGACCACGTCTCTCTCGATCCCGTGCAACCGCCCACGGCGCCCCCTTATAAGCGCGCTATTGAGCTCAGACGAGCAAATGGCGGTGCATATGGCAGGAAACCTCTCGTGACTTGACAACTGCCCTTTGGCTCTGCTTTTCGTCTTTTAGACATCGAGATATCATCCTGGGAGAATTAAATCCCGAATTTCAGGCTATCTACACGTGCTGCCCTTTCTCTTTATCTACCGCCCATTAGTGCTTCCCACACCTTACATACCACTCACGAGCCTGCCCAGGTAGCTGCCTAGTGATGATTCTTGGGCGTGATAGCCACGCGACCGGGCTTCTCCATGATAAGGAGTCCCGAACCCGTCCCCTTTTCGCACACAATATTCATCCCGAGCGTCGACTCGTACATCTTCGCCGTTGTAGGGTTCCCCGCCATCAGCATACAGCGCCGCAGCCTCGGCCATGCGCACACCACCTCATCCAGACACATGGTCAGCCACTGGCCCAGGCCCCTGCCCCGGTGCTCCGGGAGCACATACACGTCCGTCAGCCACCCAAACGTTGCGTAGTCGGTGATGAGCCGCGCGAAGCCCACCATTTCCCCCGTCTTTCCTAGCGGCGGTGACGACGGATCTGATGCGCGCCGCGGTTAGTCACATACACAGTTCCCCCGTTGAACAGGTATGGTAAGAAGGAAAAGAAGAAGAAAAAAGGGGGGGAAAAAAACAAAAAAAAACGCGCGAGGGCTGCATCATGACCAGACCTTCGTTCCCTCCGTCCGCCGTCGTCTGCCCAATCACGTAGAGCCCAAAGCAAAGCGAATGCTCCACCGTCCGGCGCAGCTCGTCCTCGGCCAGCGGCTGCGCCCACCACAGCATGTCGGACGCAAGCGCGGCGCCGAGGGCGTCCAGCTGCACCAACTTGGGGTCCGTCGAGCATAGGTAAGTGGCGCCGTCGTCTTCGGAGTGCCGGGTCCAGCTTCTTATTTCGTTTTCCGGTGTCATTTTAATTCCTTTTTTGTGTCCTGCGTTGTGATTTCCGCGGTTGCTTGTCTTTTTCTTTACTGTCCCTGCTATCGTCCGTCAATATCTCTCGACTTCAGCGAAATGGCCTTTTAACACGAATGATGAGTGAGTCATCAGCCTCATGGGTCCTCCTCGCATTAACTAGCTAGGCTAGCAGCAGCCATCTGCCGCGCCAGCGGCTTTTCAGGGGAACTTCCCCAAACCTGCACGGCGTGATACTGACCTTCTATAACAGGACTAGACTGGTGCTGGTGCATTTCAACGTCAACACAACTCGCAACATCCCAGTGGATGATTGTCCCCGTCTTTGCCAGCTACCCCTTTTCCTCATGTCCTCGTCTGCATTTCTCTTTAATAAAGTCAAATTAAATGTGGCTATGGGAGATCAAGCAGATAAACTCCGTCGCGCTATGCAAGTCTCATATGTCCACATGAATACTCAGATCGGCTGTTTTGCTGTGGTTTCTCTCGTTGGAAAGTTTGTGGTCCTCCTTTGCCGAGGATATCCATTCAGTCACGGCATATCCCTTGTCCAATATCGGCCATTATTTTATCTCCCGGAGAGATCATGATAAGCTCGCTGGCGAGAATGGCGGGCGTTGAATGATGCTCTCCACTTTATCTTTAGACTTGTGCCGTCCAGTCACTCCCCCGCCTCTCTCTCTTGGGCTCCGGCGTTGTTCGCGTTTGTTCATCCTAGCTAGGCGCGGCACGGTGGGGTTGGGCTGTGCTCGGAGAGCTTCTTCTGTTTTGGGTTGTGTGCCACTTCCTTGCATCTGGTTTGGAGAGGCGCGGGTGGTCAACCTGATGGAGTCGACTGGCTTCTGACGAGTTAGCTTTTGCGCAAGGTCCGGTTGCTATATGGTCCAAGTGGTCAATGTCTGGAGGGGGTTCATTCGTAGCCCTCACTTACTCGGATATCCAGCCTCGCGCCAACCATGGCACGCATCGCGCAGTCTTTCTTATTCCCACTCAAAGAATGTTTCGCGGACCTCCTGCGCCGAGCCTGTGTACTCTCTTGGCCAATTTGTTGGTAAAATTCTGCCCCACCACGACTTGAAACTGAGCTGTTGGCCTGGCGGCATTCTTGTATTCACCCAGTTCAAGTGTGGCAACCGGCCGGTACCCTTGTGGTGCTCGCCGTCCTTGCGAAGCACCTGCATGTCTCTTACGCCGCAGAACAGGCCGCTGCGGCCGACGCGCTTCACCAGCCGCCATCCGCCGTCGAAGATCTCCTCCACGAACGGCTCACCCTCGGCCACGGTGCGGTACGGGTTGTCGGCGCGCGACGTGATTAGGCTCCTGAACTCCCATACAAAGACCCACAGACGCTCCCAGTACTTGACGAGCGGCAGCCACCGCAGCACCTTCTCCGTGTAAGCCACGCGCACGTAAGGGTTCATGACGATGCCAGTCCTATGGCCCTCGCTCCGCGCTAGCTGGCCCAGGTCCGCCGAGAAGAGGCAGCACTCGCAGGCGTCGTAATAGATGCCCGGCTCGTAGCGGAACCGCACAGGCGCCGTGACGTTCCGCGGCATGTCCGGGTCGATGACGTGGCCGTTCACGGCCGAGAAGGCGGGCGACGGCGGCTCGCACAGCAGGTTCTGGACGTATCGTGCCTGGACCGCCATCATGCCGCCCCAGCACGACCTGGCCGGCACCGCGTCCGACTGGGCCAGCACAGCCGCCCGCGAGCGGCCCTGGCCCCGTCGCCCGAAGAAGGGGTACGTGTTCTGGTAATAGGCATAGCCCTCGGCGTCTCGTAAAGCGTATATGTCGTAAATGTTTGACGGCCCGAACCAGTCGACGCCGCACGCCCCGACGTAGTCAGCGCGGCCGTTGCGCCCCTGGTTCGTGTTGAACAGCAGGTGGGCGGCGTCGATAGGCTCAAAGGCGATGTCGTTGAGGAACAGCACCTTGTCGTACTCGACGGCACCGCGCTCCTCGCGGAAGGCGTCGAGCGGCCGCAGCGCGCGGTTGCGCAGCTCCGACAGGAACGCCACGCGCTTGGTCCGCTGGCTGCCGTCCGGGAAGGTGATGTTGTGGAACTGCTCGACCGAGATGTGCTCCTCGCTGACGATGCTGTGGCGGCAGGGCACGCGCTGCTTCAGGTCGGCCAGCGCCGCTCGGCCCTCGGGCCCGCTGTCGTTCTCGTAGATGCTCAGGAAAACGTTTGGCGGCCCCAGCAGATCGATCAGCTTTATGAGCCGCTCACCCCATTTCCCGCCAGACAGCTTGCCGCCGCGGTCGTACAGGATGATGGAGATGAAGACCTGCTCGTTCAGGGGGTTGGCGCAGCCGACCTTGCGGCGGCCGGGGTCTTCGCATCGTCGCTCGAGCTCGCGGTAGTGTGGTGGTGGGCGCGTGTATGAAGGCACGAAGATGGGCATGAGGGCGAGCACCGCTACGACTATGATGGCGACATACTTGATGGCGAGCTGGACATAGCCCGACCTCCGAAGCGCGCGTAGACAGGAGATAGTCCACGTAGCCACGAGAGTGATGGGGTGCGGGGGGCTACGTGTTTCGTCTTTTTTGCTGAAAGGGAGTTGTGGTGTCATGGCTGGTGCACAGATTATACGATGTGGGTGAGCGAAGCTCTCTGGGTTCACCCCCCCTTTGCTCTCGCAGTTCTTGGCACAGGCTTACACGCTCGGATCTCGGTCTGAATCTTAAACTTAAAGTTTAACCAGCAGACAGAGCTTATTTCCGGGGCATGGATGGGGGATAGAAGATGTTAAAAGAAGACTAAGGAGGCGAATCGTCACAAGAGAAATGTAATGGCATGGGACGGAGGGACACACACACATACACTGGAGACGAGAGACTGAAAATGGGGGACCTGCGGGAAGGGGGGAATAGGAGTGGTAAAGGGCTGGGAATGTTTAAGGAGAGGGGGGGACGGGTCTGGGACGGGGGGTGGGTCATTGGCGACCTAAGAGGGTGTTGGACGATGATGACAACCTGCTCTTCGTGCTAGGGCCTAGTTTAGAGGCGTGGTATTTAGAGTCAATGTCAAGTAGTACGGACGTTGTTGGGACCCCTACTTAACCGTTCATGAGGCTAGCTTATGTGTGTGATGTGTGCGTGTGTGCGCGCGTGTGTGTCAGGGGGAGTGAGTGTTTGGTGCCGACCTGAAGCGTCGATACGCTAGCTCCGCCTCCCCCCCCCGTCTTTGTCAGTGTTGTGTTGTTTACACGGCCTCTCTCGCTTTCCGCGAACTTCGCGGCGAGGTCGTAGCAAGCCAGCCCACTCCTCTGGAAGCCCTGGATGTAGTTCGCTTCGGCCCTGGTTGGACGGGCGGGAAGATCGCGCCGCAACTGAGGAGGAAGCGCCGTACTATGGGATGGCCCTGCTCTGCCAGACCGCCGCCCATGGTCTCTGGCCCGTACCGTTCAAGGCCGTCTCCGTGAGGAGGACAATGGCCCGTATATACCTAAGGTTCTTCCTTGGGGGGGGGGGGGCTTTGTTGGTCGACGACGGGTCCGGCTTTGGGACCTCAGGAGCCTGTCATGACAGCAAGCGAGTTAGAAGCGAAAGGTTCATTCACAATGCTTCCCTCCATTAGATTATATGCCGTATATAGTAAAGTATAATGCACGGGCATGGTGCCCGAAAAACTCAAGACATGGACGAAACCTGGCCTCACGACGTTTCTCGACACCCTCCAAGACCACGGATCAGGCGGCCACACGAGTAATATTTGATTTTAGAATTGGCACGACATGGACTTTCGCGAAGAAAGCTGACTTCCGTTCAGGTCCGTCTCAGATTCTTCCCGCTTTGGGGGCGTTGGCTGACAAGAGTCGGCCGGCAGGAACGTTTGGTCGATCGTGGATTCCGGCCTTTGGGTACGGTACTATATTCGTACACTTTGTATCTGTCAGATTTGGATTCCGCCCTTGTCGGCACATTTCGAACTTGGGACGCTAATACTGATGGATAAACCACGGCCCAGAAGCTTATTCGAGGCTAATCATTGTTGGTCTGCACCTAGTTTTGAGCGGCACTGCTCTGCGAGGTGTGTATTGCCCGTGTACACGGTCTTTCGGCGCCAGGGCGGGTGTTATTCAGCGTTTGGACGTCTAGTCCCATCTTTTTGAAAAGCGTATTCCTAGCGGCGTAGTAGGTAAGGTACGTAAACTACTCGAGTATCTGATGCCAATTCCAACAGGTTTTTAAGTGTGATGGATGTTGGCTCTTTCCCCGGTGCCTTGACACGGAGGTTGCGCGTTTCCTTTGAGTTATCGGCTGTGAGTTATCGGCAACAACGAATCTACGTAAGTGAGATAGGTGCTCGTTCGCTCCTTCTGCAAGGCGCCACCTCTTCAATCCCGTTCCGTCTCTTGCAAGAAATCCAAAATGGGACTGGCAAACCAAAACGGGCTAGCAGCTACGGTTGTGTGACCATCTAGCTCAGAGACTGTTTCTAAAATGTGAAACGCCTAGCAAAGCAACGCTTAAGTGACAACCAACTCGACTCGGACTCAACGCAGCACTTTCTAAGCACGTAGCCTGCTGCTATTGGGCCGAAAAGATCTCTAAAGGAGAGGACAGTCGCATTTCGCATCATGTTCTTTCCCAATACTAGCCAGATATATCACTGGGACGCGCGTCCGAAGATGGAAGGCATTCTTGAGGCTTGGCATACATATATGATTTTGGAACGGGGTCGCTCACTGGGTGGCACCAACCACAAAAACACCCCCTTGTTCCCTACGGCCGGCTTTGTCAAGCAGCTTCATGCCCGGAAGCATCGCTGTTGGCGGTATTCCGCAGTGCGAGTTTGATAATTCCGAAAGGACTGAATGGCTGCTGGGTGAAAACAAGGAAAGAAGGGAATATGCGTGCCAGGGCCAGAGATTCGCAAACAGTGTCCATCATGATAGGAATCCGCTAACGCGTAATATGCGTTACGGTATTGTTCTCGAAAGAATAGAGATTTCATATTCGGTACTGTATGCATTACACAGCCTGTGTAGCTTGCAGGGCGTCCGTCAGGTCTAGCAACTACGGCTCTCGGCACCGCCTCCACGCGCTTTCGGCCTCCACGTTTTGACAGTTGGGGGCGTGGGTTTCTCCACCTTTTCAGTCTGATGAAGGTCGGCCCCACACTCTCTCATTTCTCCTGTTTGCGCTACACCAAAGCTCAACCTGCGATTGCGACTGTGACGACAGACCCTCTTCCAGCGTCCGACATGTCCTAGCCACGACCTTTTGCTATTGCCCCATCTATCCAGTCTTCCAGCGCACCTATATGTCAAAATCGAAGTAAAATTGTATTGTCTGGCCAGCATACAGCAGAGGGCAAAGCAGCATATCCCAACAGTCTTGGGGGCGGGCCTCAACGATAGACCATGGTGCCACGCAATGCCTATCGACTGCTCGTTATCGTGTCGGCTGTGGCTTTGACATACGTTCTATCTCCTTACCTATACCGCTTTGGCGACTACGTGCGGCAGACGAACCCGCTTTCAGGCCAGAAATGGATTGAGCAGGCTTTCCAGCCGACGGAGCCGGAGCTCGCGTGTCTCCGCGGCCAGTCTCCCGCCGCCGACCACAATGCAGCCGCCGTGCCCTCGATCGATCCTATACCCAACGTCGTGCACTTCATTTACGGACTCAAGAACCCGCTGAATAACCCCGGTGCCGGCCGCTTCGACTTCCTAAGCTACCTAGCAGTGCGAAGCGCAATCGTGTCGCTCCGGCCCGATGCCGTTTACCTCCACTACACCTACCTCGCCGACCCGCCATCGCCCAATGACGACGCCGACCCCCTGACGAACCCCTGGATCCGCCGTCTGTCTCCGCACATCAAGCTTGTCCACCACCCCCCCTCTTCCACCAAGGTTCAGTACGCCCATCTGTCCGACACGATGCGCCTAAATTTTCTCCTCAAGCAGGGTGGGATCTACTTGGATATTGATGCCTTCGCCTTGCGCTCTTTCGACAAGCTTCTCCAGCCGCCCCATCCGCATGACGTGGTGCTCGGTGCAGAGGGTGGCAATCGATGGGGTCTCTGCAATGCCGTTATCGCTGCCCGTGCCAACAGCAGCTTCATAGAACGCTGGCTGGCTTCGTACGAAAACGTCGACTTCAGCCGCGAGTGGAACTACCACAGCGTGCTGCTCCCCAAGGACATGGCCAGAGATCACCCCGAAGAGGTGTGCACCCTCCCCCCCGACGCCTTCTTCTGGCCCACGTGGACTTGGCGCCACATCGACTGGATGCACCAGCCCCTATCCCGCCAGCAGGCCATATTCTGGCAGGGCGAGATCGACCGCCACGGCGGAGGCCTCTTCGAGAACCAGCGCGCGTACCACGCTTGGGGTCAGATGGCCTGGGATCGCTACCTCAAAAAGCTGACCCCGGCCGTGGTGAGGACAAAAGACACGCGCTTCAACCTGTTAATGAGGCGGTTCATAGAGAAGGATCTATAGGACAGATGTTTTCTTCTGAAGCTCTCTTAACACCACTGCCGACAGACGATAGATTTAGCTCGGCCGCTCTAGGTTCATCTGGATTAAGTTGTAGCTTCCTGCACGCCGCAGATGTAAGATATGTACGCCACCAGGCCTTCAGCAGCCGGGACAGGACCACGGGAAACAAGGGTAAACAGGCGTTAGGGCGGTTTGCCAAAGGGATAAATTGGCACACGGGAAAAAAGGAATAAGTGCCCATGTTTGCATACGTTTTGTTACATTGTTCTCTCTTTTTATTTTTCTTGAAATCATATAGAAAGCGCTCCAAGTTCGAGTATCATACCTGGATCACGTTACCATTATACGTAGACTTTGTATGCTGTGCGAATCTGCATTCGCCTCATGTTCGGTTCTTTGGTCGGCTTGGGAGGAGGCTTGTGGATGTACATATATTGGAAAACGGACCTTCATTCATCAATCTTGGGTACTTGGTGGAACAAACAAACACATACAAGCACACACCGTGTTGAATTGTAGGTTATTCGTTTTGTATATGCTATATGGATGGATGTTTGTGTATGTGTGGGCTGGTTTGTGGCGTCTATACGATACACGGAAGAGAGAAAATCACGAGTAGGTTGGATACAGATTTTTACATGGAGTGATCGTAATACCACACTACTACTTGACTGAGTAAAACGGCAGCAATTAGGAGAACAATTCAACAAAAACACCGAAATAAAACAAATAAGGTCTTGTCTGCCACGCCCTATATTTGTATCCAGTAGATAGGTATCTGTAGGTACCTAGGTATTTAAGAAATACATATCCACAAAACTATATAAACAAGTGAAAACGATCATCATAACTTGAGGGGGTATCCGAGAAAGCCACTTGCATGCTACCGCTGAATGCTGTTATGACAACAAATGACCAACACATGCTTCTCCTTTTTTTGCAACAGCAACAACATTAAAACGTCTTCCAGACATCACATCTCTCTCACACACACCTCACCAGAACCACGAGTAGAGCCAGCCGAAAAGGCCGAGGCGCTGCGTGGTGTTTGGCTGGCGCAGGCGCTGCAGGCAGTAGGTGGCGTAGTTGCGGGTCTTGGAGCCGTCGCACTCGCAGCGGCAGCCGATGCCGCCGGGGCGGGCCGGCGACCAGTTGGACGGGTCGCCGTTGCCGCCGGCATTGAGCACCTCCGACGCGGGAAGCTGGCCGCCTGGCGCGTTGGCCGGGCACTGGTAGTACCAGTCGTGGCGGTAGCCGAGGTCCTCGAAGTGATGAACGCGCTCAGAGGGGACGAGCATGGCGAGAGCGAGGGCGTGGACAGGAGCGTCGCCCCACTGTGTTTGGAACGTCAGAAAAATATATCTTCAAAAGAGAAAAAGATGACAGGAACAAGGTCGGAGCCGGAAAAGACAAAAGATCAATGAGAAAATGCAAACACATACCCGCTCGTAGTAAAAGCCACCCGATCTCTCTAGGTGCTTGTACAGGTCTTGGTAGTTTTTGCTCCGGAAGAAGTCCAGGTTGGCAATCTCGAAATTGCTCCAGTAATGGCACATGTTCCACGCGTCGCCGTCGCGGTTGCGGTGGCTGAACCGGCCCATGAACGAGCGGAAGGGCCAGGGCACCCACGAGGGCGCCAGCATGGCGCGCCAGAGCGACGTGGTGGGCAGGTCGTGCTGCTCCTTCCAGTCGGCCACCTCGCGAAAGAGGCCCGGACAGGTGCTCGGCTCCTCGTTGAGGGCGATGGTGAAGCCGTAGACCTTGTTGTTGCGGGCCAGCTCGACGAAGGGGTCGTAAGTGATGGAGCAGTAGAAGTCGACGTCGGGCTCGATCCGCCAGTACCACTTGTAGTCGCGCAGGGCCTCGAGGTTGTAGAAGGCGCCCGAGTAGAAGCGGCACATGTGGTGGTAGGTCTCGAGGCCGGCATACAGGATGCCCTGGCGGCCCTGCTCGGCGATGCTGGACTGGGCGCTAGACGTGTCCATCCATGCCGGATAGGTCCACTCGGCCTTTGGTATGACCTCGAAGCGGGCGCCGCCGCTGGCCGTGGCGTTCATGGTGGCGATAAAATCGGCGCCCCATGGCTCGTCATTCAGGAAGACGATTGGGTAGTGGTACCACTGGTTGAAGTGGCGCTCAATGCTCTGCACCGTCTTGAGTGCCGCGGCCAGGTCCTTGTTGCGCGCCAGCATCACCAGCGCCGCCTTCTCGCGCGGCTGGTCCACGGCGGGCTCCTGGCACGACGTGGCAAAGGGCTCGTCCAGCTCGTGCTCGGGCTGCTGCACCGCCAGGTGGCTCCTGTGGAGGTACACCTCAAACAAGGCCGCCACAGCCACCAGCAGAAGCGGGATCCGGCAGAAGTGCGACACCCATCCTCGGACCGTGGACCGCGGCCACGCTTTGCGTCGCGGAGGCCCGCGGACGAAGCGCCGGAACATTGTGGTTTGGCGCAATCACGGCGGCTTCAGTGAGCCACCAAAGGTCCCGGGCTTCACCCTAGGGCGGCGACAGGCGCCTGGCGCAAGAGATGTTGTGGAGACCCTTCCCCCACCCTATGTTCTGCGAGACGGTTTTCTTTTTTCTTATTTGTTTTCGTCTTCGCTTTCTTTTCAAGCTTGCGAGACCGAGGACTTCGTTCCCTCGTTCCCCTCCTCTTCCTCCTCCAAAGCTTGACGTCTGCTTTGCGAAAGCGACAGGCCTGACCGTAAAAAATGACGGGCGACGAGGGGACTGTCGCAAGTCTGTCCGCTGGCGGCAGCTAGCTGAGGCGTCGGAACTGTCGGTATTCGCTTTGTATTGCGACTGACTAGTCGTAGCTAAGGTTTACCGTCGTTAGCATGGCGTCGTTTGCGGGGATTGGAGCTGGCTGTGGAAGAAATTCAATTGTATAGCTCGAAGTCTTGAGAGAGAAGGCTAGTTGTTACTCTCCCTAGAGCGGAGGCCATGGAGGTGTCCTGGTCTGTTCAGCCCTGTCCAATCTAGGATGCTGTTTTTTTCCCTTAGCTCCACGTCCAGCTGGGTGACATCTGGGTCCGCTAAAGGAGCTTCGCTGCAGCGCCCCCCCTGGAATTTAATGCGGCTCCTTCACTAAGCTGCATTCGGCCAGATACCTACGCGCAGATTCATTGTGTGAAGTGAGTGTGGTAAGGTGTGTGTAACAGTGGTAACGTCAGTACATATTACGGAGATTTGCATTTGTTATCGTATTAGAACTGACATTTCGGTATAGTATTGAACCAATATGTCAAGAGACTTACGTAGGCCCCCATTTTGATCCGTGACAGGAAGGCTAACCAAGATGGACCATATATACGGTTGCATTTATCCACATGAGCCAAAACACTCTTGGTAAATTCCTATTTCAACCACATGCAACGTTTTCCAATGTTTTCCAATGTTGAATTGTGCAAGAGTATTTGGGACCTCAACACCTGTACCTCGATTCCTAAGGCCACCTGACTCAACCCCGAGTCCTTCAAGGGATGCTCTTGCTGGGAAAATACCTGTGTTGGTTTGCTACCCACGTTTCCTTCATTTCTGGGGAGACGTAACCTGGGAAGTGAAGTGGGCGCTTCACGTAGTGTTTCCGAGAATGCTGAGGCAAACTGGTGGCACAAGCGTCAAGACGCAGGTCAATAACATACGGGGCCTGATATGGATTACAAGGTCAACACAGTACAGCACGATGACGGCAACTCCCTCCGCAAAAGCCTTACTCCGGCCCGGATGCAACGATCGATTGGTCGGGCAAGGAGATCTTAACCAAGCTTACCGAGACTAGCAAGTAATGAGCAGTTGACAACATGTGGAAATAAACGGCAGGCTGGAGAGGCGGGCTAGGTCCGAGAACCAGGCATGGCAAACACGTTATTGGCTCGACTATGGGTGCTTGAGCATGGCCCTTGTGTGTCGAGCATTTGTGTACGTTGCTGCGGTGCACCGCGCATTTCATTGGTCATGGCTGGTACTTCTAACCAAAAGGTCCTTGATTTTGTCAATTTCATTCGTTGAGAACTTTGGGAATTGGTGGTACTATTATGGCATATTCCATACCCACCCCCATACTACGGAGAACAGACGATAGAGGAAGCTCAACTGCGTGTGCTTCATAATGCTGTAGCACCTACTCTGCAACACGTACTCTTATATCAAACTAATGCATTGCCTCTTGGCCACGAAAGCCCGAAGCTGGCCCTAAATATTGACGCCAGCGGGGGCAGTGTACTCTGACGAGCAGTTTCATTGCCGTGGTTAGTCCGACCGAGTGTGCTCCCAAGGTACTGACCGAGGAGATATTAGGTTTCGTCTCAGATATTCTCTCGAAGAACACAGACGGGTTGTGTATTGTCAAGGAATAGACTGTGCCCAATCGAGGGTATAGGTCTTAATCAACTAACCAAGAAGAGGGATACCACATACACATCGAGTCCTTTCCCTCTCCACTAATTAGGTAGATAACGACAACATGCAATTCGGCCCCCAAACTCGGCCACATATCAGGGAAAGTCAGAACGTTAGACCTAACTCACACGTTACAAGATAGTAAAAGGACCAGAAACATTAAGGAATGACTAACTTACCTCTCTTCTTGTTGTCTAAACACTCTTGACATCATATTGTTACAAGGCGGCTACAAAAGCTGTATTTTAGTGATTGATCTCATCACATCTCTCTGTTCTCAGTGTTAGGCCAGAGCCCAGAGGTGGCAGAAACATCTGAGGTCAATATGAGCAGACATAATAGTTCTAGCCGGGATAACGGAAAGTCCAAAGATGGATAATCCGCTTGCTTGGGCTCCCCGAGCTAACTGATAACGACTAGACCAGAGACCACGCATTACATGGAACTCAAAGTAAGAAATGAATGATCTGCGATCTCTTCCTTACCGACCTACGGCGCGCGGAAATTGCGCCAGACTGCTCAATATGAGCCCGCGTGCTTCACTTGGCGCGCTCAACTAGCCACCGAGGCCCCGAAATAAAACGCGTCGTCGCGGACTGCACCTGTAAAATACGACGGCCGGCATCTCAGTAGTAGAAAGAGAAGCAGAAAACACACTGCGTTGGAATTGAGAAAAACGCTCTGAGTTGAGTGACCCCAAAGTGCGCGAGATCTTGCGGACTTTTTGCAGACCAGGTCAAGTTGAAGCTCGGAATAGCCTCAATCTCGAACCCCACACTGGGTTAATTTTTTTTTGGTCGTGTGGGGTCGCCATCCGCCCCAGAAAAACGGGTGTGGCTCGGCCGTTTTCCTGAATGGGGGTGGGGCAAAGCAGCGCGAGCCGCCTGTCGGGCCGGGCGCGCAAACTTCGGTGTAAGTGGACAAGCAACCTCCAAAGCTTTGCGAACCATCAGGTGCCTCTACGCGCAAATGCCATTTCCCATTCTGCTTCAACTCCAAATCGCTTTCCTACCCTCTCCGTCAGCTTGCGTAACACGGATTGGAGATGGGGGACAGGTTAGCGGCAATGCGCCGCAGTAGAGTATATGGGGTCAACGGCCCTTTTCTCTTTGCGCGGCAGGTTTCTGTTAGATGTCCTTTTTCTTGCTTTTGCGCCTTGGAGTTTCTTGTCTCATTCTGTCTAGCAAACCAAAGTTGGGTTGCCGATGTGAAGCCAAAAGAGGCGACTCGCAGTCTGTTTCATCTGCCACGTGTTAGGCCCCCTCCGTCCGAGACAAGCTGACCTACAGTCGCGCGGCTATGGAACTTCTGGGAGCTTAAACCACGGGGTCTAGAGCCCTCTAGAGCCCTTCGTGCCGTTTAATGGAGGACGTCTCGAGCCATGCGTGCAATTTCAGCGGCAAACGCAGTTGCTTTTGAAAACCAGGGCAGCAGCTCGTTGGCACCACGACTAGTCCTAGATATTAGGGTCTTGCTGGGGCAGGCCGTCCGTTGTAGGGAAAAGAGCGCGCGTGGAGGAGGCGTGGAGGAAGAGGAGAGGAAGAGGAGGTGCTCGGTGGTGGTGGTGTGGTAGGGTAGGCTATTGCTCACCCCAACCCCGTTGTTTTTCTGCCGCCCGCTTTGTTTTCCTTGCGACGTCTTGCCCTCACGACATCACCTTCCCCCCTCCTTGACCATTCCACTCTGCCAAAACGCGCTTTTCAAGCTCGAACCATCGCATACCTCATTGTCGCATTTGTTCCTGTAACAAAATTTTCGACTTCACTTTTGTCTCCATCCCGTAAGTCAAGCTCCAACCTAGCGACGAAGCTGGCGCCCGCCCGCCCCAGCCCGCCCGCCCGCTCGTTTCGCGCGCGCGCGCGCACCGTCGATCGCATTACGCCTTCGCAGCGCCCGCCGCGTCGCATCTTGTCCATCGGCCTCCAAAGTGATGCGCGCTTGGGTATTGCCACATGCTTATACGTGCGCACAGGCAATCGCTTCTAAAATAATCAGAAATGGCTCGCGAAGGAACACGCTCGGCCACTGGGCACTCCAAGCCTCGCGTATTCCCCGTTGTTGACACCGCGCCGGCTGTGAAGCGGACCAAGGCCAAGCCCGCCGCCCCTAAGAAGGTGGCAGCACCCAAGCCCGCCGTGCCCAAGGCTGCCAAACCCACAGGTGTCACTAAGAAGAAGGCCCCGAAGAAGGAGAGCGCCGTGGCGAAGAAGGTATGAGCGCTCCCGGCCTGATGTTGCCGCCGGCAGGCGAAACTTGCCTGCCTCCGGCGCGTCTTCAACCCCCTGAACCCCAGATCCCTTTGTTGACACAGATGCCAGGTCAAGGCTGTCGTGAAGAAGGCTGAGAAGAAGGTCGACAAGAAGGCTGACAAGGCCGAGAAGGCTGTCGAGAAGACCGAGAAGGTAATTTCTCCCTCCCCTTTCCCCCGTTACCCACCGCCTCCCTCTCACCCAAATCTTTTTTTTGTTATTGCGAATGCCCTCTCCTCGGGGCCTATTCTTGTGTGCCCACGGTGTCGAATCGTGCGGATCGTGCCTCCTAGACACCCACCTTCGCGCCTGTTGCTCCTCGCCCTAAGCAATTGTCCCTCCGCTCCTCTTCCCCCGCCCTGTCTCGCTTTTTTTTAGTCTTCGTTTTGACGGAGAAGGACTCTGTACTGACTCACCCGTTTACAGGAGGCTAAGCCCAAGGCGGCAACTAAGAAGGAGAAGGCTGCTGCCGCTAAGTAAACACGAGGCGGCGGTCGTTTTGCATTTTTCTTGTGTGTTGCGGACCGGGATGGGCGAGGTAGTTCGGTATGCTGTTGTCTGCACTTTGTAGCTCTCCTTTCTGTTTTGGTAGCTCGGGATTTTTTTGATCTCCTTTTTTCGTTGGTTGGATATCCTATATTCCGTATGACTGTAGCGTTGGATTTCTTGGTTTCCGGGAGGGGACGAAACACGGTCCTGCCCTTGTGTATGTATTGATGATGTTGGATAACGACGAGCAAGATATCGGGGTGTTTCTTTTGACAGCGTCTCCGCGCGCCGCCGCTTTTTGTTTTACCCTCCACGTGATGACGCCCGTTCGGTCCCTGGATTGGCATAGCAGGGAAGAATGTAGTGCCCCGCCCATGAAGTCTCAAACAAAGCCCGTAATTGACTGAGCATGGTAGATTGATTGCTTGACAACCAAACCAGGCCGTATCAGTCTGGCTCTATTCCGCACAAATACCAAAGTAGCAGCGACCGGTTTACTTTGGCATGTATGAAACTGCCGTTGTCACGATCCGGGCGTCGCAGGGGATTTTCTTGTTTCAGCCAAAAATAAAGCACAAAGAGCGTGCCCGACTGTTTAAATTAAAAAACTAGGTATCTTATATATCGGGAAACCGTATTCGTTGTTTGTTATCCTTTTTGCGAGAACCTATAGTGAATGCTTGGGGAGATACTATCCCTAGATTTGTTTCCCGTTGAGTTGAGCAAGTGTCACCAGGAGCTAGAAGAACCCTGCCGAGTCCAGACCTTCTCCATGGAAGGTTTTCTACAGTAGGGTGGAGCTACAGGGGAAGAGCCAGGGAGGTGGTCCGTACTACGGATACCCTCCCGTTGATGGTGTAAGAATTCAACCTGGAATGAGTCCGTACTCCCGGGTCGTTGGGTACTCTAGAAGACGCGCCTTTCGTCGTGCGCTGCCGCTCAACAACACAAGAAAGCGCAGCAGTTTAACGCCCACTAATCAGCTCAAAGCGTACTGGTCGGGGCTGCATTCGACCTCTAGGAGACTGGCTTTAGGCCCTTGGTACCCTGAAGATCCGCTAACGCACTCAATGGGCGTAGCAAGCGAGGTACGGAGCACGTAGAGCACCACCTAACCTTAACGTGGTGCGGGCGGAATGACAGGGCGTCGCGCGCCCCACGCCCCAGAAAAGGGACCCCACAATGAGAACCTTGGCCGTAAACGCAACGGCGGCGCATTTCATGTCGCGAACATCTCGCAAAAAAAAGTTCGGCCCTCGACTTCCACGTCAGGACGGGCCTCGACATGACTAGGCCGCATCCATTGACATTCCTTATCCGTAATGCATCTCATCAAGCCTTCTTGGCTGAGCCATAGTGGTGAGTGTATATATCGTCGCTACATTTTGCTGCCGCCCAAGCAATCGCGCGTTAGGGTCGTTCTGTATCTCCAAAGAGACACGCTTGCTAACATATCTACCATCGCGTCGAGCAGGCGAGCAGAAGGATTTCGAAGTCTACAGTTGCCACGTCTCTCCCGATGGAAAGCGCCTGGCTACTGCGGGCGGAGGTGCGCGAAACCCCGAATTGAGTTCCCCTCGAATGTGTCGTCGATTTGCTAAAACGAAACGAGGACAGATGGCCATGTTCGCGTTTGGTCGACCGAGTCCATCTACAACGCGAACGACAAGACATATACGAAGCCGCGCCAGCTCTGTAATATGAGCCATCACCTCGGTACCATACACTCCGTTCGCTTCTCACCCAACAACCGCTATCTCGCCTCGGGCGCAGACGACAAGATCATATGCATATACAAACTCGACCACAACCCGCCCTCGCACACCGCGTCATTTGGTATGGCTGCCTTGCCCGAGGACCGTGCAGGAAGGGACTACTGGTTGCTGGTTGACTGACCGAAAGTACAGGGACAAATGAGCCGCCCCCCGTGGAGAATTGGAAGACGCACAAGCGTCTAGTCGGCCACGAGAACGATGTCCAAGACCTGGCCTGGGCTCACGACAACTCGATTCTGGTTTCGGTGGGGCTTGACTCCAAGGTTGTGGTTTGGTCTGGACACACGTTTGAGAAGCTCAAGACGCTCGCTGTGCATCAGAGCCACGTCAAAGGCATTACGTTTGACCCGGCGAACAAGTATTTCGCCACTGCGAGCGACGACCGAACCATCAAGATCTTCCGCTTCACCCCACCCGCGCCGAATGCGACTCAGCATGACATGGTCAACAACTTCATCCTAGAAACCACCATCAACGCCCCTTTCAAGAGCTCTCCGTTGACTACCTACTTCAGGAGGTGTAGCTGGTCGCCCGATGGCAACCACATTGCCGCCGCCAACGCCGTGAACGGCCCCGTCAGCAGTGTCGCCATCATCGAACGGACGCGGTGGGACAGCGAGATAAACCTGATTGGGCACGAGGGTCCCACCGAAGTTTGCATGTTCTCGCCTAGGTTGTTCTACACAAAAAAGCCTACCGAAAGCGCAAATGGCCACAACCCCTCGGCGGGCCTGGTAACCGTCATCGCTAGTGCAGGCCAGGACAAGACTCTCAGCATTTGGAACACGAATACGTCCAGGCCGCTAGTCATTGTCCAGGACCTGGCTTCAAAGTCTATTTCGGACCTGGCATGGACACCGGACGGGCAGACACTTTTTGCCTCGAGTCTAGACGGGAGCATTGTCGCCATCAGCTTCGAGTCAAGTGAACTCGGCTGGGTTGCTAAGCCGGAAGAAAACGATAAGGCGTTGGAAAAGTACGGCGGTTCGAGGAAGGGCATGGGGTTTACCGAAGATGTTGACGGGCTCCATCTGGAGAACAGCAGCAAAGCAGGGGAGATGCGGGGCGCCGAGTCGAGGATGGGTGCCTTGATGGGCGACTTCCAGCCCACCCAGAAAGAGAACGGCAAGGACACTGGGGCCACTACCAACGGCGTGAAGTCGACACCGAGGAATGGCGAGACCAATGGCGATACGGAGCCGAGGCCGAGCAAAGAGAGCGCCGCCGAAGAGAGCGCTGCCAAGTCTACCGAAAGAATCGCGCAGCTTAAGGCACGCGTGACCATTACCAAGGACGGCAAGAAGAGGGTTGCGCCCCTCCTCGTATCCTCATCCGGTACTGGCCTGTCATCTTTACCGCAGTCACAGCTGGTTGGCGCAAGTTCTACAAAACCTGCGCAAAACGATGTTCCACAAACGGTTATAGACCTTACGAAGCCGTGGGAGGGACTGCCCAGGGGTGGAATAGCAGCGTTGCTTCTCGGCAACAAGAGGAAGGCCGCTGCCCTTGAGGGAGACGAGGACGAAGAGCCTTCGGGAAAGAGGACGGCTACCGGGTTTGTCCCCATCATGGTAAACGGCGTGGATGGCCTTGAACCCGCGCCCCTCTCCGCCCCCGCCCACGGCGTTGTCCCAACGCCAGACTTCATCCGGCCCGCCGTAATAAATCCCTCAATCGCCATTTCTCAGGTGAGGCTGGCCGTCCCTAAGATCAGGTCGCACATCCTGAGACCGCTCGAAAGGGGGGTTTTGCAGGGCGAAACCAGCCTGGAGGAGGCATCAAAGGTCCCAGAAAACATCATTCTGGAGGCCAGGAACCCCGGCCAAATCCGCGAGCCTTCGCGCATCACGGCTACCAAGCGAGGCGCTCTCATGTGGCAAGACTTTTTGCCGCGCGCCATCGTCCTTGTGACGGGGAATAAGAACTTCTGGGCCGCGGCATGTGAGGATGGGACTATTCACATCTGGACGCCGGCAGGCCGTAGGCTCACGAACGCCATCGTCTTGGAATCGCAGCCCGTCATCATTGAGTCGCGCGAACATTGGCTGCTCTGTATAACATCCTCTGGCTTGTGCCATGTCTTCAATGTTCAGACAATGGCCGCAGCTCACCCGCCTGTGTCTGTCGGGCCGATCCTCGAAATCGCCATGGCATCTCTATCGCCCCACGGCGCAACCCCTGCGCCTGGCATTACCTCGGCACACATCAACAGTATTGGCACCATCGTCGTGACGCTGAGCAATGGAGATGGGTTCTTCTACTCGTCAAGCATGTATACTTGGCAGCGACTGTCCGAGTCTTGGTGGGCGGTCGGAAGCCAGTACTGGAACAGCAACGATTCGTCGATCAGCGCGTTACAGACAACCGCCGTTGGTCCCGCGACCGTGTCAAAGAGCAAAGACATGGGCGAGGTCAATGTGTCTTCTGGCATCATTCCATTCTTAGAACGGCATACTACCAACGAGTTCCTGCTTAAGGGCCGCGCATACACGTTGCAGAGACTAATCAAGACACTGCTCTCCAAGGATGGCTTTGAGGGCTTTGAGAGCAGCGTCAGCATTGCGCATCTGGAGAACCGCATCGCGGGCGCGCTGTCTTTGGACTCAAAGGAGGAGTTCAGGCTATACCTCTTCATGTATGCCAAACGTATTGGTGCCGAGGGTCACAGATCCAAGGTCGAGGAGTTGCTCAATAGCCTACTGGGGGGGATTCTCCAGGACAAGAAGGGCGACCGCCTGATCGGTGACGGAAAAGGCTGGTTCAGCAAAGACGGCACCTTGTGTGGGTGGGACCGGAAGGATCTTTTGAAAGGCGTGGTTCTGATTCTAGGCAAGTTGGTCCCGTTGGCTAGGAGTCCGTTTTTATCATTGCATGCTAACTGTGTGTGTAGGAAAATTCCGAGACCTCCAGCGCTTGACTGTCCAGTATGCCAGAATCCTGGACATGACCGCGGGCGAAGACGAGGACGACGAAAACAGCAGCCGCAACGAAGAGATGGAAATCGGAGAGTAGAAGACAACCCCGTATCTTATTAGACACTGCAGAATAGGGTGAAGAGCAACGCCAAGTGGGTTGGTGGCCGACTGCTGCCCCCTCTCCAGACAACTTATCCCACCCCTACCTACCTCTCAGCACGTTCATCAATCCTCCGTCTGGGGTAGCCCTCCCTACCCCATCAACGATACACAAAATACCATTAGCAAAAGAATCCTATTTCCTGCGGATTGGGCCTGGGGATATAGGCGTATCGGGCGACTTTTTTTTTCCGGGTTGCGTTCTTTTATTTATCTTTAGCGTAGGCTATTTATGGGAAAGCGAACTAGAGCTTGGAGCTCGTGTATAAGTTATTCATGTTGTATCAGTAGAATTGAGCTTAAAGCTTAGCTAGTGCTCTTCGATACAGCCACGGCGCGTTTTAGCGGGTATCCGCAAGACAGAGCAGCGTCGTCTCGTTGTCTTCTCTCTTCCCTGAACAATGTCCTGTGAGATGCAAGATATCAGCTGAAAGTACCTGCAGAGGAGAATGGGGCCGTCTCCACCCCTTTTCTTCGAAAATACTCCACGGGGCAGCGTGCTGGAATACACGACCCGGCGTTTATAGTTTATGCCTCCGCCTACCTGCCTCTGCCTCTCCGGGTCGATTGCAGGAGGCTTGGAGTGGCTGTGAGATGTTAGACGTCACCTACCCGCGCCCTGGTGGCCCTTCTTCCAGTACATAGAATCTTCATTCCATCTCGGCCATTAGAAGCGCCCCAGGAATTCAACCTTTTAAGGTTTATATTCGATCCCAGCTTGGCTGTGCCGGGACATGGGCTTTTTTCCCATTTCACAGTGGACGTCTTGATCTCCGTCTCTCCTCGAGGTATAGCAGTAGAAGAATCTCGACTGCAGAGGCCAGGGAAGCCAGAACGCCTCTTTCTGCGGATATTTAGTCTGTCCCGCCACTCGTCCGGTCACAGTCCCAGTCTCTCGTGCCCGTGGTTGTCGGCGGCATGTGTGCCATCCCGTCCTGCTGCTCCTCTCTCGCGTGCTCATCAAGTCACGGCCCCCGGCTCTATTGGAGTCTTGTCTGAACCTTTTTTTCCTCGTCTCATTTCCACCCCCGCAATATTCCAACAGAATCCAAGCCTTCAAGTCACTCCTCCCCAAAGGACAGGGTCTACCTGATCTAGCAGTTTCCCTTCTTTCCACGTCGCCCCTTGTTCGGGACTCTCTTTGCCAGATTCTGCTGGACCAAGCGGGAAGCATTTTCCCGCCTCACATTCATTTCCTGCTTTACCCACTTGCCGCTCATTTGCCCATCACATCTTGCTTATCTTTGATTCCTCGTTATTGAAGCCGCTGCACAGGCTTTCCCTCTTTTTTACGGACCGAGCCCAAGAAGACTCGCCTTGACTCCAGGTGATAGATATATAGAAACGCACACACGCACGCACGCACGCACGCACACACACACACACACACACAAACACACGCACACACAGGCAGCAGAGAAAGACAGAAAGAAGAGACGGCAATGGGCACGATGACGGACACGCTGCCCGTGACCTACAGGTTCGAGGCCTGGTACTACGGCGACCCGAACGACACGGGTAACCGCGACCGAGCCTTTGTCAAGGCGCTCCAGAAGCGCATGCCGTCGAAGCGCTGGAATGTTTATTCAGTCAACATCGAGACCAATCAGAAGAAGGCCAAGAAAGCTGCTACCCAGACTGCTCGCAATGCTACCAAGGAGGGGGCCATGCCTAACGTCCCCTCGAAGGATGTTTTTCTCTGCCTCGAGGTATGTCTATGTCCCTGGTTATGTCTATACTAACCCGGTTTCACTTTATTTTCCACTTGCGTCCCCGGGAGAAAAGGAGAGCCAGAAGCCTGATAATATGTGATGCTCACACCCATTGATGACCGGCAGGTACATATGAGGACGGATCTGAAACGAGCAAAGAAGGCCGTCATCTACACCAACACCAGAGACGGCAAGTACCCCACTGCTGAGGGCAGGGCCTACGCCGAAGTATTTGACAAGCTGTACACCTACCTGGTCCCCTTTATTAGTGAGCCCAAGTTCGCGAGCGACGTCGGTCTCAACAAGCCCTTGTGCTGGAGCTTGTCGTCGGCTAATCTAGAGTGCAAGACAACCGGGGGACACCGGAGGTATGGCTTCCCTCTTCCTCGTTATCTATTCCCTAGGTTGCCACAGATGAGCTTGCGTGTCTACCTTCCCATCGGGCTTGACTAATTTTTTTTCTCTCCCCTCTCTTGCTGGTGACAGATGGTGCCTGATGCCGCCGGGAGAGCCGACTGACATGCCGGCGAAGAAGATTGAGAAGACTCTATACGACGTGAGTTTGGTCTCCTCGAGTCTCCAACGGCGAGAATGACCGAGTCAGGGGAAGAGCTAATATTTTCCCATGCAGCTCGCGAGAATCAACGTAAAAAAACGAGACAAAGCCCACAAGCTTTGCGGCGGCGGCGGCGTGCTAGAATGCATTGACAACCACCTCTACCGGCAGAAGCAGACGTACGACCTCCTGTCTGACCTGATGTCCAAGATGGTTTCCAGTAGTGAAGGTATGTATTTCTCCGCCTGATATCCTCGCAGCAGGCAGGCCTGGGCAAGCAAAACTGAGCACAGCAATCCTAACAAAAAAACAGTGACTCCGGAAATGGTCGAGGACAACGTCAGCGCCATCGAAGGCGTCGACAAGGCCCTGACGACCGTCGTGTCCATGTTCCAGCAACACGTCGGCAGGTCGCCGGCGCCCAGCAGCCGCTGCGGCGTGTTCCGCGCCGTGCAGAAGATGTTCCAGCCCAAGTTTGGCGCCATCGCCATTGACGACGATGTCATTGAGGAGCTCAAGAAGAGCAGTAAGCAGACTCTCCATTTTCCTCTATGAGCTATGTTGGAAAGAGGCGTTGGTCTGTTGACATGACCGCGTAAAAGCACGCCTTGAGCTGGGCCAACTCCAGCGCCTCGCGCCCGTCCTGGCCGCGCATGTCCGGCTGCAGAAACCGGAGAACTGGTATGTCTCCGTCCTGGTCTTCTTGGGCAGGAGCCTCGTTTTCCCCCCTTCCTTCCCTCGCCGTCTTTCGAACTTACCCCCTATTCTTAAACTTAACCATAAAACCACACAGGAAAAAACTAAAAGCCGACTGCGCCTCGGCGCTCGAGGGCGACGAGCGCAACGTGATGCCCGACAAGATGGGCATCTCGAGCAAGTGGCTCGGCGACATGGGCGAGCACGCAGCGGCGCTGCGCCTCGTGCGGGCCCACTACGACATCATCTATAACCGGTTGCTAGCCGACATCGAGGCCCTCAACAAGGCCGTCGGCGCCGAGTACGTCCGCCGCGGTGCCACGCTTTTTCGTAGTACTAGCACGCCGCGCAACGGCTGCCTCGTCGAGGCCCGGCTGCATGGCCTTGAGCCGAAGAGGAGCTTGTTTGCCGCTGCCGAGGAGTGTGAGAAGGTGTGAGTGTGCCGGGGGTTTGGGTGGTGGTGGCTTGCTGGGGTTGTCAGGCCATCTTAGTGAGTAGGGAGACTGACTCTGGCACGAAGCTGGGTGAAGTAGGAGGATGACTTATATCTTTCCGCCTTTCCTTTTTGCTGTTGCTTTAAAAATGTTGGAGCTGGAGAAAATGGTCTCGCTCTTTCCCGGTTTCTGGGGAGTTTGGCACTCATCGTTTGCCTCTCATCGTTTGCCTCTCTCTCCCACACCACATCATCATCGAGCAAGAGTTACGCGCTTGCGTTGCGGCAGCGGCGGTTGGTTCTTTGCTATAACCTTTTGGGTGTTCCCCTTACTCTTACGTTTACACGTTTCCTTTATCGACAGCCGTTCTTACTTTCACCGGCTTTGCCTTTGGAGGAAGCTGGAACCTCTAGTCCCTCATTATTTTATTTCTATCTACTCTTGCTCTACCCCAGTTCCAGTGATACTTGTGGGATTTGGTGTATTTGGTGTAGCATTTTTGCAGTTAGAGGTCTTATGACACCACCAGACTTGTGTGCCAGGGTTTCCGTGTAGTGACAATGGAATGAGCGAGCTTTGTGATCATGCCTACATACCTAAGGTACTTTGACTACGCAGCTTGGATGAGTGCATAGAAATAGAGATAGAGGGGAAAAGAAAACCACGTCCATTTCCACTAGTTATGTATCGTGATCTTGATGGCTTGAATTCTGCGAATATTCCCGAGAATTAGCACTCATATAAGTTACTTGTGTATGTACACCCAGAAGCCACTTCAATGGAGAATAATGGAACTAGTACATGCCGAGGGCTTAACTTGGATATGCTCTCGTGCTGTGACGAGTCTTGAACGGCTGTACGGTGGCAGCCATGTCATGCCTCTGGCGGATCTAACCGAAAAGACAAGAGAGCGTACAATCAGAAGCGCCTCTAACCGTGTGGTAGTTGCATCTACCATCGGTGCTAGTCTGATTTAATGTAGTGCGGACGGCATCTTCCCCAACACTAGCAGGCGAGGGGGCTTAGCAAGTTGCGTGATTATCGCAGGATTCCCCACTGCAGGGAGACGGAGAGAACTACGGAGCACAACTCCCAAATCTCGACATGTTGACGTCTCCTATTTGCGAATTGCCGCTGCCACGCCGCTGCCATGCCGCTTGGCAGAACCTTGCATACCAGAACCGAGGCTACATCTGGCCTCGAGATACGTGCGGCTTAGCCCGCGCAAGTTCCATCTGTCCAGGGGAGAGACCGCCTTGCTCGTTCTAGCGCGGTCAACAGAGATCAAGTACCAGGCCTGCCCGTACACCCTTGGTCGTGTCTCGTCAAGCCAGGTAAAACTATAGAAGCTCTCGCCCCGAGGCTGTTGCCGCCTGGGCACGCGGACCTGCGTCTGCGCCCGCCTTCCCCCCTCCCCTTCAACCGGCAGCCAAGATGAAAGTTAACACACTCTTCGCGGCTCTTGGCGCTGCTCACGCGCTCGCCGCCTCAGGACCCCAGCCTCCGCCGTCAGTGGCCACCAGCCGGCAGCCGTCAAAGACGATTCTGCCCGCGCTGTCAGAGATCCTCGCCGTGCAGGCCACGGCGCGGCCGGCTTCGCCTACCTCGGATGTCAAGGGCGTGGCCTTTGACCGCATCGTCCAGATATGGCTCGAGAATATTGACTTTGAGGTGAGCCGACGCCCGTCGTTTTGACTTTGTCGACACCTCGACAGCACCTCGTTACTCGCAAAAGCCTAAACAATACCCCGTGTAGGACGCCGAAAATGACCCAAACATGAGCTGGATAGGCGACCACGGCCTACTTCTCAGCAACTACTTTGCCGGTAAGCTCTACACTAGCTACAAGCCGGCCGTTGTTTGTTGCCCTGGACAACGCCTGCTTGTTTACATACTAACGAGCACAACAGTGACGCACCCGTCGCAGCCCAACTACGCGGCGGCCGTGGGCGGGGACCACTTCGGCATGGACCACGACGAGTTCATCAGTATCCCCGCGAACGTGTCGACGGTGGTCGACCTGCTGGACACGCGCGGCATCTCGTGGGGCGAGTACATGGAGGACCTGCCGTACGCGGGCTACGACGGCATGAACTTCTCCAACCAGGCCACGCTCGAGGACGACTACGTCCGCAAGCATAATCCGTTGATGTTGTACGATAGCGTCGCGCACAACGTCACGCGCACGCGCCAGATCAAGAACTTCACCGGCTTCGCCGACGACCTTGACGCCCGCACGATCCCCCAGTGGAGCTTTGTCACCCCTAACATGGTGCGTTTGGCGTGCTACTGGCCTGTTGTTGATATGGTTAGCTGAATGTCGTCAAACACAGACCAACGATGCCCACGACACCAACATCACCTTTGCGGCGAGCTGGACGCGCGGCTTCCTGGAGCCTCTGCTGGAGAACCCGTATTTCATGGAAAACACCTTGATCATCGTTTCGTTCGACGAGAACTGGCTCTGGCCGAAGCCAAACAGTAAGCCAAGCCAACCCCCCAATCCCCCCTTAAACAGCAAGCACTGACCAGATCCACCAGGAGTCTTCACGGTGCTGCTAGGCGGGGCCATCGATACATCACTTCACGGCGCCGTCGACGACATGTTCTACAGCCACTACTCGACCATCTCGACCGTGTCGGTCAACTGGGACCTGCCGTCGCTCGGGCGGTGGGACTGCGGCGCCAACGTGCTCGGGCCCGTGGCGGCGAAAGCCGGGTACCGCAACACAAACATATCGCTCGACAGGCTCCACTTCAACGCGTCGTACCCGGGCCCCGTCGCCGACTTCCAGCACACGCCTGGCTGGTGGCCCGCGCCCAATACGCGCGCCCGCTGCGCCTCTGGCCGCGGCGTCCTGCCCGCTGTTGCTGCCGTCTGGGGTGCCGACCAGCCCGGGTCGTATGATTACACGAACGTCTATCCGTACAACGGGCACGCCGGTGTTGACGTCGGTGGTACGCCTGTCGCGGGAAGCGCGGATGCGGCTTCTGATGGCGGCGGTCCTGAAATGAGCGAGAGCTCCCGTTGCCATCCTGCTCCCGTTAGCGCTGCAGGTGCTGCAAGGCAAGATACGGCGATTTTGGCTGCGCTGTTGGGTGTGGTTATGGTTGTAGTTGCGCTTCTGTTGTAGGTGAGCATTGTTTGGAGCGCGGGCAGTGTTTACTTGCGAATGTTTCTTCAGGGGAGATGGAATAGAAACTAGACAAGGTCATGACATCCTTTTTTCGTTTCTTTGGGGTCGGAGGGGCAAAGTTGGGAGCTGGCAACTTTCGCCATACGCTACTACCTTCTAATGCATCTGTCAGGCTGCTGGCTGCTTGTGTACATGCTAGAAACCTAGTACTAATTCTCAGTAGGAAGTAGCAGTTGATTCCACATGCCAGTCACAACTTCCATTTTCGCTCTTTCACTCCGCATGTCTCGACAGTCCTCATTCTACTTTATTCAGCCTAGTTAACAAGTGCTTCTCTCAAATCTGTGCAGTGACTGAAATGGCAATAGATTGAAGAACCGCTACCTGAGCGAAAAAGGGGGCGCTTCCAGCGCGCTCCAAGCCACAACAAATTTGCCATTTCACCACAACCCTCCGTGATTCAGACTCATTCGCAATCCCTCTTCAAACAGCTCAAGTGCCGGGATGAGCATTGCTATTAATTATTTGCCCAGAGTTGCAAGTTTGGCAGGCTATGTACGATTTTCCTATCATCTTGTGACCATCGGGATGCACCAGGAATATTACCATCAGCTTCAACTTCGAAGTACCCTCAACTCCCCTTGGGCTTTCCATCACCCTGATAATCCAGAGATCGAAGTAACCCACAAAGCCGTCTATTGATATCCTGTGCAACTTGCAGCGCTCGATTGGTTTGTTGGTGATGGGTAATGGATTGCTGCCTATGTTATTTCTATGCTCACTTCCGCACGCAAAAGTAGACAGCAGGTTCCCATACGGTCCCGAAGGAGTAGACTTGCTCTTAAAATAAATTCTCCGCTATTCATCTTGTTTCAATTCATGTTTGAGATCCTGCATCATAGACTATACCGGCCGACTTGGTAAAAATACGACTTTCTTTTAGCTCTGCGCAAAAGGGACGTGGTCAACACACATCCCATGAAATATCTCCCTCTGCTGAAACTTCGAACCTATTCTCTTAACCATTGGCATCAAAATAACGGATCTCAACCGGAGCGGTGTCATAAACCACCCGAGGAAACATGTTGGGGCTGGGCGATGTCTTTAAGGGGTACTGCGATGAAAGATCTTCTAGTGAAAACTACTTTGGCGAGGGGAGCAGTGTTGAGGCGAGAGAGTGAAGTTCTTAATCACGGCATCGGTTATATGGTTTATAACTACTATGAACTAGAGAAAGAAAAGTAACCATGAAGGTCTGAGGCCGCTAGGTCGAGACTTTGTCAAACACTTATTGGCCGAGACACTACTCTTCAAACAATAACCCTGATGGACGGTCTTTGCTGGCACATTTCGCACTTCCAAATGGTGGCTTTCCGCGGATGCGGAGTGGAGGCTGTCCGCAGATTCTGGCCGACTCCGATGGATTGGAGCCGTCAGCAAGTGAAACCCGGCCCGGGCCGCGGCGTCTGGGCCCCGAAAAGGTTGAGCGAGCGAGGCGACTTCCGGATTGAGTTGTACAAAGGCCGCCACTAAAACTGCCGGGTTTCCGTCCGTCCGATCAAATTCCGTGACCAGCAGTGTTACAAAAGCCTGAAGACTGACTGCTATCCCGATTGCGAGCCAAAGTCTTGTCAACTGGTCTCTGTTGAAACATGGGCTTGACAACTGCAGCAGGCCAGAAACGCCACCATGTCCACTTCTCATCGCCAAAACGAAGCGGTTAGGCTTGACGGAGCAGTTGCCAGTGTGAACTGAGGCTTTTTCAATGTCTTTGAAGTTGCAGGGCCGTCCTTCAATATTTGCTGCCTGAAAATTAACACACCGGCCAGGTTCGCGAGCATGCCATCAAGGTGAACTCCTGAGCGCAGTCAGCTCCAGGCAATAGCCAGCACCAGCACCAGCACCAGCAACAGCACCAGATTGCATTCTGAGGCAGCGAGCGACAAAGGAGGCAAGTTCCGTCTATTGTTTTCCGAAACACAGCATGACGCACCTGAAAACCGAGCAGTGACAAGGGGCGTTCGAAGCCGTCTTTGTGCGTATTTGGGACAATGTCATTCGCCTGGCTTGCCCCTGCCGCCTGCTCTACATTAAGAGCGCAAACAACAAAGAACCCGCCTACCATTGTTGTAGCAAATATCTATCACCCCAGACCTCTCTAGTTTTGCCCGCCACTTGAAGTAGCCGGGAAAGTAAGACCCATGCATTTTCTTTCCCAGACGGGTTTCTAGACGATCAGATTATCCTGTTTCTCTATTTTCGGAATGTTTTTCTCAAGAAGATCCCCAACACGCCATCACATCTCAAGCCCGTCGATCGGGCAAGCAAAAATTCTCATTCGAGACACCTATCGGTTGCTCCCTCGCATTGTCACGAGCGAAGCGAGACGAGAGAAACGCAGAAAACTCGACATGTCCTTCGTCAACATATCGCAGTGCGGGAAACAAAAGAGCGCGGCGCCACACCGGCACCACCTCCACACACACCAAGCCGCCAACAAGCCGCCAATACAGGACCTGGGCGACAACCTGATCCCGCCGCTGGTCATGCTCAGACTGAGCCTGTCCCGGCACCTCATCCGCAGCATGCTCGACCGCCGGCGCAGCCTCAAGGCCGAGGAGCGGCGCACGTTCGACGTGGCCGCGCAGGTCGAGACGGCGTGGGAGCTCGTCCGGGACGGCTACGCGGGCGAGTGCGCGCGCAGCCCCTTTTTCGCACGCCAGGCGCGCCGCGCTGCCGCTGCTGACCCGGCCGCCGCCGCAAAAACCGACTGCCGCGGCCACGGGGACGAGCAGCAGCAAATCGAGGCACGCCACTACATGCTGCACCGGCTGCAGCGGATCACGTGGGCCATCAAGGAGGTCGACGGGTTCGTCGAGGGGCTCACCGTGGACAAGTATGGCTACCTATCGCACTACCGGGCGCTGTCCACGCAGGCGGCGCTGCGCAGCCGCCGCACGCGCGATGTCGGGTCCCGCGCTCCTGCCAACAGGATGGACGCTGATATCTGGGCCGACGGCGTCCGCGTCGCCGTGCTGAGGGGCGAGCGCGCATGGCCGGGGCAGTGGTGCTTTGAGCAGTATAAGCGGAGGAAATACGAAAAGTAAGGGGGGGTCTGTGCCGTGCCCTTTACCATCTGTTAGAGGGAGCGAGTGGAGTGGGTTGTTTGGTATGTGCCATGCAGTGTTTGTTACGGAAGCCTCACTGCGTGACTGCAGCTCAGGGAGTGGCGATGGCATACCCTGGATGACGAAGAAACACGGCCGCGCCCTTAGGAGGAAGACAAAATGTGAGGGAGACTGCCGCAATGCCGGTCTCAGCCTGCGACAAAAGCAGTGGTGACAACAAATAGATAGATGCTGCCATAGACTGCTTGCCATAGGCTGCCACGTTTTGTGTTAGTTAGTCAGCGCAGGCAGCGGAGCGAGTGTTTTACTGAGTTTTATTCTCTAAGCAGTGATGATTGCCCCTCTCGCGGTTTGCAATAGACCAGAGTAGACCTAGACGGCCAACATTGCTGTTTTTTGTTTTGAGACAAGACTCTACACGGATCGGGGAGAGTCTGAGAGAGCCAGAGCCGCATTGAGAAGCGAACTTGAAGCCAGCTGTTTGGTGTCAACTCGCCGCGACTCATGTCAACATATAGACACAACACACCACTGGGTCAGCTCCATTGACATTAAGCGGCTTTGTTGTATTCTCTCGACTTCGTCTTCCTCCCCGGCGCCTTCACCCGGCCCAGTCCCGTTGTATCACAAGGACGCCGTAGAAGAGATGAGGTCGTTCTGGACGACGAACCAGAAATAAAACAACAAACAAGAAAAGTAAAAGATAGGAGAGGGCAGGTTTTGTGATATTGTCATGTCTAAAATGAAGAGAAGGCATTTTCCGTTTCTGGCCCCCTTTTTCGAGAGGTCAAAATAGAGGAGGAGGAACAGAACGCCGCAGTTTATGGAGTATCCATACGCAACCTGGAATAATGCTAGATTCGAGTCGCGCAGGCCAGCACTGCGCTTCATCTAGCCTGCGACAGCGTGCAGCAGCTGTGGATATCGTGTACAGTGGAGTAGGTATATACGTACTAGTATGAACAGGGGTTCGTTTTACGCCACGGGCGAATCACAAGCCCCTACATCGCCCAATTCGGCAGGATATGATGGACCAGGAAAATGCAGGGTTAGCCGTAGGCAGGGAGCGCCCCGAACCCAGGAGGATCTAGAAAAACCGCCCTAAAATAGCCTAGCCAATAGGAAATATTTGACCACTGCCCAAACATTCTTGGATCCATATTTGGTTGAATTCGACCTCAAAATCCGAATATATGACTGACAACAGGGCTATATGTCACGAATCCCTGTGGATTCCCTGTGGTTATGCACAAAGGTGGGGCATGCACTTTTGGCGCGAGCCAATCAGGAGCGTTCCAGGATTCCGAGCTCTGGAGCTCGGGGGCGCGGGACAGGTCCGGCCGGGCGGTGACCCGGACGCGGGACCACTGGACAACGGAACCACTGTTATTGGTTACGTAGATAGATATATACGACGATCGTGTCCACGGTCTTAGATAGTTCTTGCTTGGTTCTTCAAGCAAGCAATACACATTCACTGCACTCATACACTTTGAGTGGCATTCCGATTTGACTGTATTACCCGTGCGATAGGAGCTTGCCCTTTGTTCTATCTTCATAATTACCAACCCCAGCATTCTGTGGAGCCCGTGCTCCCTTACAGACAGACGACCCTAACAGTCGAGTGGTTTGTAATACTATATTTGATCGTTTATATTTGACGATATTTGATTTGGTGCTAGCGCTGAATCAAGCCGCCTCATTCATTACTTGGTCACCTGCCACCCCACTACACACACCTCCTTGACTTCCCCGCATGTTTCTTACTACTGTTATTTCGCTACCTGCCAAGACCATATTTGCTACTATCAAAGTGTATGAGTGCAGTGAATGTGTATTGCTTGCTTGGAGAATCAAGCAAGAACTATCTAAGACCGTGGACACGGTCATCGTATTTATTTAATTATGGCGGGCCAGTAAGAGCGCAGCTCTTACTTGCCCGGCAGGAAGGAGCTGCCTGGCGCCGGGCACTGCTAGCGTGCCGGGCCATTTGCGTGGTGCCAAGACCCTTCTTGGCACCGGGCCACCTCTGATTGGCCGTCCTTCCTTTTGCCTGGTGCCAAGAGCCCTCTTGGCACCGGGCACCGTCTGATTGGCTCTCGACAAGCGGGGCCCCCAGTCTTGCCTGAGGCGCCTGCCTTCTGCAGCTGGTCCAGTACGAACCAGGTTCGTCACAGAATGCCGATCTTGACAACGACTATATATCCTTTTTTCGTACTAGTATTCGCCTGGTATTACAAACCACTCGACTGTTAGGGTCGTCTGTCTGTAAGGGAGCACGGGCTCCACAGGATGCTGGGGTTGGTAATTATAAAGATAGAACAAAGGGCAAGCTCCTATCGCACGGGTAATACAGTCAAATCGGAATGCCACTCAAAGTGTATGAGTGCAGTGAATGTGTATTGCTTGCTTGAAGAACCAAGCAAGAACTATCTAGGACCGTGGCTACGGTCGTCGTATATATCTATCTAAGGAGGACCAATCAGAGTTCCTGACTCACATGCTCAGTCGTGCTCAGTCCTAGATGCACTGATCCCTACTGAGCTCTCCGCTCAGTGCGCTCAGTGGGTCTCGGCACTGATCCTACTGAGCTCCCCGCTTAGTGCGCTCAGTGGGTCTCGGCAATGGCCCCACTGAGCACTCCCTCATTGGATGCACCTTCGAGCGAGAGCCCCCCACCTTAAATGCTGTTCCAGCCAATCCACAGAAGGCGGGCAGCGCCCTCTGCACCTTTGAACCAGGATCGTAACACCTGGCCATTTAGATGCCAAGAAAATACAGTACATTAATAGAGAGAGCCCAGCTTACTAGGCGGCGAGAATATTACACCCTGGGCACAAGAGGAAGTAGGTAGATGGGTTCTTGGGAGAGGACCAGGCCAGGAAGGCATATAGGGCATGCCGTAATCTATACCAGGATGTGTATGCCCCGGTCGTCATCCCGGCGCCGGCACAACCGGAAGAGGCACCCCTCAGATGCCCGGGGACTCTTTTTATGGCTCACTACTACTACGACGCGCCTAAAGACCCCAACAACAAGGATAAACTGGCTAAATACCTCGCAGAGGGTGTCAGGCCGGTAAGTAACATACAATCTTGGTAGTTTAGTCGTCTGGATCGTTGGTCCCGGTTGCCCAAGATAGCTTTGGAATTAATGACGATTCTGTGAGGGTTTGGCCTTCCGGGCCCTCCCAAACGCACTGACCAATCAGATGCCAGCTAGAGGGATCCACCCGACTGACCAATGAGCTCGACCAGAGCACCACCTCGACACGCCCTGGAAGAGTCTCGCGATGGGAGGAGGCTTTTGAGATTCTTTTCCCTTTTTCCCTTTAGTTTAGAATCTTCGTCTTAGCGCCCAATAGAGAGTTCCGCCCTCATTCCAAGCCGGCCGTGACACAATTCTAAACTCTCAATTCTCATCGCTGGCTAGCGATCAATAAATACGTCAACCCCTACAAACAACCCACTACGTCGGCTGTGCACGACGATAAACCAGGCCACAGAAACCCCCAAACACAGCGTCGATGTCCAAGAAGAAAGATTACGGACCGCCGATACGCCAATCCGAACGCCTCTCCCAGCCGAAAGAGCTAAGCGAACGGGCCCAGGAGGAAGCGAACTTGAAGACCGAAGAGTCCGACGAAGAAGTCATAGCAACCCCCTCGAGCACAGAGCCAAACGAGCCAGTCACCAGTATAGAAGTCGACGCCCCGATAGACAACATGCCGGGAAACGAAACCCGCAGCGTATCGGGTGACCACGGCGCCCCGAGCGCCGAGGATTATCGAGTTCTGCTTGCTCAAGTGGCGGAACTCAGGGCGGAGGTAGCCGCCCGCACCGCCGACGGCGTCAATCGCCGGGCCCGAACTGTCACCCCCGCAGAGAGCGCTTTCAGTGGGGACAGCTTCAAACCCATTGGCTTCGCCGCCCTTCCCGCTTTCAAGCCCTACGGTCACGACCAGCACGCAGCCAACCAAACCTTCGACCGGAAGGCTCGCAAGGCCGGTATCGACCCTGGAGTTTTCAAGGGTGTTGACGGAACTTTCGATAAGTGGATCATAAAGGTGGCCGATAAGTTTGTGGAAGACGATACCACTTTCAAGACAGAACGTAGCCGCATGGCGGTTCTGAACTCTCTTACGGAGGGATCCCCGAACGACCTGCTGGAGAGTCGGTACAGCTCTCAAGAGATGCCCTTCCGCAACGTCGCCGAGATGGTAGCCACGTTGTCGACTGTCTACCATGATGACAACCAGGCCACTAAAGCCAGGACCGACCTAGCCAAGCTCAAGTACGATCCTGCGAATAAGGACGTGACTATCCATTCATTCATTGGGTTGGTCAATAGCTTGGCTGATAAGGCTAATATTGCCGAGTCTGAGCGCAAGACCCTACTCTATGAGCATATTCCCGCCCGGCTGGACCCCCGACTCTTGGGAGACTCAAAGAACCCGATAATCTCCTACGAAGCTTTTGCTAGCAGCGTCGCGGATGCTGCTCTAGCCCACCAGCGTGCTTGGGAGGAGAACCGAGAACGCAAACGAGAGAAGAGGGATCGCCGGACACGTTCGCCAACCACTCACAGCGAACGGACTTATATTAGGGAGTCTCGGTTTGAGAAGCCGACTCCCTAGCTAGCTACAACCAAAGTTCCCGAGGGTAAGAAGGGTGGAGGAAAAGACGATACTTGTTTCATCTGCCGTAAGGAAGGTCACTTTGCCCGTGACTGCCCCGAGCGGAAGACTATGGCCAAGATGATGCTAGACCTCGACCAGGATCCTCCTACCTCCTCGGAGTAGTCATCCTCGTCGTCTAACGAATCGGAAAACTGCTAGGACTGTCGGAAGTCTCCTCGACAGTCCGTATACCACGACTAGCTAAAGTGAGCAGATCGTCTGGATCAAAAACCTTCTTATTCCCTATTCAACTCCAATTAGAAGGAATTAGCCTCAAACCAAAGCTCTTTGTGATACCGGAGCAGATATCTATTTGTCAATGACCCCGAAGATGGCTAATAAGGCCGTGAAGCTACTAGGCGCCGTTCGAGAACAACTATCTAAGCCCATCCGCCTTAATGACTTTAATGGGGTGCTCGCCGCCAAAGCCACCCACCAGATCCGTCTCTCCCTGGAACTCGACGGACGGAGATTTCCACGACAGAAGTTCCTCATTATCCCCACTGCCGACGATGTTATTATCGGACAAGAATGGTTCATTAAATATCGCGTTGACCTTTTCCCCGCCACGCGAACCATGATCTGGCCTCAAGATCTACCAGCGCTCGCCAAGTATTCGCCCACCGTTACTATTCCATGCTAGACTAGTTTGCTCGACGTACAGGCTCAGGCAGATGCGGTACGTCGCGACCGCCTAATAGCTGAGGACGAAAGGCAAGCGAGGGTCACCAAGATTATCCAGCGCCCTTTGAGAACGATAAATCCAGTTTTAGCGCCCATCGCCCTTTCTAGCCCCAGAGACCAGGACAAGTCCCCCGTGGTCAATATTGCAGCTCTCTGTAGGCAAGTGGAAAATGACCCCCGGCAACCTAGATGGGCTTGACAGAACATGCCTGATACACCTATTTCTTTGAACGTCGTTGCGCCTCGTCCAAACTGGCAGAGCCACGACGGACAGCCGATTCCTTTCCCTGCCGGCGAAGATTCCGAACACGTCAAAAGAGTTCGCGATAAACTCCCAAAGGAGCTCGCCCATCTCGAAGGCTTCTTCTCCAAGAAAGCTTCGACCGAGCTGCCGCCGAGCCGTGAAGGGTTCGACGTAACCCTAGACTTGGACCGACCTTTGGAAGGGAAGCCCAAGAGGTTCTATACACCCGGTCACCTTCTCCCTCTGGAAAAAGAGACGGTAGACGAGCTTCTACGGATTGGATTCGTGGAACCCTGTATGGAGGAGACAGCCGCTTCGACGCTATTTGTACCAAAGAAGGGTACCGAGGAGAAACGTTTCTGTGTGGATTACCGATGGGTCAACCAGTTCCTGAAAGGACGCCAGTTCCTCGCACCCGATATCCAAGGAACGCTTTCCAACTGCCGTAACGCCCGCCGCCTGACCAAGATCGATATTATCCGAGCTTTTAATCGTCTACTAGTCCACCCCGACTTAAGATTCTTGACGGCCTTCAAGACCCGCCAAGGAACCTTCCAGTGGAAAGTCCTACCGTTTGGACTCAAAGTCGACCCTGCTTGGTGGCAAGCCTTCAACGCTCAGCTGAACGAGCTCCTAGACAACTTTGCCAGCGCCTACGCCGACGACGTTCTCATCTATACTCAGGAGAACGAGCCACACTTCGCACACGTGGAGGAGGCCATCTATCGTTTGTATAAGGCTGGTCTACAGGGAGACATCAAGAAGTCTAGCTTTGACGTGGAAGTCATTGACTACCTAGGGTTAGTCCTCGAAGCTGAGAAGGGCGTACGTATCGACCCGGAGAAGATCAAGGCCATCCAGAGCTGGAAGTTTGAGGACCTACGTTCTATACGCGCCGTCAAGTCCTTTTTGGGCTTGTGCAGCTATGTCCGAGTCTTCTGCCACCACTCTAGCGATGCCGCCGAGCCCCTGTCCAAGCTATTGAGGAAAGGTAGTGAATTTATAATGGGACCCGAGCAACAAGCGGCCTTTGAGAAACTGAAGAAGCTGGCCACCGAGGCCTCAGTCCTCGCCTTCTTCGTCCCCGGCCGCCCGACGCGAGTGGAAACGGATTCTTCACGCAACGCCACTGGAGGCGTGATCATGCAACAACAGCCCGACGGAGTCTGGAGACCCGTGGGCTACTCGTCAAAGAACATGACTCCGGCCGAACGTGCGTATCCGATCCAGGATCAAGAGTTGCTCGCCGTGGTTAACTGTTTCAAGGATAATGAACCTTCTCTTCTCGGCCAGGAGTTCTTCGTGGTCACGGATCATAAAGCCTTGATCTACTGGTCTACTAAGCGGTTGCTGTCAACCCGTCAGGTCCGATGGTCCGATTTCCTAGGCCAGTTTGATATCACCTTCCAGTACCGCCCGGGACAAGAAAACGTGGTTGCCGACGCTCTATCACGTAAGACCGTCGACTCGCCTACGGTTAAGGCACGAGAGGAGGAAGATCGAACGTTCCCTTTGATCCCAGTGGAACGTATCCAACCAGTCCTAGCGCCTATCTCCCGAGCGGTAGTGAATCCGGATATGCCTCGCGGCGCTGACCTGGTAGACCTGATCCAAGAGGAAAACAAGAAGCAGAGTCTGGGCGTGGATAACGGTCGTCTCGTGGTACCGGAAGTCACGTCCGACGGAGCGGTATATCTACGAACGGCCCTAATCGGAGAAGCCCACGAGCCGCCTATCTTCGCACACCCAGGCCAGAACAAGACTATCGCGCTCCTCAAGAAAGACCTTTGGTGGAGTACCCTCCGACGGGATGTCAAGAGGTATATCAAGAACTGCCGAAGCTGCCAGAGGAACAAGACCCGTCATGAGAAGACCCCGGGCCTCTTACACCCTCTGGAGGTGCCGAATGAAGTCTGGAGCCAGGTAGTCGTCGACGGAAAAGATATGCCGAAGGATCGTCACGGCTACGACTACGTTTGGGCCTTTATTTGCAAGTTCAGCAAGATAATGGCTACGCTCCCTGGACACAGGAACGATACCGCACCGGATCTGGCGAAGCGCTACTTCCACAAGGTATACCGTTTCTTTGGTATCCTGGCGGTCTGGATTAGCGATAATGCAGGACCGTTTATCTCGGAATTTCTGGAAACAATTAATAAGCTGACCGGGACCAAACACCGTCACGGCAGCTCTCGCCACCCACAGACGCAAGGCGCCGTGGAGATCACCAACGCGGATCTAGACCAACGAATGAGGCCTTACCTTACCAAGTACCAAGACACCTGGAGCGAGTACCTACCGGCACTCGACTTCGCCCATAATGTGTCCTAGCATTTGAGCATCGGCATGGCCCCGTTAAAGGTCGCGTTGGGAGCCACCCCACGGAACCCCCTCTATATTGATATCCTAGACCTCGATACCTCGACCGACCCGTAAAAGAAAGCATTACAGCTCGTCACCCAGACCAAAGCGGTACAAGACCTAGCAAGGAAGAATGCCTTAGAAGCTCAAGCGGCCCAAGCCGTCCAAGCGAACAAGAAGCGACGTCCCGTCGACTTCACTATTGGAGACTTGGTATACGTGAGCAAGAAGGGTATGAGGACAGAGGCCCCGAGTACGAAGTTGGATTCACAGTGGGCAGGACCGTGGAAGATCGTGGAGGAACGAGGACATAGCTTTGTGCTGGATACTCCGCCCTATGTCAAAGGCACGAACCTCTTCCATGCAGATCGGCTACGTAAGGCTAATGACAGTCCCCTACCCCAACAGGCCAGCTTACCGGAACCACCTGAGGAGATCAACGGGGAGCCAGAGTGGGAAGTTGAGAGGATTAATGCCTCTCGACTGTTTGGCCAACGAGAGACCCTACAATACCAAGTTGCCTGGAAGGGGCACGACCCCGACGATACTTGGTATAAGGCAGAGAATCTCAAGAATGCAGCTATGGCGCTAGATAGTTTTCATCGAGAATACCCCGAGGCCGCAGGACCTCTAGTGAGGCTGCGTGATTGGATAAAGGCAGCAGCAGAAGACGAATATCCTGAGGACCACGAAGAGGACAACAAGGCAGAGCACAAAGGGTATAAGGCAAGGCAAAAGAGGAAGTATACTAGAAGGCACGCTTAAATCCGATCTTCAAAGCCACGACCACCGTCTGACGGCAGCCGCGGCTTGGAGGGGGGTAGTGTGAGGGTTTGGCCTTCCGGACCCTCCCAAATGCACTGACCAATCAGATGCCAGCTAGAGGGATCCACCCGACTGCCCAATTAGCTCGACCAGAGCCCCACCTCGAGACGCCCTGGAAGAGTCTCGCGAGGGGAGGAGGCTTTTGAGCTTCTTTTTCCTTTTCCCTTTAGTTTAGAATCTTCGTCTATAGCGCCCAATAGAGGAGTTCCGCCCTCATTCCAAGCCGGCCGTGACAGATTCCGTCGATATCAACAGACCCGGAGAGGGCATTCAGCGGAGGAAAACTCGTCATTGACACACAGAGACATAGTATGGTTGACGATACCTTCAAAAACATCATGTATTTGAAGAATTAGGTACGAAAATGAGCTTTCCCGGGCTTCAGGTTTTCTTTTCCATCTCAGGGGACCATTTTGAAGACTTTTTACCTATTTGTGGCGGAGCGGAAGATGCCGTCAAACATCACCAAATAAGACCCACTCAATCAAATCGAGCCTGAAGCCAGTCAAATATCCGGTTTTCGTGGTCAACTGCAAACAAATATGGCCTCATATTCGAGTTTTTTGAGTTGTTGCCAGCGCTGGCTTGATTGAAGGTGCTGAGAAATCAACTGGGACCTGACTGGTAATAATGCCCAATTGGTGGGATTTCGGTTTCTCAAGACACAGACGCAGCAGCCCATTCGGTATGTAAAATGTGCATGTGAAAGCCAGGCTGGCCCGTCTAGTTTGCGAAGTGCAATGATGCCCGAGGCGGCAACGCCATGATGTTTCCCGGAATGAATCAAGAAAGAGCCGATGATGGAACCGTGGATCGAACCAGGAGACGACAGCGGTCAAGCAGCAAGTGTAAAACCCTAACCCTAGATCTAGTGCATCATGCAGCAACATCCTAGCTCAGCTCCCGCAGCCTCCCCGCACTTTCTCTTCCACCCGCACCCCAACTGCCCAACAAGAAACATGCGGGGAAGTCAAGGAGGTGTGTGTGGTGGGTGGCAGGTGACCAACAACATTCGTCGTCAGCCGCCGTCGCCGCCGCAGACGTTGCGACAGACAGCTCGGTTTCGAGAAAACAGATATATTCTGGTAATTCCATTGCGCACTCTTCTCCTACCTCTTGCTGCTGCTTGTTGTGACAACGATAAATTCTAATTGGTTTTCTGACCCTGCCCTGCTTCTCCGTCAAGTGGGTTGATTCCCCGTCATCTGCAGCCAATTGCCAGCTCCATATTTCCATCGTGAAAGTCACTGGGTATTTTGTCCATCGAGGTTGTATCCAATGTCAGCGGGAAACACGGCCCTGGGTCCTGGGCCCAGGCCTGGCCCTTTAGGAGAGGTTCATATCCACCCGCAGTCGACGCCAGACTGGAACAACCTCAAGGTCATCCATCGGAACACGCTTCCGCCTCGCAGCCACTTCTTTCTGTACGAAAACGCCGAGGATGCCCTCTCCCGCGATGTGTCTCGGTCCAAGAGCCAGCTTCTCTCCAGCGACTGGTGGCGCTTCAGTCTTTCCAAGTCCCCCTTCGAGGGCGATACCGACTTCTATACCCGGTCCTTTTCCAGCCTGCTTTCCGATCCTAGCTGGAGCAGGGCCACTGTCCCTAGCATGTGGCAGCGCGAGGGCTTTGGGAAGGGCCCGCAGTATACCAACATCAACTTTCCCTTTCCCGTCGACCCGCCTCGTGTCCCCATTGATGACAACGAGTGCGGCCGCTATGTGACGCGTTTTGAGCTCGGCCCCCATGACCAGGACCACCAGCTGAGGCTGCGCTTTGAGGGCGTTGACTCGGCTTTTACCGTATGGGTCAACGACCACCAGGTCGGCTATTCCCAGGGATCACGGAATCCAAGCGAGTTTGATATCACCAGTTTCGTCAATTTTGACGAGCCCAACCTGCTGTACGTCGAGGTCTACCAGCGATGCGATGGGAGTTATATAGAGGATCAAGTACGTTCATTCCCATGGTTGTCATGCTTCCCTTATCAATGCGCGAGAAAGGACTTACCCATGATAGGACCAATGGTGGCTAAGCGGAATCTTTCGAGACGTCTGGCTACACAAGTTCCCAAAAACTCATTTCGAGGACGTGCACGTGCAAACCATCTTAGACGATGACTACAATGACGCGAAGCTGCGCGTCGATGTTCAACTCAGCAATGACGCCAACGTCAAGTTACGGCTTCTGGATTCCGGGGGCGATGAGGTTGCCAGCGGAACCAAGTTAGGGAAGGGGACCTTGACTTTTGTACTGCCCATAAAAAACCCTCGCAAGTGGACGGCCGAAACCCCCTATCTCTACAAGCTGGTTCTGGAAATTCCGGGCTGCGCGCTGGCCGAAAGGGTGGGCTTCCGCCGCACCGAGCTTATTGACGGTGTTTTTAGCGTCAATGGGAAACCCGTCAAACTCAGGGGCGTCAACAGACATGAGCACCATCCAGATGGGGGACGGACGGTGCCATTTGAGTTTCTCAAACATGACCTCTTGCTCATGAAAAAGCACAACATCAACGCGATCCGGACGTCTCACTACATCAATGACCCCCGCCTCTACGAGCTCGCCGACGAGCTGGGGCTGTGGATCCTGGACGAGTGCGATCTCGAGTGCCACGGCTTGTTTGTCGTGGGGGGTAATGGTACAGGATTTGCCTCTGACAACCCCGACTGGGAAGAGGCGTATGTAGATCGCGCGCGCCAGATGGTCATGCGCGACTTCAACCGCCCGAGCATCATTCTGTGGTCCCTGGGGAACGAGTCCGGCCACGGCCGCAACCACGCCGCCATGTACAAGTTCATCAAGAGCGTCGATACGAGCCGTCTCATCCACTACGAGGCCGACTGGAATGCCGAGTCGGCAGACATCATCAGCAGGATGTACTTTTCCGCCGGCGACATGGAGGGCTTCGGAAAGGAGCGTTCCTGGGACAAGCCCGTCGTCTTGTGCGAGTACGTCCATGCCATGGGGAATGGCCCCGGTGCCATCAAGGAGTACATCGATATGTTTTACAAGTATCCTCGCCTGATGGGAGGTTTTGTATGGGAGTGGGCAAACCACGTAGGTTTTTTTTTTTTTATTTCTTGTTTACCGTCGTAAACTTTGCAAGGTGCCCTGCAATCTTCAGTCGCTGACATACTCCCAGGGACTGAGGACAAAGACTGCCGACGGTATAGAGTACTTTGGGTACGGCGGTGATTTTGGAGACGACCCAAACGACTACAATTTTGTGTTGGATGGGCTTTGCTTTTCGGACCACACACCGACACCTGGTTTGACCGAGTACAAAAAAGCCATCGAGCCGGTCCAGACCTGCGGAGTCGAGGGCGGCGACAGGGTGCGCATCGTTAATAGATACGACTTTATCAGCCTCGAACATCTCACTGCCAGATGGAGCATTGTCGCAGACGGTCTGGAGATTCCGGGCGGTAAAGTGGAAATTCCAAAAGGTAGCACAGTTCGCTCAAGTTTACTCAGCACTGCTCCTCGCTGACCCGAGTCTACAGATATTGAGCCCCACGCCGAGGCGCTGTTGACGATCAAGGGACTTCCAAAGACTTACCCACCAGATTCTCACCTGAATCTAGAGTTTACCCTTGGCAAGCAGACGAACTGGGCTGAAGCTGGCCACCTCATCGCCACCGGCCAAGTTCAGCTTTCGCCGCCGTCAAGCCTGCAATTTCTACATGAACTCGGCGCACCTGAGGGAAAAAGGCCAACGGCAACGCTTGTCAACCCAACTCTGTTGTCAATATCGGGCAGCGAAGGGTCGCGATGGGAATTCGACCTTGCAACAGGCTCGCTGTGCACCTGGACGCGCGCCGGCCGGGGCTCAAAGTCAAACGTCCTCACGGAGCCGCTGAGGTTCGACCTGTACCGGGCACAGACGGACAACGACCACGGCTGCGACTTTGGGCGCAACTGGGACGACCGACGGCTGCACCAGGCCAAAGACCACGTGGTGCAGGTAGCGTGGCAGCAAAAGGCCGACGACGGCGTCGTCGAGATCACAGTGCGCAGCCGCATCGCACCGCCCGTGCTCAACTGGTCGCTCGAGACGACGGCCGTCTACCGCTTCACGGGCGACCGCATCGCGATCCGCGTGCGCGGCAAGCCCACCGGCAACCTGCTCCCGCGGGCTTGGGCGCGCTTCGGCCTCGCCACGGCCCTCGCCGGCTGCGCGCGCGCGCGCTGGTTCGGCCGCGGGCCCGGCGAGAGCTACCGCGACAAGAAGCTCAGCCAGCGCGTCGGCACCTGGGACGCGCCCGCCGCCGACCTAGCTACCGACTACGAGTTCCCGCAGGACAACGGCAACCGCACCGATGTGCGCTGGGTCGAGTTTCTCGGGGGCGCTGACGAGTCACTGCTGCTGCTGCGCGCGCGCTACGGCGACCTGGACGGCGCCAGCTTCCAGGCCCTGCCCTACACTGCGCGCGACCTCCAGGAGAGCAAGCACCCGTTCGAGCTGGCGCGGCGCGGGCGCGACGACACGGTCGTCCATCTGGACTGGATGCACCACGGCCTCGGGACAGGGTCGTGCGGGCCGGAGACGTTGCCGCAGTACACGCTGGATGCGTGGCGTGAGTTTGATGTCAGCATCATTTTGGAGTAGGGAGGCGTGGAAGAACATGACGGCAGAGAGGCCAGGTATTTTTTACGTGTCGCTTGCTTAAGAACTGAATTCTTATGCTATTTTGAGGGTGTATTTCGAAAGCAACGTATTGTATTTTCCTTGCATGAAAGTACATTGGCATTGAGGAATATATACGATATTCCCCAGAAAAACAGCTTGATGGTATAAACTCTCATTTGAACACCCATCCACGCCCTAAATCCCAGCGCCCGTCAAGAGTTTACTTGAAGGAGAGAGCATACGCTATGATCGTAAATAAAAAAAAAACCGGGTAGGTAGGCAGGTAGGTAGTGATACAGCCCCGTCTCTCGTCCTCAGTCCGTTCTGAAAATCCAAATGTGATGTGAACCCCAAACACCATTCCAAACCAAAGATGCAACACCGCCAGTGTATGATAGGTATATATATTTCCCCCTCCTAAGTGGAAAGAAAAAAGGGGGGGGGGGGGGAGGTTTCGACGCCGTTCCCAAACTCCTTGACATGACCGTACCTAGTTAACGCTTGAACGCGACCTAATCACTGACCAACCAATAACCAATAAACAATATTGTTTCTTAAAAGTAAATAAAAGAAAGACAAAAATATGCTAGATGCTGAAAAAGTTGAAGCAGGAGAAATGAACGCAAAATAAACCAGATAAAGCAAGTAAAGCACAGCCATGCAATTCGCGTGAACGTGTGCGCAATGTAGTGCAGTGCAATGCAATGTGCATGTGTATCCTTTTTATTCCACTTTGAACCAATAAACAAGGGGAAAATACACATTACGTGAATAGGGCATATTTAAGGGCCGATGAATGACAAGGAGAGCGGCAAGAGTAATGATGGCGACGGGGCTGGTAGTAATTATGGTTGTGCTTGACAAGAATGCGGCGTTTCTAACGCCCTCCACCATTGCCGCCACCGCCAACCCCGAATTTATGGGCCCATCTGGTCAACCTCGAGCGAATGCCTCTTCCCTCCACGTGTTGGGCCTTCTCATTTCCTCCCCCGTTGCTGCTGCTGTTGATGCTGCTGCTGAGAGCAGGGGTGGCGGTGGCTGGCGTTGTGCCTTGTTTAGGTGGTGAGTATGCGGCCTCCGTCGGTGGGAGTGGTGGTGTGGATGGCCCCTTGTTAGGCGGGAAAGAAGCTGTTGCTGCCGACATTGGCGGCGAATCAGCCTTTGCGCCGAACACGCGCGGAGCCGAAAAGCTCCTCCGCTTGCCGCTGCGGTCGGGCGACTCCTCGGACTCGGATGTCGTCTGCATGATCCGGCGTTGCATGAATGCGGCGCCGGTGCTGGTGGCGCGGCGTTGGATGGGCCGTGGGGTGAAGGGTGCCGGGGATGTGAGAGCAGGGGTGTATGAGCCTTGCGTACCCGGCTGTAAAGGCAGGGAATACCGCTTCTTGACACCGAGCTCAGGCACTGTTTCCGTCTCGGATAGTTGGGGCGTCTCGCCGCCCGCGCTGGGTCGGCTCATGCTACCCCGCCTGCTGGCCCGTCGCGGCGAGCACACCTGCGGCGATTGAGCTTCGCCGTGGTAGTATCCATGTCCGTTGCCGGACTTATAGGTGGGAGACCACCCAGAACGCAGCGCTACCCACATGGCTGTCACGGCGATGAGCATCTTTGTCACATCGTCGATGTTGTGCACGGTTCGCTCATATTCGGGTTCCGCCGGAGTCATGGGCAGTCCAGAATCGCTTTCATAGTCTGCTGTCGAGCCTTGAGACAGCCGCTGAGGCAGCCGCTGAGAGGCCGCGCCGTTCGAAGCGCCTTGTATTGATGTCACAGCTGTCATTGAGAGGGGGCGGCCACCGGTTCTGATTGCAGGCGGATACCGGCCATAAGATGAAGAAACTGACGTGTAAGTGTCCTGAACCTCGAGAGTAGAATGTGTTAGAGTTGCCATGACGGGATGGCGACGTGACAGAGGATTGATAACGCTGAATGTGAAGCGGGAGTCCGGCACGCTCGCAGCTGGTTTTGTTGCGGCCCCGCCGCCATCTACAGATGCGCCACACGATGAGGCAGCCTGCGCACTCCTCCGAGCCCAGCGAGCCGTCGTTGTCTCGCCTTCGGCGCTGATGCTGACGAAATCGTACGACCCGTTCGCAAGTGGCCGGGCTAACCAGACTGACCCGTCATCCAGCACAATCTCGGCGTCGTCCGAGTGCTTTAGAGGGCTATAGACCGCCACCAACCTCCTCTTCTCCAAATCTTCGTCGCCGTCGTCTTCGCCATCGAGTATGGAGTCGTTATCATCCCTCCGCACGAGAACGAGATCGTCATATCCAAGCTGCCGCTTGACACCAAATATCCCTGGGAATCGCTTGGCCAGACGGGGCGCTATCACAGGGCCGGCAATTCGCGACGAGGGAAAAATCTCGAGTATAGGGCGCGAACGTCCGTCTTCAGACATTTTTTGGAGCTGCAGCAATAGGCGGGGCAGAACCTTTTGGATGACTTTGGTCTTGCCTAGTATCTTGGGGGTAGGATATCCAAGGAAATACATGACGCTCTTGCGCTGTACGCGGCGTCTGCTGCGGCGGCGGCGAGCGGACCCCCCTATTGTGCCATCAACGGACATGGTAGTATCGCTGAGCTCGGACTCGGAGACCACATCGTCGGGCATCACGGGCACGTGGATATCTTTCACCTCGGGCTGACGAAAGCGAACAACGGACTCTGTCGCCCGGGGTATGTACTCTGACGCCGGCCGAGTTCGGAGGGCGGGTGCCGGCGCAGGCTGACCATCGACAGGCGCGGTGCTCACACGGGTCTTGGGGGGCCCAAGGGCGGATAAGAGAGGAGACCGTAGGTTGTGAGCTGGTTGAGGGGGGGAGGAGATTGGAGGGCGGTTGGAGTATTCATGGCCATGAAGACTCGCTCCCGAATGGAGAAACATGCCTCAACGAGGGCCCGCGGGACGAGCTCCGAAGGCTGGTGAGGTAAAGGAAACAACGATTGGGATGCGGAGCCCAGGTGATAGACGGATCGGCAAGAAGATTAAAGTCGTGGCAGAAAGCGCGAAGGACCAGCTTCGTTCCGCCTCGGTTCGAGTCTTTGAAGGACCCGGCTTTTTGAAGTTGGGGGGCTCGGGAAGGGAGGCGGAACAACAGCGCTGCCACCCGACCTGGTTGTTTGGCTATTTGATTATTTGGTGGTGGTCAACTTGTGTCGGGTGGGAATGCGATCGACAAACAGACAGCCCTTGGTGGGCTTATGGGGCTATTTTGGCCCAGTGGCAATTGCCGGACAAGGCGCCTCAAGGCCGTCGAAGGACTTAGAAGGTTGCCATGAATCGGTCGTGAATTATAATGTAGCCTGGTGGGTACGTAAGCTGGGGGGTTTGGTTGTTGGCGGGATCTGCGAGCCGGGCGTAACGGAGCTCTCCGAGTGGATGCGGTCACACGACGCCAAAGCTGCACTTTCTTCTTGGTCCAAATAGAGCCGACGCGGGTGAGGAATTAATCAGAAATGTCTCGGTCGTGATCGGATGAGGCCGGCGTACAATGGATATCGCAATCTGTCGTCCGTGTGTCGTGGGGTTGTAAAAGAGTGTAGCGAAGAGAACGACGGGAGAGGTTGTTGGTGTTCTGTTCAGCATATACAGCTGCAAGACGAATATCGAAATAAGGGTGGAAGAGCGGCAGAAAGGAGATGGAAGCCAAGCTCAATTTATTTGGCCGACGAATCCGTAAGCCCAGGCTGGAAGGGAGACAGGGTGTTGGCGCAAAGGCCAACTAAATGGTCGCCAATGGGAGGCCAGCCGGTGAACGTATGGCGGACGCCTGAGCGACCCCTCGATGCCCACGGGCGAGTGACTTCGTGGCCCAGCACTCAGCACCCAGCAAGCCTCCTTGCCTTGCCTTGTGGTCGGTGGAGCCTGGCGGCTTGTTAGTGCGCAGTAGTTCAGCACGCTTAGCCTGCGAGGTGCTCCTGCCCTTGGTTAAGGTAGGGAGGGTATGGATGGTGAGGTAGGGGGGAGGGGGAGGCGCGGCCGCGGCAGATCCTGGCAGCTGGAACGGTGGAGCACTTGTCAATCAGGCGCCGATGATTTAGGACTGGGATAATGGATACCCTACCTACCTACGGAACAATCCGACGCGGTAGGCCAGAACGACTGACTAGACGGGAACAATTGCCAAAATGCACCTCCAACTTGGGAGGTAATCATCAAAATAGGCACCTCGCACTCGCATTCGTTCTCCCAGCTGGTTTCCGAAAGTGCCACGCGGTACCCTGCTTGCAACGACCAAAAGGATGACCAGCAGAACCTCAATGACGCTGGCTTGAGGATCGGGCTTGGCGTCGCGACCAGAGTTACTCTGAGCAGATAGATACCTTGCAAGACAGTGACCGAGCCGGCACCTTATATCACAGGAAGATCTCGGCAACAGGGCCGAGTGGGTTCGATGGAGACGTTAGAAGACCGAAATATTTTCAGTAGGGGTTCTTTAGGCGGTTTTGAGGCGCCGAAAGACAGCCAAAGCCCTGAGAGAAATCCCGAGGGGTGGAGCTACCTTCAGCCTCGGCTGAGGGAGAAAACCACACAACAGAAAAAAATCGGTCTGAATGCTTGGCTGGTTCTTGTGATGTTTTTGAAACTACAGGGAGACGGCGGTGAGGAGAGTGGGGATTGATTGTTGGGTTTGTTTGCGAAACCAATGACCTGAAGAACCACCACGCCTTGGGTCGTGGCGGAGGGTCGGCGCTGTCGAGGCGGTCACGTATCTGGGTCCTCGAGCCAAGACCTAGGTCTTATTGCTGTGGTTGGGCCGTGGTGTAGATCAATGGGCAGATAAATAGGCCATCAAACTTCATACGTCGAGGAGTGCAAACTGCTATTATGTATCATGTATGTGGGTTAATTGAAGTCACGGCCGGCAGTCTTCTCTTTGTCCCGGCATGTTCGGCTTCGATGATGTCTTTTCGATGCGCGAAAAAAGAGAGACCGTGATCGAGTGAAGTACCTAAGAAAGGTTTAGGTCGTCTATGATCGCTCGCTTGTTGCTCATTCATTCGTCAGTACACGTAGATCCGCAGGTTTGCTGGCTTGCTTTTGTGCTTGATGACTTGATATCTTGCCATGATCCATCCGTTGGTCTCGCCTTGGCGCGCCAAATGTGTCCTGGTCGGCCTGCAGGGGTGTTGAGTGTGTCACCGCGCCGCCTCCGACCCAGGTCTACCCCTCCACCCCTCGCCCGAATCGGGGCGAATGGGAAACCCGAAGCCCGTCGGATCGGACGCCGGAGGTTTTTTGCGCCATCCGCGAGCGTGCCTGACTAATTCAAGCCTGCTGGCCAGACCGTCAGAAATTTGGTGTTTAGCTTGCATGCTGGCGAGTTGCGACCGCCTCAATTCAGATCCCGCGCGGGTGCTTTTCTCATCAATTCCGTAGTTCGAATTGCCGCTGACACCCCAATCCGTGCGTTTCTGGGTTTGACTACCAACGCTACTAGACGGGCAGTTAATCGTGTCATGCCGTTGGTACCAGGCTGTCTAGCTGTCAGCTGATGGCTGTGCGCTCGAGCAATCATATCAGGCCAGGCGTAGGATTTACTGCTGGGTTTGTGTGATTCCGAAGATGATTGACCGGATTACCCCATGACGGTAATCCATGGCGATAGGGCTGATAGGTAATCCTGAAAGTGCTGCGAGGGCGCGGCTAGGGATCGTTATTTGCTGTGCCCATGTACATACTTCGTACAGACGAGACAAACGTAATCCGCAATTACGCCTAAATGACTCCATACTCCGCTGGTCTTGGCAGCTTATTGCAGTTCTCAAGTTTGCAGTCTCGTCGAGGTTGTTGAAACTATTCGTGGATGTACTACGTATACTGTCTACGTTTTAGCTATCAGAAGCACTCCAATACCGTAAGGCAGGTAGTCTCGGTGCCATACTTGGAGGAATGCAAAGGAGGATCGCGATTGGGTGCGAAAGACAAAACCTCACAGGTATCGGGACAAGTGTCGGCTGATGCGCGTTTCTGGAAATTGAAACACGCTCCCACCCAATTGCAACCCATGCAAACTCCGCAGCACTTTGCAGCTCCCACAAAGTTATAACAAAGTTACAACCACGTGCGGAGGTGTTTTTGGAGCCCAACTCACCAACTGCATTCGCCAATTCCACTTGACGAAGGGAAGGGGTGCTCTCATGACTGTTCCAGTGGGAACTCCGCCTGCAACATGGAAGTCCGCCCTGCAGCGTTGGCTCTGCTGCCGCTACAACTGTTGATAATCGGGAACGTTTGTTTGGTGGTTTCGAGACGGCGGGGGGGGGGGGGGGGGGGGGGGGGGGGGACCCCGGAAACAAAATGTTATGTACCTAGGTACGTACTCACCGTTCCGCTAACGGCGGGAGACGGCGGAGGGGGCCACCCACGCCGAGTGACAGAACAAGCTAAAAGTTACATGCAACAACCCGGTGCATCCCGATGCGCGTCGCACAACGTCCATCAATCCGAACCACGACGAGCAGGCCAGGCCAGGCCAGAGAGACCAGACCAGACCGGACCACGACGCGACCCCTGACCTAGCCAAGCAACCTAAATAGTTATTTTCAAAATTAGAAACAGGACGAAAACCGGAAGATCCAGTCCAGTACTGTACAGAATTATCCAGTCAGAAAGCCCGGGTCGTACATACCATACCCACCAGTCGTCGTGGTCGTCTGGTTAGGTTGCGGTTCCTACCAATGACCTGAGGTGTGACCGCCGCGATGCCTCACCTTACCAACGCCGACGACAATATCAACAACGCCGCCAACAAGACGAACAGCAAAGACAGTCGCAAGGCTCACAGCAACAAGAAGCAAAGTATCAGCATCGGCCCCTCTCTGGTCCTGATAGCGGTCTTTGTCTCCTGGAAGATCTTCCTCTTCGCCATCGCGGCCGGCAGCTACGTCGTCGGCAATGCCTATGACACCTCTGGGAGCCTCGCACTGCTGGGGACCACCAATTCTGGCCCCGACCTCGGCAAAAACAGCACTGGTATCCACAGTCTCACCCTCGCCGGCAGGCTGACTGCGCGGCTGACCAGCTGGGATGCCATCTATTTTGTCAGCGTTGCCCATCGCGGCTACCGCTTCGAGCAGGAGTGGGCTTTTGGTACCGGCCTGCCTCTAACCATTCGAGCTATCGTACAAGGTGAGGTTTTTTCTTTCTTTCCCTCCTCTATGGCGCGTTATTTTCTATCTTGTCGCCAAGACGCAAGCTTGAACGTGACCGATCGATGATGACTTGTTTGTCCTCGTTGCTGTGCCTGCCCGCTTGACACCCCCTACCCACACAACACACAACTCGTACCTCAGACCCCCCCGCATATCATCTCCATTCCGGTCTATCCCCACCATCGTCCAACAAGAAACCAGTCCAAACACCGCTGACTTCATTATCATAAGCTCTGACTAGACTTGGCTTCCTCGGCCGGCAGCATGCCGCCCTCGGGTTCCCTGGGGGTGTGCGAGGCGATGTTGCTCTTACCAATGGCCAACTGCTGCCAGAGGTTATAGTAGGGGTGGTCCTCGCCAACACGGCTCACCTGCTATCGGTGCTCGTGCTGTTTCGTCTGGGCCTGCTGATCTGGCGCGACCGGACGTTCGCCCTGGTGGCCGCCCTCCTTCATGTTTTGTCGCCCGCAGGCCTGTTCCTGTCGGCCCCCTACGCCGAGAGCCTCTGCTCCCTGCTGTCCTTCACAGGCTATCTGCTGTATGCTAAGAGCTGTCGTGTCTCGGACGAGGCATCATCGCCAGCAGCCGCGGCCGGGGGTTTCCGAGGGGACGCCTACGTGGTGCTGGCCGGTGTCGCCTTTGGCCTCGCGACCGCCTTTCGCAGCAATGCCATCTTGAACGGCATCCCCTTTGCTTGGGAAGTGGTGCAGCTCTTGCTCGCACTGCTGCTCCGCCGTCCGTCCGAAACCGTGCTGCCACTGGCGCGCCGGCTTCTCGCGTTGGGCGTCGGTGGCGTCTGTGTGGCCGCTGGCTCGCTTGTTCCCCAGGTTGTGGCGTACCTGCGCTTCTGCTCTCTTGCTTCCGGCGCTTCCGGTAGCGCGGTAGACCCACCTCCTTGGTGCCATGCCTATCCTCCCAGTATCTACACCTTTGTCCAGAAGCACTATTGGTACGTATGGTGCGGTGCGGTAGGCCTGATGACTCGATTCTACACCAAACTGAAGATCTCTAGCCCCCTCTTTCTCACTCTTTCTCACTCAACTATGCATCACGCAGCCATTGATTGGAGTTCGATTGCTGCACCACAATGAACGAAAGATTACTGAACACCTACTGACACTTGTTTCGGCGCTTCGCGCAATTAGGAACACTGGTTTTCTCCGCTACTGGAATCTCCCGAATGTCCCGCTGTTCCTGCTAGCTGCCCCCATGATCGTGGTCCTCACCAGATCTGGACTGGACCAGTTCCTATCACCATCGCCATTACCGGCGCGATCGCTTCCGGCAGTCGGTCCTCGGAAGTTGTCTACTAGCGAGAAGACACCTGCCGACGCCCTCCTCCACTCTGCGCGCTTGACCACCCTCGTTCGCTCCGCTGCAGCTGCCCAGCTCGTGCTCGCCGTGCTCGCCGTCCTCATGTACCACGTGCAAATCATCACGCGTATATCGTCGAGCTACCCGCTTTGGTACTGGTGGCTGGCGGGTGCCTTGATGCGCGGCGACAAGGCTGGCAGTCAGACTGTCATGTTTATGGTTACCTATGCCGCGGTCCAAGGGGCTCTGTTTACCTCGTTCTTGCCACCGGCATAAAGGGGTCCAGAGTTCCGAGGCAATCTGGCATATATAATGTAAGTATGTACACACATTTGTGATGAGGATATTGTCTAGATTGCTCTCTGCATACACGTGTTAGACACGGAAGGTTTATATATTACAAATTAACATTCTAGAACTCCTATCTACTAGTTTCCTGCTTCAGCCTGTTCATCTCTGCACGTACACCATGACTCCATTCTATGCATGCATGCTTTCTTTCCCTACTGTCCCTTTCCGTGTCCTTTTCTAGTGTCTTTTCCCAGTGGCAATTGACGGAAGTGCTTTTGGTAAAAACTGCAAGGGGTATCTCTAATAACCAAAAAGAAAAAAAGAAAAGAAAGGCCAATAGTTCCTAATAACTCCGATCCGTCACCCTTTATGTAACCGCCTATTCAACGCTGGATGCTATATGCTGTGTGTATGATGCTTGCTTGGCGTGGATATTGGTGAGTGAGTGTGAAAAGCTAATTCGGCGATAGGTGTTGGTGAGTGGATGTGAGAGGATAGTTCGGCCACATAAGAGGTTGTGAGCCGGCTGGGTGGGTGGGGGTTTTCCCCTCCCCCTTTTCTGTTCCCCCTAGAGCCGAAAAAGACACATCACCCCCTGCTTCAGTTTTCTCCAGGCTCATTGCACGACCTGCCTGGGCGTCACGAGTACTTCGTTAGTACGCAGAGCCCAGCCGGCGCGGGCGAGCCAGAACAGGGCAAACGGCGGGGTCGTCAGCAGCGAGAGCAAGCCTCCCAGGATGAGCTTGAAGACCTGGGGCACCCAGGTCTTGTCGTAGACCCAGTCGCCGCCCGAGCGGGTGCCGAAGGCCGTTAAGACGCCGACCGATATGGGCCACAGCAGGGCGAAGCTAGGCACTGCCACCAACAAGGCGCGCAGGACCTGAGACGCCATGAAGCCCAGCCAGTGCGCCGCGGATCCCGGACGCGCCGTCTCCGTCTTCCGGTCCAGGAACAAAAACCACCGCGCTGGTCGCCACTCGGGCGGCTGCAGGAACCCCACGGGCGCTACCGCCCCCTTGGCCAAGTCCCGGTTCACAAGCACCAGCTCGATCAGCCACGTGATGATGCACTGCACGATGATGGTCACGGCTGCATCGCCCGCCAGCGTGTTGGGCAGCTGGAAGAGCCGGATCGGGTGCCGCTCTGTATCTTGATTGGTGTACATTGCTACGCGGGTATTAGCCTTTGAGGATGTGAGATATATAAACGGGTGTGAGTGTGTGAAAGTGGGATTGCAAGTGAGAAAGGGGAATCAGTTGCGTGACAGAGAATGAAACACAACAGCACGCGGCGCCAACTAACAGGCATGAGAGAAAGAGAGCAACTCATCGTGAGGCAGAACTCTGACTAACAACGAATCCAGATGTCTCTCGCCACACACCCACCCCACATGAGACAATAAGAGAGAGAAAAAGAGCTCACCATAAGCAATGGCAAAATTAATGCCCCCTGAAAGCACCATGGCACCAATGCCATCGATAATGAAGATGTAGAAAAATTGATGGCGCGTCATGGCGTCGGTGGGTTTTTGCAGAAGCAGCGGTGGCTCTTCCTCGTGGTCGTCATTGTGAGTGGCAACTATGGATGGGGGGGGCTCAGGCCGTACCGTTGCTGACGACGCAACCGACGACACACCCCTCTCGAGATCGCGACCCTGGTCGTCGTCGGTGGCCGCCGGGGTTGCGTCTCCTTCTCCATCGGATACGGGGCCGGCGCCGGCAGTTGTGGCAGCAGACGCTACGAGCGATGCTGGCTCTTGCTCTGGCTCCGTCGCTGGCGCTACCGGCGCCTTGAAGAACGGGTTGCGGCTCCACTTCATGGTGGATAATGGGCGGGCAGTCGGACTGACGGAAAATCTCTTTTCGTTTTTTTTTTTTTTTCGATTCCTTCCCAATGTTCGGTTGGCGGTCAGGCGAGATTATACCCAACTAGATTTGAGCATGCAATTATATCGTGCGTGCGTGCGTTGCGTTTGGCTTGACGCAAGGCGACGTGTGGTGCGCAGTGGCATGCGGCGCCACAAAGTATTCCGTGAGGTGCTGAACCCTAAGTGACGTGAGACAAAGGCAAGGGCAACGCGGTTGCACAAGGAAATGTCAATTGCCTTGGATACCTGGGAGGCGGGCAAGGTATTTCCTTTCTGAAGCTCAACGTGGGGTCTTTGTCTTCAATTAAGCATGAAACCCAACGAAAACCAGTTTTAGGTACCTAATTACCGGATGAGAAATCCCCAGTGGAGGCAATCGAAAAAAAAAAGGGCGTAGGGTAAGCAAGCGATTAAAGCAGGCCCCGAGTTTCAACGGCGGCAGCCAAGACAACAATAAATATTGGACGCACGCAAGCAAGGATTGACGACTCCCGAGAGGGAAATGGAATAAAAAGGAAGAGAAAGAAGAAAGCCAAGAAATTGAAAATCAAAAGCAAAAAGGAAGAGGAAACAATGAGAGCGCGACGTGGTTCGATTAGTGGTCGCCCCAAGGAACCGGAGCGGAAGGAGGCGCGGTTAGTAAGTGACAGTCCGCCGGACCCCTTCAAATTGAATTATTAAATGGAGATCCATCTCGCTTCCCCAGGGCTCCCGCCGCTCGCGGTTCGATTCGGGAAGCTGCTGAGCTTATTCAGTTGCGCTAGCCCCATTCTGACCCTAGCGCATCCGTCATCGTCACCTCGAGATTAAGGCTCGCCATTTACATTGAAAACTCTTCTGCAAGAGTGCTTTGTTAAAGTTATCGATATAGCATGTCAGCCGGGCTGTACATGTGGAGCTTGAGGTTGTGGATCGAACGCAGAGGGAGGTGTTCGGGGACATTGGCACGCCGAAGGCAAGGTAGGTACGGAAAATAATGTTGAATTACATAGGATTTCCAGGAGTCGCTGTTCTGTAATGCGGGCCAGGGGACAGCGGGACACTGGGAGCCTGGGATGTACTTTAGGTATTCCCGTCAAGGAAGCGGCGCCTATAGTCCAATCACGGAATGATAGGTTGTGGGCGCGGCACTTGGCACTTGTGAGGAATAATGAGAATGGATGTATTCTAAGTAGAAAGAAAGGCCTCTAGGATTCTATAGTAGGTGCTCTAAGATCTACGGCCTAAAATGGTCAAACCATATGCACTAGATTTGCTGACGGATTTGCCTGGTGCCTTACCTTGATGCCCCACACTTACCTTACCTGCCTTATCGAACCCCACACTTCTAGCGCTCTTCACCATACCGCCTGACCTGTGGTGAATCCTGCAACAACACCCCCACATTGCATGAGACCTAAAAACTCTGCTTTCCCCTCGACGCTTCTATCAGTTCAGCCGTAGACTGCGCGCTGAACATTGCTTGCTAAACGCTGCTTTTCGGTTTCTTTCCTTGGCTTGGGCGTATTGGGGCACTCGCAGAGTCGACGCCTTGGCCAAGAGCCACCCGCTGCCTTCTTAGGTAGGTACCTTACCTTGACTACCGGAAACAGTCGCCTGCCAGAACCGTGAATTCTCGCCCAAATAACCCGACTCTCTTTCTCAGTTGTTACTGCTGCGTACTACTCCAACACATTCCTTTCCTTCTACGAAGTAAAAAGGGCCTTGCATATTTAAAGATTGAGAAAGAACGATTGTTAACTCTTTTTAGCATCGCCCGAATGTCTAGCTCTTCGCAGTCCGGGAAGCCGGGCCTCGCCAAGCTAGACCTCGATGCACGAGCCTCAGAGCTCAAGCAGAGACTTCTCGAAAGTCGTGGCCAGAGCCAGTCGGCGGCCCGCTTCAACTCTTCTTTGTCTGCCAATGATGCTGCCAGAGTGACTGCCAGTGCGCCTACCCCGTCACGCAGGGCTCAATCTAATACCTCGGCGTCCAAGCTGGGGGAGCAGCCGACCGTCGCTCACTTTGTGCCCCATCAGATACCCCAAAAGCCGCGTCAGATGTCGCTTCGAGCTGATGCGAATGATATTGCAGCACTAATTTCTTCTATATCCGCCAATACCCCTACCGTATCGGCTCGTACTGAGGACAATGGTGCGGCCAAACAGGAGGCCAAACAGCAGGCCAAACAGCCAGTCAACCCACAGCCCAGCTGGAACAAGAATCCCACGACAGGTTCGGCGTCTTCGCACACGGCTTCTCCGAAATCGGCTGCTCCACCATCTCAACCGCGCCGCTCTGCGCCTGAACGTCCGGTACTGACCCTTAAAGTGGACGGCCAACCCCTTGCCCGGGACAATAAAAATCACAACCAACCGAAGCAGTCGTCTTCTTCCACTTATCAAGAGGGCGAGGCCAAGGCAGACCGCCCGAATGGAGACGGGCGTTCGGGCTATGAGACGCCTCTGCCCACCCCGAAGCAAGACACCGCTTTTTCTACAGGTGATATCAGGGAGAACAGAGCTCGACCTGATTCTGCTGGCACGAAATCAAGCGCACAGGTCTACAAGGCAACCGCAACCGGACAGCATAATTCGACCAATAGCAATGGAGCCCGCATAGCCGATAAAATTACCGGAGGAGAGAAACAAGTTCAGAAAATGCCCGTCGCGACAACTAACCATATATCCGCCAGTGAGGCCTTGGAGCGGGCTCTTGAGCTTGATAAAGAGCTCGGCGATTGGCTTGTTCTTACAGACTACTATGATGTTGAGTCTCGCACACGAAAACTCGAACGTCACCGCAAGGTCAAGGCTCTTGCTGCCGAGAAGTTGAGAATTGAAAAACAGGAACAAGAATTGATGGAAGAGGAAATGCTTGAGATGGGCATTCGGCGACCAACCGCCGGCCACTGTATAAACACGATGCCTGGCGCTGTTCAAGGCTATAACAGCCCTAATATCCCCACCACAGTGATCGCAGAGCCTGTGGCGACAGAACTTGCGGCGACAGAACGTACGGGAGCACACTTGAAGGAACAGGCGCCCGCAAAACCAGCAAATATTCTCGACCAGAAGTCACAAATCATTCCGGAAAAGAGATATTATGACGAGACTGGAGATAACGCCCATAAAGAGAAGCAGGCCCGAATGGAAGAAGCACCCACCCGTCCCAAAGAAGTCAATGATGGGTTCGGGGGAGGTAACCAGCGAGAGAGGGATTTGCGTCAAGACTCTCGCCATGAGTTCCGTCACGAGAATCGCAATGAACTCCGCTATGAGCCACGGTCGTCAACGTTTGACAGACGCCCTTCTCGCTTCGGAGGTCATTCCCCGCGTCGATATAATCACCCTCCACCCTATCAGAGCCGGAGCCGGAGCCGGAGCCGGAGCCCACCAAATCGTCCCCGCAATTCCTCGCCTCTACGTATCTCGCGTCCATATGGCCCGCGAGGCCGTCCTGATCATGGCGAATTCCTCGACTCATTTCCCAAGTATGACAGTTACAGAGGAGACGGCGGCCAGTATCCGCCTTTGCCCCGTGAGCTTCGTCAACGCGACAGTGGACAGTTTTCTCCCCCAAGTCACAAAGCCTTGGGTCCAAAGGGAGGTCAGTCCTATCTACCTTCCCGCCGCTACTAGCTCTTTGAGTCCTCTGCCCCATCGAGCCGGCAGAATCGTAAATTTTAGAGTAATGTCAAAAAAGACAGCGGCCCGTAAGGCATTGACTTCACGTCTGACTCCGAGTGGATTGCCGCAAAGACATACGCTGTGCCTTCCGAGCCGCTAGCCTTTGTAGGAACTCAAGATCTTCTCCTATCCTGACAGACTATTTCCGTCAATTGCGCGAACCCGTTTTGAATGCTTGTTAATGTTCTGCCAGACGCTCGGTTCTTCATTGTCAAATCGTTCAACGAAGACAATGTCCTCAAATGCATGGAAGATGTGAGTATATACACTGAGTTCGCCCACCTCAAGAGTACAACCCGTGTTACCTACGTGGTGGGGGTGGGCTGGTCTGCTGTCGTGAGACATGGATGCTAAAAATCCGGTCTACAGGGTGTATGGGCAACGCAGGTACAAAACGGACAAGTCCTCACCAGTGCTTTTGCCAATTGCAGAAACGTCATCTTATTCTTCTCGATAAACAAATCGAAGGCATTCCAGGGATACGTTAGTTCATACCCTTCCGTGTTCACGGTTGGGGCCTCCACTTTGCTCACAACGGACTAAATAGGCACGAATGGCTACTGCCCCTTCTCCAGACACGCCTCGGCCCAAGTGGATGAACGGGATACACTGGGATGTGTCCCCTCCATTCCGAGTCGAGTGGCTGAGCAAAGTGCCATTCGAATTCTTCCGCGCTGGGCATCTCAAAAACCGATATAACGAGTACCTCCCAGTCCTCGTTGGCAAAGACGGCCAGGAGATTGAGGAAGAGTGCGGCCGACAGTTGCTGCTCGAGATGGAGCAGTTTGCCGAGGCCAAGGCTGGCGTGGAAGCGGCTCGCCGCGGAGCCAAGAAACCCATTAAGCGAGGATAGTATGGAACACTGATAGAATCGTGCCCGGTTCCGTGCCCGGTTCCGCCGCGGGTTTGTCCACGACCACAGCCGTCAAAAGCAGATTTATCAAGCCCCTTGACATAACGGCGCCCTAGATCGAGCGAATAAATATATAATTCATAGCAGCCAGACTTGATAGAGCGAGAACCTACTGGCAGCAGTAGTATATACGAAAGTCTCCCAGCCGATTAGGACTCATCTATCGAGAGGTGAGAGGCTGTAACTTGCTTCCGAACTGTGTCGCCAGCGGCCTGAACGTGCACGCTCGATTAGCAGCCTCGAGTTTTATTTACTGCCCAGTCCAGCCGGTTCGCCAACCATGGTAGATTTGGTGCACGGTGCAAGTGGGACTACATTGTTTGGTAGCGATTTTGTGAACCGCGCTGCCGGGTCCGGATTCAGGGCGGCTCTCTCTTCTCTCTGGTAACTCTGAAAATCCGTGCCCGTTTCCGGCCAAGGAGGTTCCAATCGAGGTGGAATCGAATCTGCCCTCTCCAGATTGCTCTCAGGTCGTTTCTACAATGAGTGCAACACCACACGGAGATGTGGGCAGGGGTGTTCGGATCTAAAAAAAGAAAGAAAAAAAAAAAAGGAAATCAGATGAGCGATGACGCGGACCTAGTCGTCTTGTCTCCACGTGTTGGTGTTGGTGTTGGTGTTGGCGTTGGATGTTGGACGTTGGCGGGCCTCGAAGCGAGCCTGTTATTAGCCCCTTACATACGGATTCTTCCTCATTTAAGGAGAGTTCTGGGGAATGTTGACCTTGCCAAGGTTGCCCCTGAACTCCCCGCACCAGCGAACCCCCCACTTCGGACCCATCACCGACTTCGCTCTTGTTTCAGGCGACGAGCCTGGCGATAATCTGATGCGAGGCGCTAATACGGTAACGCGAGCCTTTGGTTTTGGCCTGCCCAACAGTGGACGAAGAAGGCTCCTCGGGTCATGCCATGCCATGATCCATGCCTCGCATCCATCCTTCCCAGCGGCAATATGGCATGGCATGGGTTGATGATTTTGATTGTGATCTTGGCGACCCCTCTCGTTCTTCTCTCTGCTTTGTTTCTTATGTCGCTTAGACTTGCCCTTGGCGAGGCGAATGACTGACTTCAAGGCTTCTAAGTTGTCCGCAGCGCGATGTTCCTCCACCATACGTGCATCCCCTGTTTTGGTCGCCAACAATGTCGTGATCCCTACTTATCCTAGACCAGGTACAGCTCCGCGCGCTTCTTGGTTTCGCTGAAACGGTTGGCTTGGTCTGGCGTCTCTTCACCTACTGCGTATCTCCCTGGGTCGTTAGTGATCTTGTCGTGTCTACAACGGGCCCTGTCTACCCTGTCGGCGAGATGGAGTCACGGCCGTGTCATCCGCAAGGCATGGCAAGGTGCTTTTCTAACTCGTGGCATATAAGAGGCTGCTCAAGCCCACGGTTGGGTGTCAACTCTCTTCTCAACCATCTGGCGAGACCATTCATTCACTTCTTTCGGCTTTTTTCGTTGTCTACATTCATCCGCTCACTCGCATTTCCATTGACTGGAGACTGTTTTGTTCCTATCTCTTCTCTCCATACCACTGTCCTTTCGAAGCCTCCGCTCTTTTCCGCTAGCCGGCCCTGTTCAACCTGACAGACACTCGACCTCGACCCGATATTTCCCAACATCAGTTCGAATAAACCAGTCGTCCAAGATGTCTTCCCTGTCACTCAAGACCCTCCTGGCTGCTTTTGTCGGCCCCTCCCTGGTTGCTGCCCACGGACACGTCAAGAACATCGTCGTGAACGGCCTTTCATACCAGGCTTTCGACCCGTCAACCTTTCCCTACATGCAGAACCCGCCCAAGGTCGCCGGGTGGACTGCGGCAAACACCGACAACGGATTCGTCGGGCCAGAGTCCTTCGCCGCTGGCGACATCATCTGCCACAAGAGCGCCACCAACGCTGGGGGCCACGCCGTGGTTGCCGCTGGAGACAAAGTCTTTATCCAGTGGGACACCTGGCCGGAGTCGCACAAGGGGCCCGTCATTGACTATCTGGCCAACTGCGGCGTGGCTGGCTGCGAGACAGTCGACAAGACCGCGCTCCAGTTCTTCAAGATCGACGAGGTCGGCCTGGTCGACGGCACGACGGCGCCCGGGACCTGGGGGTCGGACCAGCTGATCAAGAACAACAACTCATGGCTCGTCGAGATCCCTCCCACCATTGCCCCGGGCTTCTACGTCCTGCGCCACGAGATCATCGCGCTGCACAGCGCCGGGCAGGCCAACGGCGCCCAGAACTACCCGCAGTGCTTCAACCTGCAAGTCACGGGCGGCGGCAGCGTCGCCCCCGCCGGCGTCAAGGGCATGGCCCTGTATACGGCCACGGACCCGGGCATCCTCGTCAACATCTACACCCCGCTCGCAAGCTACAAGATCCCCGGCCCAGCCCTGATCGGCGGCGCCGTCAAGATCGCCCAGGGCTCGTCCGCCATCACCGCGTCGGCCACCGCCATCACCAGCTCGGCGGCGGCGTCGCCCGTCGTCGCCACCACCACCGCCGTCAAGCCCACGACGTCGTCCTCCACCAGCAGCAGCGCCGCCGCCGTGGCACCGACGACCGCTGCTTCGGTGCTAGCGACCACCAAGCCCGCCACGACAGCTGTTCCCCAGACGACCGCGGCTGCGGTGCCGGCGGCAACCACCAAGCCCGCCACTACCAGCAGCAGCTCGACTTCGAGCAAGCCTTCGACGCTTTCCACCTCCACCAAGGCCACGGCAGTGACCACCAAGGCCGCGGCAGTGCCGACGCCCGCAGCGCCTGTCACCGGCGGCGGGAGCTGCAAGGGTGCGCCTGTAACTGGGCAGAAAGTCCGCGTCCACCCGCGCGACATTGCGGCCAGCTAGGCAGGCTTGTTTTTCCCATGTCCCTGCTTTGGGAAGCGAATGGGGGTCGGTTACTTGGCTGGCCGCTTGTGGTTGGTTCCCGAAGCTGTATGTATACGGTGTATGTTCTTGTTTGGCGGCATCTCTTGGACAAACCACTTCTGGACAGATAGAAGGGATTGGAGATTTGGATTCACTTCTTTCCTTTTATTGTTATATTTTACTCTTACTCTTCTTCGTACTTGTACATACTTAGTTTGAAACCCGAATCTATATCTTGTTTTGATGGGATTATTGTTTCTTGTTCATATCATCCTTCTTGAGGGATGGGACGCTTTCGATTTGTTTCTATTTCCTGCCTCGCCTGAGACTAGAGAAATCGCCAGCACTCCAGAATAATAGATTGTAGATGAGCGTGTAGAAGAGTCTAAGATATGGTAGGTTACCGCCCCAATCAGGTATTGAGGGAGGTCACATCAACGGGTAAGGGGACTTTACCCGCAATATCGAGATCCGCCAATCACTCGCTACTCCCCAAGCCGAAGCAATACCCGCCATCTCGGTTCCTGGTGAGGAGTTGAACAACTATTACGGGTCAAGGGCGAGCGGGGGAGGGGCCGGAATAAACAGATCGCGTGTTATGCGTACCTGGTTTATTCTCCGAGGGGTTAAATGTGGACGATGCGAAACGACGTGCAACAAGATCTCTCGCGTGGTCCATAGAAATCTACCGGACATGGCAGAAACATGAACCACCACGCACATCATGAGACGAATCGTCGCAATTCTCCCACTGTTTGCCCCCGTGCTCGCGGCGAACCGAACCGTCGCGCCCCCTGGATGCATCACCGTGTCCAAGTCTGGCGGCGAGGCCCGGCGCTCCTATAGCACCATCCAGGCCGCCGTCGACGCGCTGTCGACGGCATCCGCAGACGCGCAGTGCATATTCATCTCGCCTGGGACGTACACGGAGCAGGTGCTGGTGCCGGCTCGCCGAGCGCAGCTGAGCGTGTACGGGTCGACGGCGGACACTGGCGGCTATGCGGGCAACGAGGTGACTATCACGAGCAGCAAGAGCCAGGCCGACGGGCTGTCCAACGACGGCTCGGCCACACTGCGTGTCAAGGCGGCCGGCTTCCGGCTATACAATGTCAATATCAACAACGGCCACGGGCGCGGTAGCCAAGCCGTGGCGCTGAGCGCCTCTGCTGATAGCGCCTACTATGGCTGTGCGTTCACCGGCTACCAGGACACGCTGCTCGCCGACACGGGCACGCAGCTGTACGCGCGCTGCCTGGTCCAGGGGGTGACGGATTTCATCTTTGGCCAGCACGCGCCGGCGTGGTTTGAGAAGTGCGATATACGCGTGCTTTCCGCCTCGATGGGATACATTACAGGTGAGCAGACACGTCTTCTTGAAGGGGGGTTGATGGGATGACTGACTTAAGCCCATCCATGGGGGGACGGCAAACTAGCATCGGGGCGGAGCTCCTCTTCGGACCCAAACTACTACGTCTTCAACAGCTGCAGCATAGCGGCTGCGGCTGGCAGCAATGTTGCCGACGGGGCCTTCTATCTCGGCCGCCCGTGGCGGGCGTATGCGCGTGTCGTTATGCAGAAGACGTCCATGACGAGCGTCGTTAACCCAGCGGGCTGGCGCATATGGAACGCTGGGGATGAGAGGACGAGCAACGTGCTCTTTGGCGAGCACGCCAACACGGGTGCCGGAGCAAAGGGCACCCGCGCGCCGTTTGCCACCAAATTCAGCTCGGCCGTCGCCATCGAGACGGTTCTGGGGAGTGGGTTCACTGGCGCAGGCTGGTTTGACTCGGCTTATCTGTGAGTGTACTTGGGGCGTGATCTTCAGAATTACGAGACGCCCCCTTTTTCTCTCGCGCAAATGGTGAACAGTTGCAGCTATTCCAGACGAGAAGTCGTATACGTGATCTCGTTTACCCGGTACCCTATGTGAATTCCAGAGATCGAGTATTTTAGTGCCTGTTTCCTCTGAACAGGGAACTGTGTGATCTCGCAACTCAAATTCGCTGGTGTGTACACAATGGCTGCTTCTGTCTGCGGGATACGGGGCAGAGCCGAGTGTCAAGGCCAGAGAACGCCAGGCCCGAGACAACATGTGGTGTGCAAAGTGGCCGTGATAAGACACGAGAAAAGGACGACGATTGAATCCATGTCATGAACCCCATTACTGCCGATTTCTCCGAGTCTTCTCATCATTCCTATTATTAGCAACGGTCCTGATGGAGTTCAAATGATCAATCACCAAACGTGCCACGCAGGTCCACACATCTCATGCAGGCCTTATCCGTGCTTAGATTATGTCGCGAGACTGAATAGAGGTGAGGGCCTCCGAAACTAGACAAAATACATTAGTAAGACTTACATGACAGTTGTCCCGATTGACAAGCTGCGTGTTGTCTGGGGATTGTTTTGCCCCCACACCGCCAGGGAGGCGCAATGAGGGGGCAATGGCGAGGCTGAGTGTTTTTCCTTCCTTTCCTGGCCATTGGCAATTTTGCCAATCTAAACCAGCTAGTGGAAACTAGAAAGAACAAATTGGATGGATTTATAGCTTTTGAGCCTCTTTGCTTGGGCACTGCCTGGTTTCGCTGCCCGCGGCCCACTCCATCCAAGCGGACAGGTAGGTGGGTAAAACTGGAAGGCGGATGAGATGGAGCCATTAAGGAGGTTGCACCGCTCCTTCCTCCTAGGTCGCCTTCAATTTTGCGTAGCACCGTCTCGCTCGTGGTAGGTGCGGCCTACTTCTATGGTTCATGGGGAAGCGGCATTGCGCATTTGGGATTCGAGAGTTATTTTTGTCAAGTTCCATCTCTGACCTGCGTCGATGAAATCGTGGACCTGATGTTAAGCAAAGACGAAATAATCCTTTCCCAACTCAAGTTACACGAAACCCCTCGGCTTGACCACCCTCGAATCTAACGCAGAATTTACGAGTGATGACCGCCTATTGTGGCTGGAAAATTAACATGATGTTTTCGCAGACCCATCGTTTCACAGTGTTGTTCCATCCGCCTTTTTCCGCCTTCATGTTTCCCGGTTTCGCCTCTCCCGCTCATGGCCCGGTGGAAGTGAGCCCCGATGAGGCAGATAGTCGGAAATGCAGGAGGCTGAGATCGGTCGTGCAAGGCCAATCTAGCCAACTGATAAAATGTTAAACTGAGGTGTGAGGCGCGAGGCGAGGGAGCCAGGAGTTAGTCGTGGCCAAGCGTCTTTCCCACTATAGCCAAACATAGGTACTGTACAGATGGAGGCTTCTATGCGTCTGTCTGCAAGTTGGCGGTGGTTTGGCTTTTTTTTTTCGGCGGGCTGTATCACTCAATGGCTAGATCTCCCACCAAGTTGATTCACCGTCTACAACATGTGCTCCCGCTCAGTTGAGGATCGAATCAAAGGTGCCTACAGGACCTCCCCTCTCCCCCCCTCCCCCCCCCTTCCCCCCCTTTTCCATGACTTTGCGCTCCCTGGTGGAAATGGACAATCGGTATTGAGCCTTTGCGTTATCCAACAGTCTGTTCTGGCCTACTGCTGTAATATCATTTCTTTATCATTCTAAGTCCGACTTCCCAGCCACAGTTAATCTCTCCTTCGTTCTCTCATCTTTTCCACACGTCGTTACCCATCTAGCTGGGCTGAGATATGCTGGAGTCTAAAGTCTGGCCTTAAACTCTTGTTACGTTGTCCCTCACTGCACCGAGGGTGCAAAAGGTTATTACAAACTTACACAGCCTCAGATCAATCCAGTATATTTTATTTCGCCAATATTGTTTATTTCGCCATATCCGCCATCTCCGAGTCTTGCCTGCCACGCCATATTACAACGCCTCGCCTCTCTCCTTCCAAACCGAAGTCAAAAGACCATGCCCGTGGTCAATATCCCAGCTGGCCCCAGCCCGACGGCCCCCCCTAGATTCCTGATTTGGGAGCACACGAGCGTGGAAGCACCTCCATCAGAGCCACGAAACTCTCCTCTGACGCGCTCAAATGCTGTCCACCACAGGCCGAGGAGTTCCAGTACCTTGGGAGAGCTGCTTGCTGCAACAAACCCCCTAGAAGGACGGCCCAAAATTGTCTCCCCGAGAGTAGTACCGTTTTCAGCATCCCAAACAAGGGGTCAGGGAGACGTCCGCCACGAGATTAAAGATTACCGCCATGATCAAAATCACCCAGGCCGTCGAACATGGGACAATCTTTTTGACGGTTGTTATACGGGGATCCATGAACCATTTTGCCAACATCTGCAGGGTCAAGGTGTCAGGCAACCCCCCCAGGGCTCATCCTGGCCCGTTCAAGAGGAAAGCCGGCCACGTGTTGACAGCTCCCCGGAGTCTAAGAAAAACCATTGCACGTTTCGGTCACGGGGCGATAATTTGCGAAAAGAAAACATGTTACTTAGAGCTCAACTGATCGAACGCAACATCGATCTCAAACATCTTCGGGAAGAAAGTGTTTCTCTAAAAAGAGAAATCAACAACAAAAAGGACAAGCTTCAACAAACTGATGCCATCTTGGAGGCATTGGCTTTGGAGTTCACAAATCTGAAGCAAGGAGACATGATGGACCACGCAGCTATCGCAGGAGACGTCACGCTGCAGCTGAGACAGCTTAAGAGTCTGTATTCGTCTATCGGGAGCGCCTTGACCATCCGAGGAGTTCTTACCCTTCAGATGCTTCAACTCGGGCCGCCAAACTCGCAAGCACTAGAGCGACCCCCTGCCAACCAACTCACGAGCCATCACGGTAACCTTGATCACGTCCTTACGCTAGACCGAGCAGTTAGACTCGCGGATCGCCTAAATGCCCACCCGGAGCTCCTAGCATCTAGTTTAACGTCGATCAGAGTCTGCTCGCTCTGCAACGCTCCCAAATTCCTGAGTGCGCCGGTCCTGCTCGCCCCTTTCTCGGAACCCCCTAAGAAAGACCCCAAGACCTTCAGTGAATTTAGCTCATCACCTCACGGGGAAACAACATGTTGTTTGCAGTTTATTTGCGACTCATGTTTCCTGCCATCGGTCGTCTCAAGCATTACAACAGATTGGTGGGACAACATCGACTCCGACTGTTGGATAAAATGCCCCTTTCCCTCCTGCCGTTCGACTCTCCCAGTACAATACAATGTTGAGCTCGCGACTCTGCTGCGTAAATTACGTGACGCCCAGGCCCTTCACCATATCATGCAGTTCGAACGCGCCACACGCTTGCGCATGAAAATTGAGGGCATCGATCCAACTCCAACGGCCGAGGCACTTGGTCGTGCAGCAGATTTACACAAGCAGCTAATTGATCATGGTTTTATGCGCAGTATATTTGACCTCAGCCAGCCCCCTAATATTGGAATCGAGTCCATGTCATTAGACTCGGCCGATGGACGCCGAATTCTAAGAGTACCAATTCTCGTCGGCCTCTTCAACCAGCACAATCCAGCCTCTGACGCAACTGAAGCACCCCAAGATGGATCCAATTCCGTACAGCGTGTACTCCGAGAGTGTATGGTTTGCGCAGAGACACTACTAGATGTTACGGACGGTACTCTCGAAGAGGAGGCTCTGTGGGAAGCGGCCATCGATGGATTCCCCGGCGACTGGGCATGGCAGTCTCGACCATTTCCACCCCAATCTGTCCTCTCAACATGCAGCGCTCGACATCCCCTCAACGTTTGCCGCACTTGCATAGGGCAGCATCTTGCGTCGCAGTTGGAGACTCGTGGCCGTGCCGGCTGTGAGACTTTAAGCTGCCCCTTACCGGGTTGCAGTCACCTTTATTCGCACAGCGAGATCCGCACCCTTGCGTCAGCTGAGACGTTTGCCATGTACGACAAACTACGATTGCTGTCGCACTTGGCAACCCTACCCAACTTTCGTTGGTGTCTGCGCGAAGGATGCGGGATGGGCCAGATACACGACATTCCGCCTGACATGGGCGAGAATGTTGCCGTGCACCGACGGCGCAACATGATCCTGTGCGACAGCTGCGGCTTCGAGATGTGCTTCGGTCACCAGATCCCCTGGCACCACGGGCACAGCTGTGCCGAGTACGACACGTACCAGGCCACAGGCGACCCGGCTATCGAGGCGACTCGGCTCTGGCTGAGCACCCACACCAAGCCATGCCGATGTGGCGCTCCGGTTGAGAAGAGAGGGGGCTGTTTCCACATGACGTGCCGGTCGTGCGGGTTCGAGTTTTGCTGGGAATGCCTGGCCGACTGGAATTATATCCATACAATAGACCCGCTGACGGGAGATGCGAGGTACGAAAGAAGGGGCCACAACCCGGGGTGCTACTTCCGCGAGGACTCGGCTCCGCAGGCAACTAGGGTTGCAGGAAATACGGTAATAGAGGCCATTGGGATGCTCTAAAGATGCCAGATCGTGCCTAGTAAGGCATAGAGGGCCCGCTTGAAGGGCGTAACTATCACGTAGATCAAAGAAAAAGACCAATTTCTGCAGCAGGTACTCCTTTGAGCTGGTGATATCGCCCTTATACTATGCATGCACGGTTATCGTGTGCCTCCTCGAGCGCCATGTGTTGTTCGTGCCTTTTCGCAGGCCCCCATCTCTTCCCAAGAGCGGGAACTGAGGTATTAGTAGGGTAAATTCCGCACACTGTCCATGCTAACCACTATAACTGCAGCCCGATGACTACTATTAACTGCCGTGTGGGCAGCGTTGGGAAGCTGAGACGACTGAGTGGTACGTCCAGGACAAAGTTGGCAATATCACGGTTCCGCTGAGTGAAACAACTATACTCTGCCCCGTGTCGATTAATTCTCTAATTGACTACTGGGCTGCTGTCTATTTTTCTCGTATTTTGCCTTTCCAGGGATGTATAATTAGCTAGTTCTCCAAGAAGCTTTCTTATTACTTCTCTATTTGTAAGAGTAGAGCTGATGTATTAGTTTAAATATCCTCGAGGCCAGTTGAACTGTCTTGGGCATTCTTCTGCATGTACTGAACGGTTTCTGTATCTTTTACAAGAGGTTAGCTTGGTCACGAGTTGTCCAAGGTACCTTGGTTAGGACTGTTCTTCAGCCTCCGTTAGCTACCCTCGGAGTTCCCGACTAAGTAATGTGTCACGCGCATTCACAGGGCAACGGAAATGAAGCATTTGATGCGGGGAGGTAAGGCTTGAATTGTCTGAAAAGGTCTAATCTCTTGTTTCCTTTGGCAGGGCCAAAAGTCTCTTTTTTATAGTTATGAATAGTGGCAAAAGCTGATGGCGAAGAATCACATAGCAGCTTCTAGATATTTCTTGCTCACTAATCCCAATATTGTGACATAATGGTTATCATCACACAGTCAGTTGAGATAACAGAGAATTTCTCGTTCATAATCAAACAACTACCTTCACGCTGCAATTCCTGTTTACAGCTGATCAATATGCAGCACATAATCAAAAGCAGATTGGTAGATCAAGGTTCTCCTTTTCCTTACTTCTTTGGCCCATTTTTTATGTTTTCACTCATTCTCTCCCTTCCGTGCAGGTAGACGGGTTTGTCTCCGGCCCCTGGGAGGCTCAATACCTTGTGAGACACGAAGTCTCACATGTGCTACACTGCATATTAGCTGGTCATCATGTCCATAGTGTCAACCATTAATTATTTCGCAACAATTTTCTGATTTGGGCCGACAAAGCTGCAGTGGAACGACTGGACAGGGGTAATATCAAAAGAGATAGGTACCCATTAGCCAACTTAGTCTAGAATAGTTCTTGTCACTGACTGTTAATTACCTAGTTATAACTCGAGAGTCTTGAGCTTGCTTTCTCGTCTTTGATATGCTCGCGATATCTGAATTACACATGAATCTCTATGCATATATTCTCAAAGGGTAAATCCGTCTAGGTGGTATCTAGAACCCCGGCTTAGTACTTAGGTAGGCTTTTATTTTCAGTCTGCGTTGCCATCGTCGAAAGCGCTCATCCAGCATTAGATAAACAAAAGCAATACCTCTCGTTAACTGCCCGTCGGTATCATCCGGCTCGTGGCGTCAGCTTATCGTGCCCGCATTCTAGATCTTCTACTACCTAGTTCTCCTGCTTCTTCATTTCATTCTTTTTGAAATCAAGAAACCGAAAATGATTTTCATGTTTTGATCAAGCTAGTTAGGTAGATTAGATAACATTCTTAGTTGATATTCATAACATAGGACAGTAGCATTTAATTGGCGCCATGGCCTCAGAGAAATATCACCACTTTCATCAACACCAGCTGTCATTGAAGTCTCGGCATGCACCACTTCAGGTTTGGGTATGGTCAACATCAACGCCTTACATAAGCAATTCTCCGGAGGCTAGGCGCCGTCAATTTCTCTACCGTAATTATCGTGTTTCTTCCTCCGTCCTGCAATCCTCAATTTGTTTCTCGTACATGATCGGGTTGACTTCTCGGCCTTACTTTGCCTTGCCTCCCCCTGAAAAGATGAGCAGATTTCCGCCCCCACCCTTCCCTCCTTCTCGTTTCAAAACAGACAAGGAAACGTGAGGGAGAAGATAAAAAGGAAAGCAGGGAAAACGGTTGGTCCAAGCTTGGGTGTGGCTGCCGAAAGCCGAAGAAAAAGAAAATTCCCGGCAGGTGGCAGCCACTAGCCAACGTTAGTGCTTGTTGAGCTGTCATTTTTATTTGCTTCTTCGCCCACCACTGTCGAGTCCCGAAGCGGAAAAGAAGCAAGGAACAGGGTACGAGGGAAGTGGGGGGTTCGCGAAGTGAGAGCGGAAGTGTTGCAGTGCTACGACGGCATTCTCCAGAATGGGAAGCAAAAGCGAGATCGAATGAACGGCAGGTCTGTGCGAGATGAGGCTGGCTGGACAAATGGAAGGAATGAAGCCTCGCGATTCTCCAAAATAGCGGGCAGGGGCGAGGCAGTTTCGAAGGCAAGATCGGAGAAGCTCGGGCACCTGGCAAGGTTTTGCGGGGGTGGGTGGGATGCAAAAAAGTCGAGGTGGGGTGTTTCTTCCTCATCTCCCTCCTCCTCCTGGAGTCTGACCACCAAAAGGAACAAGACTAGAAGAAAAAAAGAGCTCGTCGCAGATTTCTTGTGTACGCGATCTCGTGAGCACTTGGGTATCTTTTACGAGTTATTAATAAGACTCTTATTATTAACTCTGTATGTAAGATGGTTCAAGTGACTCGAGTGCATTTCGTCCGGAGGTTTGCATGTACTAACTGTACTGTACGGATACCTGAAGACGTGAGTGATGGTGACATCAATACTCCGTATGCCTCTATAAAAATAAAAAAAAAGAGCCAATTTGATGCGCCTTCTTTCTAATCACATCTGGCACTTAGCTCCTGGTTAGTCTAACCAGTTGTAGCTAGAACTAGAGATAAACGTCGTCCCTTCTGTCGTGCGAAGGTCCGGAAGCAACTCGCATCGGGATTCGGAAAAGTCGGGAAGCACACGGTTATGCCCAATCGAGGCCGGTTTCGCTGCTCACGAAGCAGAATCTGGAAAGACGCAACCCTAGGTTGGCAGGCAGTTCTGGTTTCTCCGGACAGATGCGGAGTTGTGTGGGCAATACTCACTGCTACCGACTTATCCGCGCGCCCAAAAGAGAACTCACACCATGCTGGACGGTATCTCACCGCAACACTGCACACTGTCCCGCCTTCACCAAGTGCACCCTCCAGCTCCGCCAGCGATACCAGACCGCTCAGCCCGGGTTTGCATGCCGGCGTCTGAAATGTGGGTGGGCCCTTTGGCTCAGCCGCCAGTTCTCTTTTTTTGTCCAACGGCCGCTTTCCTACTGAGAAACCCTGAATGTAGCTCAGGACGTCCTTGGCATCCGTGGTAGGTCCGGCTACCAGAGGGGCCGGGAGCCATCATACCTTAGCTATCAACCGGTGCGCTGTATCAGACCGTATCCGGTCCTCTGCGGCCTCCAAGCTGCCCCAAACAAGACTAGACGGCTGCTTTGCACCAAGTCTGGCCGATGTCGAGGTGGCAAAGAACACCACAAGAACTAAGGCAACACACTACGCTCGAGCCTGAGGATACGCTATTTGCGTCGATGTCACGGCGGCAGACATAACGCGACGCTCGTCTCTGAGCTCTGTCATAGCATGCGGCCTCGACTGCGACCCCGGTAAAGAAACGAGTGGCCAGACGCTCAACCGAACGCACCCTCGGTCAGTGCTTTGTTCCTATCAAGAGCTTCGTCTTGACCTCGTCTTGATAGCCCGCTGCCCAGGTCACGTCAGATGCGAGGAAGCCGAACCGGGGTCTCGATATTGAGGTTTGCCCTTGCGAGACACGGGGAGGGGAGGGGTGCTGTGACTGCTTCTTGCCTCCTCCTCCCAGGCTCCCAAAGCCAAGGCTCCTCCGCACCCCAATCCCACTCATCACATCACATTGGACAATGGATGTCAATCCGGCTGAGGTGCCGGGGTCAAGCGACAGGTTTTACTATGTACAGTAGTGAGCTTCTAGCATCTACCCTTCACCCTTCACCAAGTTCCTAATCTAGCACTCCAATCGGGTCCGTCAACGTGGTCTCTTCTCCGCACTGAGACTCTGGCCGCGCACTCGCTTCCCCTCACTTGGACCCCTCCTCTACTGATGATATGCGTCGATCCCTGGTATTTGACTCGCCTTCCACTTCTCCAGTTCGGGCCGCTTGTCAGATGACGCCAGAACGCTCATATTTCTTCATTTACACCAATGTACAATTACATGCGTTCACGGCCCCATGCCCTTCCCTGCGCCTTAGGTACTAGGTATTCCATATAAAAACATGATGTTGTCCTTCGAAAAGCTGCTAATTTTACACGGCCAAGCCAGCCCTGAGCTCAAGGGAGTGGGGCGTGGGGCGTGGAACGAAATTGACAACGGTCTGCAGACCAGGGGGGGCGTGTCCTTCAAGACGCATGGCCAGGGGTCCAGCCTCTACTTTTTGACTTCCGCGAGCCGTCGTCACATCGTGCCAAACTTTGTGCGAGACCAATCACATTGCCGAACATGGCTACCGGGCCGGGAAGGGCCAGTCAGAACAAACGGTCCCCGCGGCCCATCTGACCTGTTTTCCTGTTACAGTGACAAAGATGGGCGGAGGAGGCCTGGAGGGGCCACGGCTGCGGTCGTAAACGCAAGCAATGGATCCAAGCCATTAAACGGGCGGGAAAGACTCCATCTAAGAAAGGAATCGTCGATACAAGCGCAACTATTCCGTAATTATGCAGCTAATATTCCGCGTAGCTCGACAAAACACCCATGCTCTCTCCAATTTTTCCAAAAATCCAAATCGGTATGCCACCCTGCCAGGTCTCATGCACATACCTGGTAATAGCTCTGGGGCTGTCACGGGTACTTGATGCCGGGGTCGCAATCGTTGAAGGGCGGCCGCACTTCCCAGGTTCCGATAGCTCCATTCGGTACCGGAGTTTGGCGGCCAACCCCTCGCTGCCGTGTCCAATGGTCGGGTCCGAAAGCCCTTGTCACATTCTCCCCAAGATCCAGCCCTTTGAGGTTCGATTGATTTTTGACAGCGCCCGCCCACAAGTC